GTAATTATGTTCCGATTTGTATGACATTTGGCATGAGTGTGTAGGGAGTAAACTAGAGAGTTTCCGAACCAAGATCTGGAGCATGGGAACGGTTTATTATGGAATATTAATATTAAAAAAGTGTTTTCCAATTGTTACCGGTACCCTTGAACAAAAAAAAACCAATTATCATTACGCCTTACGTGTAGAGCTTTAAAAACAAATAATGTTGTATGTTGTAGCATTATTGTAGGATCAAAGGTAATAAAATTAAAAAAAAAAACTGAACATTTAAAATGTTTATGCAAATTTATGGAGAAAAGGTGAATTGTGGGAGTTTGCTTGTATATATTTTTAACAAATCTGTACCAGCAAACTTAGGTACTCTTGAAGCTTCTTGGGGGTATTTTTATGTTCTACTTCCTTGATGGCTAATTCCGATTTTCGAAGTCATGTGGAATCTCTTTAAATTAGGCCCTCAAGAAAATTTGGTCCAGCTTAGACACATAGACTCAAGAACTTGGAACCAGCCCAATGCACAAATATTGAAACATCCTGCATCTAATACTCTAACATCCACTGGTCTGTGAAATTCACAAAAAAAATTGAAGGCAATATATTTATATTATTAGCTTGAAATACCTCACTTTGTTGTTCACCGTTTTTGTACTTTGTTTTTTACAGTACTTCAAAAAGCAAACACAAGCCAACAATGAACATAGCAGTTTCAACAATCATATGTTTTCTTGCCACAATGAAGCAGAATATCCCACACAAAATTATAATGAACCTATGGAAGCCATGCTGAGGGTCATAAACTATAGGGTCAGGTTATTTGAAATGCATGTAGATGATGAAAATATTATTTTCCCCTTTTAATTTGGTATGTATGAAAAAAGTAGTATACCTCATACGACCAAACAGGTTTTGGATTTTCTTGCATTTTGATTGCTGTCTAGCCTAGTAATATTTTCTCTGTTTATGATCACTTTTCAACACAATCAAAACCGATTGTATAAGGAAACCAAATATGTTTTCTTATTTTCGTTAACAACAACTCTCTTCCTGCAAAACTTCCTCAAAGCTATCATTGTTCGCTGACGACATCTCCTTCCATTTCTAGCTTCAAATTTCTAAATTTGGAAAGAATCAGTTTTTTTTTTAGGAGAGCCTATTATTCAATGGTTGGGCTAAATTTTGAAGGCTAAATTGAAGCTAAATTTGGAAATTTGGATCATTTTTGCACGAGTTATCGCGCCAACGGACACACACACACACACACATATATATATATATGAATTTGAACGGATGGTGTTTTTGGCCTCTAGGGACCTCAAAAGGAAAACGCAAATCGGTCCCGGGTCCAGGTCTTACCATGAGACCTACGGTAATAGCTTATTCCCTATATGGGAAATTCGCTAAAAAAGCAGTCATTCAGCAAATTCTAATTTTAATATCGATTGAAGTTTTAACCAATGAACTGATCACGACATAGTCTGGTATAGTCGCGTTCGAGTTATAGCGGGCGTAATGTGTTTTACCGACTAAGACCTTTAATTTGACCAAACTCGACCTATGCTGCTATTTAAGAATTGTGTCTGACTTCTCATGGGCCGTCCCCTTATGGGATGAAAAAATTATAATAGCTTAAAAAGTTAAAACATTAGACATTTATGGTTATTATTGATATACCAAGTCTCATTACTTTATCTATTAATGGTAAAAAAATATATTACACCATTCCGGGACTTTTCAATCACACTGTATGTTAAATTATGATTTAATGGTAATGTAGAAGCAGGTGAAGACTGAAGATCAGTCTCTTGAGACGCTCGTATCACAATACTGTACTGTATCACAGAAAACATACAGTATGTTTTCTGTGACTGTATTCACAACTCATAACCATGTTTTAAAACTTTGAAGGTAAAGTAGATTGATGGTAACGTAGATTGGCAACGTCAGCTGCTGCGCTCTATCTGACAACGGTTGTACTGTAACTGTTGTTGTACTGTACTGCATGTTTATTAGAAAGAGGTTTTTGATGTTTTGCATTTTACACGGAATACACCCAATTTTAAACCGAATAACAAATTCATAGTTGCAAATAAAACTTATTTTAAGGCTATGCATATTGTAATGACCAATTCTTAGTTCTTAGTTTTAGCGAATTTCCCTGTAGAGAATAAGCAAAACTGCCTTAGGCGCCACAGGAATACACTATAGACCCGGGACCAATTTACTTGTTCTTTTTGTTGTTCCCAGGCGTCATTACAATATATATATATACATTCGTGTGTATTTTTATATATGTACGAGACGATGTAGTTCGGTGTGTCCGTAAACACGATAGCTTGAGTAATTATGTTCCGATTTGTATGACATTTGGCATGAGTGTGTAGGGAGTAAACTAGAGAGTTTCCGAACCAAGATCTGGAGCATGGGAACGGTTTATTATGGAATATTAATATTAAAAAAGTGTTTTCCAATTGTTACCGGTACCCTTGAACAAAAAAAAACCAATTATCATTACGCCTTACGTGTAGAGCTTTAAAAACAAATAATGTTGTATGTTGTAGCATTATTGTAGGATCAAAGGTAATAAAATTAAAAAAAAAAAAAACTGAACATTTAAAATGTTTATGCAAATTTATGGAGAAAAGGTGAATTGTGGGAGTTTGCTTGTATATATTTTTAACAAATCTGTACCAGCAAACTTAGGTACTCTTGAAGCTTCTTGGGGGTATTTTTATGTTCTACTTCCTTGATGGCTAATTCCGATTTTCGAAGTCATGTGGAATCTCTTTAAATTAGGCCCTCAAGAAAATTTGGTCCAGCTTAGACACATAGACTCAAGAACTTGGAACCAGCCCAATGCACAAATATTGAAACATCCTGCATCTAATACTCTAACATCCACTGGTCTGTGAAATTCACAAAAAAAATTGAAGGCAATATATTTATATTATTAGCTTGAAATACCTCACTTTGTTGTTCACCGTTTTTGTACTTTGTTTTTTACAGTACTTCAAAAAGCAAACACAAGCCAACAATGAACATAGCAGTTTCAACAATCATATGTTTTCTTGCCACAATGAAGCAGAATATCCCACACAAAATTATAATGAACCTATGGAAGCCATGCTGAGGGTCATAAACTATAGGGTCAGGTTATTTGAAATGCATGTAGATGATGAAAATATTATTTTCCCCTTTTAATTTGGTATGTATGAAAAAAGTAGTATACCTCATACGACCAAACAGGTTTTGGATTTTCTTGCATTTTGATTGCTGTCTAGCCTAGTAATATTTTCTCTGTTTATGATCACTTTTCAACACAATCAAAACCGATTGTATAAGGAAACCAAATATGTTTTCTTATTTTCGTTAACAACAACTCTCTTCCTGCAAAACTTCCTCAAAGCTATCATTGTTCGCTGACGACATCTCCTTCCATTTCTAGCTTCAAATTTCTAAATTTGGAAAGAATCAGTTTTTTTTTTAGGAGAGCCTATTATTCAATGGTTGGGCGACATCTCACTGAAAACCAATTAAGAAAAGATAACATGCTTTTTACTAATTTTATTATGACCTAGCTAATGCATGCAATGTGTATTATTGATTTTTGCTCAATGAATTATTTGATTTTATCTAAATACCTACTCTCTGATGTAAAATCTTCCTAAGTACGATACCTTTAAAGCAGCTTTCAGTATCTGGAGACCAAGATTCTTTAGCATTACAACAGGAGAAATGTCTACATAGTCAGACAGGAATAAATATAAAATATTAATAGCGACGCATACTTCTACGCATATTTACGCATATTTCTACTTAGACTATACAGGACTCTGTCCGAAAACCATTTAGGACGATTCAGAAATTTCTCCAACGTTTCAGAACTTAGCCTCTCAACGATTCAGATTTTACCAAACTGAATTGCAGGAGTTTTCCCGACAATCACTATTCTTGTACTTATCAATTCAAGTTCACAACTTTGTCAAAACATCCTTACCGTCCAACAATCACTCGATTGCTAGCCTGAATTGCTATGACAATCAAGTCATCGTATGTTAAACAAGCACAAGACAAATAATAGTTATGTACTTTCATCCGCCAACGGACGTCGCATGTCGCCCAAGCACGTATAGGCGATGACACAAGGTGACAATATGACCTTGGGACGACAATATACTACAGAACAGCTGATCAACTGATTATGATGTAGGGAACACTGACTCACGTGAGCCAAATACTTGATCAACTTTCCCTCGGACTTTCCCCTTCTACCAGGATATTAGGACTGCGAGGAGCCAACAACAATTCGGTGACGGCAAAAGTGATTGGCAAATGATACACAAAGGTTGCTTAATTGGGTCTCCAGGGTTCACATTTGAGAGGAGATATGGTTTACGATTCAGTGTTTTTAGGTAGGGCTGTGATTGGTTCAAATTTTGTGCATTGGATACCATGATGTATAATCGAGCATGATGCAAGTTCAGAATCAAGACTCCTCCGATTCACAAATAAAGCGATCAAAATATGGTCATATCTTTGTAATAAGAGAAGAAAGGTCAACTTATTTTTATTTTTCAAGGTTTCTACGACTTCACAAGTCAGATTGTACAATCATGCATTTTTATTACACCCCAACCAAAGAAATGTACACCACGACCGGAGTAAAATTCACTTTTTAGATAAGGATGAACAATTTCACTATGGCTTAAAACATTTTGTAGCTACAGATAAGTATGTTTAAGTTTTTTCGGCGTTTAAACAGGCAACAATTTTGTCCATCTTGTATGTGGATGAGGGACTTTTTCTGCGACCCCTAGATACTACACCCCTAGATACAAGATACTGGTTTTCGTCACGTCAAAAAATCATGTCGGCGCCCATGTCAGTTGTTGACTAAAAATAACCGGAACAGTATTACAATATGAGTCCACTGCATAGTTCCCAGTCTCAAACAAAAACCAATAAAAAACCTAATAATAAAAAGAAAAAACACAATAACCCTGCCTTTCACGCAAATCCAATCACACACATCGATGCGGCAATTGAAACCGCAATGTTCAACCAAGCAGAAAGGAAGTTACCCTCCGACCCACTAGATAAGGGACGAACAGGCCTGAGTGGTGGGGGCCAGACAGGAAGGTTGGAGAAGAACAAGTTATTTGGCAAGGGAAGGCGAAGGCAGGCTCTCGACTTTACCGTTGTTGCCGGCGTGGAGAAGCTCGGTGTTCAGTCAGTCGACGGTCGTTGAACCGACGACAATGGTGAGTGAGTGACAAGAAGCATCGTTGAAGTGAACCATCATGGCGAGCATCGTTTCAGAACGTGTAAGTAAATAGTAGGGTAAGAAAGAAAAAGCAATGGACCTAGAATGCTACCTTGTGGTACTCCGTGATGAGCCGCGGCGACAGTGTTGCTTCAAGTGTACATTGTTTTACCAAGTTCTGTAAGTTAAGGTATTTAAACGTCACCTTTCTGTGTATGATTGTACCACTCTTGTTACATGTACTTAGATTTTACTTTGAATAACACATATCAAGAACACTTAGTCCCAGCCGCAGTTGAAAGTATGTTACATGTTCGAATGTGTAGGTTGGACGCGTGCTCAAGTTTTTAATTTTTAGGAAGCGCAAGTAACAATGTTGGTACAGATAAATCTCCTTGTGATACATAAAAAACTCTTGTTCAATGACAATATTAGAGAATGGAATCGGGTAGGAAATTTAAAATCTGACAAATTGTAAGTAAAGTTGCATACTTCATTCTGTGTATTAATTTCCAAGATTACTTCACGAATTGTATACAAGGTTAAGCTACCTTTGGTATCACTTAAGGATTACTTGGACCCTTGGATGTTGGACAGAATAAATGTAACTTAACCTCTTGTATACAAAGTTAGATAGCTGATCTGTAATTTACTTTGTAACTTTACTTCACTATACACGTTAGTCGGAATTAAAAGAATTCAAACCATACTGTTGAAAGAATCTTGTTTATTCTTAGCTATAGACTACTTAAACAACAGTTACACATTGATTTAAAATGCATCTGTCTCCACAAAACAATACGTTGTTTTTAGGGGTTTCGTCAAATAAAATACGTTCAAATTCAAAGTACTCCTTACTACGGTTTCCTGGGCAAAAGGGGTTGAGATCCCAGATTTCTAGGCACTCAGTAAATTGGCAAGAAAGATTAACTTAACACTACTATTTGTTGAAAATTTACATCTAACATTTTGGATCAGCTGATTTCATTCATATCATCATTAGATATGCTGCAACTAACAATAGTTTACGTACATTTTGAACACACCTCAACTTAACGCACACTATGGACAATTAGGTTTAAACATATTTTTCTTTGCTTTTCCAAGTGTAGGTTTGTCCTGCAAGTTTGATGCAGGGTTCAGGCGAGGGAGGGGGGAGTCAAGTAGGCCTACCTAGAGTAACGGTACAGACGACGCGCCGACGAGAGTCCTGTTACACATAATCAAAAACCACGCAAATCACATCAGTACGGACACTGACCTCCGTTTATCACCAGCTTCCGGTGGAATACACCTTACTTCCGGTCGTTAATGGGAAGTGCAAACCGAGACGTGCAGCAAGGGGTAGATATTCCAGGAATTGAAAAATTGTGGTGATTTGATTAGGTTCGAATGCAATAGCCGAATATCGCTTGTAAGCATCGAATAAGAGTGACACCACGCTTAAACCATAGATAAAACTTATTTTCTTGTATAAGCTTTATCGTCCTATAATATTATATATGCGCTGAAGACAGCAAACATAGTTCCATCCGATCCATGAGCGTTTTTGTTTAGTATTTGTTTCTTATCAGGCCCTCTATTGACTTGTTAAAAACCATTTAACCTAGTAAAGTTATATAATTACAAACAATAGCTTGTTGAGGGCTTTATAATCAAACTACGCCCGCCAATAGAAGGGAAACATTTAGAGTCCATATTAGCTCACTCAACATTACCAACATCCACAATAAAAATCATAACTATTTATTGACTGAAACATGGAAATACGTGCATCGCAATCGTCAAATAAAGCAACCTGCGTCACTTCGTCACTTCAAAATCTGTGATGTATTTGATATATAGTTAATAAGGGCGAAAACGATTATTTCTCATCATATCCTTATCTATCTATATATTAATAGGCAAGCATGTTTCTTTAAAACCTTTTTTCTCAGCTCGTGTGCATCGTAGGGAAAATCTACGCATACCGTTAGAAAGCTATTTTCCTGTAGGTGTGCAGAATCCCTTTATAAATTTAAATAGGCTCAAAGATAAGCGCAAAAATGAGTTTAAAAATTTGAAAAAATTTACATGGATCTTATGTGTTGCCATGCTGGTGACGAAATAACAACGAAATATAAACAGAAAATCAAAACAAATGGAAGAAACTCCAATCACATGTTTTATTTACAGTGTGGGGTGAAACATTAACATAAGTGAGTACATTACATATTTTTGGTCGAGTTTCGACCACTGGACATTACTCGTTATTTTCATTGCGCGCGCGATCTCTTCGAGGTATTTAGAAAAATTACAAATACTAATGAAACATACTCTGAAAACACTAAATCTAGCGTAAGTCATATTTTCTTCTTTACGTTTTATACTAATAACATTACAACATTTTACTAGAATTCATTTAAACATCGCCAAATACAACAGATAACTCCATTTTCGTATATGTAAACACAATTGTATCATGGCCATCTGTTATGATGTAAACAAATGTAACTTGAAAAATATCAGATGATTGAGAACAGAATTCAGCACAGACAATGACATTTTAAAAGCCTATAGGACGAAGGGTTTTCACGGGATATCATCAAAACCCGCAAAAGGTACTAGAGGATAAGTGCTTTAAATTGATACCCAATATACCTATAAAAATAAATATTTAGGTGATGATTTGCTGCACACACAAATCCAACAAATTCTTTTAATAATATAGATTCCATACAACAACATGCCGTGGAAAAATTAAAATTAGGCAAGTACAAAACCAAGTACAACTCATTACTTTCTACTTTACAATGTTATATCACTGCAAAACAAACTCTGTAAAGGCAAACATACCATTTTTCATACAGTCCCTTTAACTATCCACCTTAAAATCATGATAGACAATTTTTTTTGGAAATGTTTGGAATTTTGACCACGTTCTTTAATACGCTTTGGCAAATGATTCAAAAATGTAATTCCTTTGGACTGTTTCTGGCTCTTTTACAACGTCTCCTCAGAATGAAAGTGAACGAAAGACAAAAAAATGGGCTAAAGATTTTATAGTTAAATGTTAACTCAAAGGTGAATCTGTTCATGCTTCCATAGAGACTAATCTATATAATTAAATAATATTTAATTAGTTTTGAAAACCTCATCTCAAAACTTCGGACATCCAAGGGGCGTATCCCGAGAGAAACTCAGTGAAGTGAATAGGCCTATGACATTCCTAGATATGTGGACCATCTTTGTGCTTAATTTTGAATCTATCGGTTTAGTATTTTTGTCGTGACAGCTGCCCAGACAGGCAGATAGACAGAGAGTCTTACATACACTAATCAAAGATAATGATTGAATGTGAACTTATAATTGTAAAACTACTGGGAATTATAGGGGAGGTAGATTAACTCAGTAATTGTGGTTTTTGAGTACAGTGACAATGGATAAGGTTCGACCAACAAGAGTTTACCTTTATTTTGAAGAATTTTCCTATGAAGTTCCTCTACGATTTTGGGTACCTAACGTTAACGAGACGCGGGTTTTCAAAGCTATGTGTATGCCTATACTAGGAATTAGGATGCTGAGAAAACGTAATTACTGGGTCTTGAAAGCAATAAATTACAACGTGGACAATTCATTACCACGGAGAACGGTTCCGTAGTCAAGGCACGCATCACACATAGGTCACGCGTTAGTCGTGCATGCGTTATGCGTAGCCACGCATACATGTTACCTAGGCAACCATAATAACAATAGTTGGTTTATTAACCTACAACTCCTGTCTACTGGAAATGTAACGGATTCATCGTGAATATATCATAACCGGCAACCGCTTGAGGATTGTAGTGATTGTACAGGGTGTATTAACACTCTCAATACACATATTGTGCATTATTGTTTAGGCTTGTATGTCCTTTCACATCATATGACACTTGGGTTTACTCCAGAACCATGTTACACATTACTTCAGGATACAGACTCTCGGTCCATGGCATTACCATCGTCTAGTCCATTAGTAATTGGCGGGATTTGAGGCCGTGACTTTGGGATTCGAAACTTACGCTCCAGACCAGCTTGCTCCTCTTTTTATTGGTTAATTATAGTCAAAATCGTGGGTACGAATATTCAGCTGGACGTTATCTCTACGTTTTCAAGGTGTTGTTTTGTTCACGAATATTAGAACAGATAACTGTATGGGTCATAAACATAAACAAAGCAAAACACTGCAAAATCAAACAAATTAATGTGAACGCCCATAGTATACAGTAGTGTATTTTAAACGTGCAATACTACAGTAACACTAACAGTGTGATTTGTCTAATTTTGTTCCAAAATAGTTTGGCGAATGGAAACCATTGTGAAAGGAGCAATTACCGCTTGATCTTGGAGTAAGCTATCTAGGACAACGTTCAGTTGATGGATAGGATGGCATCTCTATCTCCCAACCGGTCTGACTCTTCTAGATAAATGCTGGGTTCTGTTTCTATTGCAAACTATAGTCTGTAAGGTGGAACCTGTCTGGTGACACTCCGTCTACCTGAAACTGGATCTAGGACAACGTTCTGTTGATGGCTAGGATGGCATCTCTATCTCTCAACCGGTCTGACTCTTCTAGATAAATTCTGGGCTCTGTTTCTATTGCTAACTATAGTCTGTATGGTGGAACCTGTCTCCTGACACTCCGTCTAGCTGAAGCTGGATCTAGGACAACGTTCTGTTGATGGCTAGGATGGCATCTCTATCTCCTAACCGGTCTGACTCTTCTAGATAAATTCTGGGTTCTGTTTATATTGCAAAATATAGTCTGTATGGTGAAACCTGTCTCCTGACACTCCGTCTAGCTGAAGCTGGATCTAGGACAACGTTCTGTTGATGGCTAGGATGGCATCTCTATCTCCTAACCGGTCTGACTCTTCTAGATAAATTCTGGGTTCTGTTTATATTGCAAAATATAGTCTGTATGGTGAAACCTGTCTCCTGACACTCCGTCTAGCTGAAGCTGGATCTAGGACAACGTTCTGTTGATGGCTAGGATGGCATCTCTATCTCTCAACCGGTCTGACTATTTTAGATAAATGCTGGGTTCTGTTTCTATTGCTAACTATAGTCTGTATGGTGGAACCTGTCTCCTGACAGGGTCTTCTTGAAGCCCGGGTAATCTATTAGCTAGTCTCCAGGTAGACGAAGGGGCTTGAGCCAGGTCCCATCATACATACATAAGGTATAATCTAGTGTTCTTGAGGTGGACTGCCAAATCTGAAACATTTTGATATGTGTTATCAACTACTATACACGTGTTCTTCTATTATTTAAAATTATGTATAACATTGTGCACTGTGTTTTTTGCCAATGGTCAATAGAATTGCCCATAGTACAGTAGTTCACATATATCGTTGTGTTTCGTAGTAATTTTTAAATTAGCAAAATAAACCTATAAAAGAATGGCAACTTATAAGAGAGAGTGACAGATACAAGTATTGATGAATCACAACGTGCAAGCATACAAACAACTGTATCATATAGGCCTATAGCTTCTTGTTGAGGTTGACAGATTTCAATAAAACGAGAGTACGTTGGGGTGGTTTTGGTTTTAATCAAATTGTTCTACCAGTCTTCCCTAATATTTGAAATTTTACATCCATTAATAAGCGATACACTTATAATTTTTTACAATTTGTTTATTGATTTGATTACAGTTTACAATTTGTATGTGCTAACTTACTACGTACATTTTCCCAATTAGAGAGAGGGTTAGATTCCTAGCGAGATCGTTTCTAGTTTGTTTATTGAGCAACCAAGAAGTTTCTTTAAAATGTTCCCGATTTTGTGTAAATTGTGTAAAAAGCCTTTTAACGTACCTGGTCTGCTTCTGAAATAATGAAAACACAGTTTTCACACCGACCCATTTCACCACGTCAGCTATTCGGTACTGTATCATTAACAGGCATGTAGAACATTAGCGGAAAGTAGTTCAGAAGATAGTCCAGCCTGTGAACATAAGCCCATAATTTGTTTGACAACCTGCAATTCTCGGGGAAGCTGGACAACGACCAGCCACAAAACACAGCGACGGCATTAAACAAAGCCAATCTCTTGGACAAAAGACTCCGTTAGCTTTTTGTGACTCGTCGGTTCCTCGACCAGGTCACAGTCGTGCGCATGCGCGTGTGTGAGTTTGCATGTGTGGTTGAGCAGTTGGCAGTTAATTAGAGGAATGGCCTTGACCCTAGAAATCCATTGTAAAATCAACCTCTCGACCTTGTAGTCCCTGGGATGTAGTTTTTTTACACTTTTGGACCTTGAATGTAATGTAATGTAAGAATGGCAACGAGTTCACTAACTTTAATTGCAAACTTGAAAACTGCTTTATCTCAATTGGAAAACAAGTATTCAGTCTTATGTACACACAGACATAAGGTCACAATACTCTACCTCAGACAAGAGATTAAGACTTATCAGTTTTATTACCTTGTCTGGTTCTAACTTGCCATTCTAAAAGGACTGACTCCCATCCAGATCAACTCCGCATTAAAGTTTTTCATAAAGCAATTTCATATAATGACGTGATCCTACATGACTAGGAGAGATTTTTTTAACATCGGTTTGATGATAAGTCAGACCGCGAAATCTATCTCATTACGCAAACCATAAAAACTACTGTAGTGAAAATGCACAGCAATTAGCAACCCAGGTGCACATTTTTAGAAGTTTTTCAATAATTTTATGAATTTAGAAGAATCTACCAACAACCTTTTCATAGAGAGGGAATTTTTCACCACTGTTGTTAAATGCACCCCGGTAGCAAATATTTTTACCGAAATTAAATTTGCTACAGATATTGTACAAATTTGAGATTAGTTTGTTTTGACATTTAAAAGATCAACACGGTTGAAGACACTGGGACTTCTCTCGTTGAAGCGGTAAATGGTTGTAACAAGTTTAAGCGAGTTTGGACAGTGATAGTTTGTATTTAAGTCCCAACATTTGTATACATCTCAAACTCATTCAATCTACAGTACAACTAAAAAAGTATAAGAACAAATAAGTTAGATCTTTACTAATCACGTACAAAGTAAAAGTTGCATGAATGTATACTCCAAAATGTTTCTATTAAAATTGATAATACGGGAGAAACGGAAAATCTTAACGAAATAGATAGAGTAAGTAGTTACTGTCCAAAAAATTGTGATAACCATCTTCTGCCTAGTGCAGATCATCATCCACGGCTGCTAAGTGGGAATCAGGCACGGTCCAATATGCTAGACATCTACAACTAATCCAATCTAATACTTTCCCGTGACGAAGGAAGCTGTCTCATAATCAGGCCTAACCTCAAACCTCAAACCCAGTTCTGAGATGCGCCAATTGGCGTCGCGTCCATCTAGGTTAATATTTCTCTCCCGAGTCAGACGCATGCAGAGTACAAAATATTCTACCGAGTCGTGGTTTCACGAGATGGTGAAGTCATAACGGAACTTTAGGCTTCTAGCTAGGCTCCACATTAGTAGGGCACGGAGAACCTAACCTCTGCTCTGTACTGTTTCTGTAATGGAGGAAGTGCTTTCAGTTGTATAGTGACCTACCGGTACTGAACGCTAATCTCCTTTTCACTTGATTGTTTATAAGACTTTCATAACAATGTGAACTGGAATTTGCTGCCACCCGACTGTGAGCACTTCGGACTTTGGAGGTATCATCTGTTTCGACTACTGCTGAAAATGAAATTTTTACTGCTGACATTTTTTTTATTCAGTATTATTGCTATGGTACAATGGTATTGCTATGGTCCCTGATCTGGGGAGCGATCTGGTTTTCGTTTTGTGGTTAGAGTGTGGTTCCTGAGGTCCCGGGTTCAAATTTCTCCAAATTAGCAATGGATTTTGTCTAAGTTATAATGCCACAGCCCCCAAGTCTAGGTATAGCCTGAAGTAATGTGAACAACAAATCCGGACTCGACGACAAAGAAATTATTGAAAATGAGTGATGGCAATTATCTAAAATATATTAGGTAATAAGTACAAATCAAAAGATAACTCTGCCTATAGGTTTGAAGATCTTAATACTAGCTGACCCGGCAAACGTTGTTTTCCATATGAATGATTTCTTGTGAATATTTTTGTAGTCAAGTTAAAAATACTTTCTTATTGCCTTTGCAAGTGTGTGGGGACGCGGTCTTAAACAGAAATACGAATTTATCGTTTTGAATAGCAGCGGTCCTTCAATTACTGAATGTCACTGATTGCAATATGGTTGGTGTCTTGTTTCTCTGTCAAGTTGTCGGGCAATACTAGAAGAGAGTATGTTTGCCATAGCAACAACTACATTACAACTGATGTGCTTTTGCAGATATGCGGGCTGGCAGGTGCCATGTTGCTGACTCTCTTGTCAAGTAGTCTGGCAACTCTACTAGAAAGCCACAAACGTTGTCAGGGCAACGGTCAACAACTCAAGTATCTGTGGGGAGATGCACTAACAGATTCTCCAGACTGTCTAGGACCAAATAACGCACCTTACCCTTCGTAAGTGCTCTTGATACTTTTGGAATCAGCAATCTTAGGGTATTCAATATAATTTAGCATAACTTTACCAAAGTTTCCTGACTCCCTTTCCAGATTACAGTATTAAGTCTTTAATGTTAAGATGCTTTTGGTTCTGATACTGTAAGTTTTAATCAACTTTGTTCTTGATGGACTGATGAATCCCTGAATATATACAAAGATCTCTCTTTGTGTGTTGTTTTTCTTCTGCAAACCTTTTCTATTTCAGTTGGGGTCATTCTTACGCTCTTGAATTTTTTTACCATTAACATCTGTAGCTCATTTAGTGATTTGTTAAAGTAACTTCACCAATAGGAAACTTTTTTATCAGTGTAAAGCAAGAGGTGTAATTATATGCCCAATTAAAAACACAATTTGACCCAGAAGCAAAAGTTGTTCTTATCTATCTATGATGAAGTGGCTGAAAATAATGAAACAATTTTGTGTTATGGCGGACATATTTATCCTTCAATGAGCTTGTTTTTGGTATAGAAGTACTTCATCATCAAAATTAACTTACTGAATCATATTATAATCTTACACTTCACGTTTCATTTTATTTAATAGCTTTACATATTTTGTTATTGCATAACATCACACCCAGTTCTAAATAATCTGGCTAACCAAATACTTCTCATAGGTTGCAAATCTCAAGGACGTTCCACAAGATTCCGACATGGGGAATATCATCGAGAGCTGGCCGATCCTCTGACACGGTCGACCCACAGCTCACTAAAAAGATACTCTTAAAAAGTTTTGAACTTACCAACGACTTGAGAGAGTCGCATAGCAGATCAGGTAATTAGTAACTTACTTAGTTTAGTCAAGTTATGATCTGTGATGTCTATTTGACATTATGGTAATTGGCAAAGGATCACTCCATTTCAGTCATCACACTCCATTTCTTTTTTATGTCATCTTCTAGTAGTTGTGATAAGAGGCAAAGGTATAGTTTAGTCCCATAGGTGTTCTGTCAGATTCCTTTCAGTTTCTTGTCACAAAATGCATTTAATGATGATGTGGTTGTCTAGGGAGGGAGTTCAGCAGTAGAGAGACTTGCGGAAGTACTCCAGCACGTTTGTGCAAGACTAGATACAACACCACAGCACCGATGTATGGAGTATCTCTTACGTCTGGGCAGCCTGTCACAATCGTGCAGAAGTTCCCTGATCTGCTGCAACAAGTTGTCTACGAAGTTTGCGAGTAAGTACTACAACGTTTGAATGTTCACTGTAAACGTTACTCAAACAAACCGTGTTACAAAACTGAAGGGAAAAGTAGTCAGTTTCAGTCACTAAGAAATTAAAATAAAATTGATTTTGTTCAGGAAGCTTGTGGGTTAGTTTGGAATCAACATTATGCAGGGTCTCTATTAGCTTACATCACGTGTACTGAGAAGTATTAATCAGAGAAATCTTTTAGACAGGAACGTATAAATTGTGTTATCAAACGCGCACACATGGAGTGGGAAGAAGACTTGATAGCAATGGGCGGAGTGGAGAGTATTGGAACAGATTAGTATGGGCTTGCTGAAGTCAAAAATGGACAAGATATTTCCATTAATATATCTTCAAGTTGGACCAAGACATTTATAAAACAAAAACATCTTAGTCCAAATTTTAAAACAGATTTGTACAATTCATCGTACAACGGGTATGTATTATTGAAGTCAGTTTGAGATGCAGATGCATATTGCAAGGCATTTTTACTCCTATGCTAATCTTTCTTATACCATATTCAGCGAATTTTTATGACCACCTGTTTATCCATAAATACCAGAGGGTGAGGAATATGACTCGGTACGACATAGACATTCCACTGATATCTTACAACCTTGTTTACCTATTTTAGTTTTTGCAATATTTATCTTAAGAAAAAATAATTGAAATGCTCAAGATTCATCAAACGTTTCAGGACCAGCGAGTGCGACGTGGTCAGGGGAGAATGTACTCAGACTTACGTTCCGTACCTGTTCCTGGTGATTCCCCTGGGACCTGTAACGCTGACTGGACAAGACTACGTTCTGGTTGAGAGCGGATGTGTCTGCAAGCCTAAGTACGCGGCTGCGTCTCCGACCTCTAGCGTTGCCCCACCGATACCACCGCTCTGAGACCCTCTCTAGCCTAACTTGTGATAGACTGCTGTGGTTGCCAAAGTGTCTGGAAGAAAGTGTGAAAACTTTAACATTTAAGTGGAAATTGTGAACAGCTTTATTGTGAGACTTAGGTGTTCTGTGGTGATCTAGTGTTCTACAATTATTTTGGGTTATGAACAGTGTGTTTTAAGAGATACAGTAGAATCATGATTATCTGATCTTTTGCTATCCAAGCATCTGTTTCCTGGCCCTCCCTGCATATGATGGACCACCATGAAACACCTTTTGCTCCTGTAGTCAAATTTTTATATGCATACCTCATCTACACATGTTTTATTCACGTCAGAGATTTGTAAATGAGTATGGACTAGCTTTATCGTGCAGTGGTGTTTTTCTTTATTCGGTTATGGCTTACTATGGGTGTTCAAAATGATTTTTCCTGTTATTCAACCTGAACGGTTATACAACAATTCCGGATCAGGTCAGATAATCTAGATTCTGCTGTATAGTTAAATAAAAAGAACAGAGAAGAATAGATCAATTTATGATTAATGTTTTTGGGCAAATAGATATGATTTGTGAGCTAGCACAGAGAAGTAAAAAACAAAAAAACTTGCTTATAGGACCGTGGGCTTTTAACTCCAGAATGTGTCGGAAATATACTTGTGACGAGCAAGGAGAACCCAAGCAGCACTGTGCGGAAATTTGTATCACACAGGGCACAGGTCTTCCTCCACCGTGAGCACTGTAGCACATGAGGGTGAGAGGGGGAGGTGTTAAACTTTGTCTTAGACACCACTTAAAGTACCACAATTTACCTCTGTTCCTTACTTCTCTGTGGTGCTACTGAACTGGAATCTACAAATATCGTTTAATTTAATAACTTTCTTTGGCATGAGAAGGGTACAAATTATGCTGCCATCTTGATTAGATACAACAATTGAGGCCTGGTACTAAAAACAGAAATTTCTTCTTTTGTAACTGATATTTTTTTAGTACCCATACTTCCTTTCAATTAAGTCCAATCTCTAAATTGCTTTCCAGTTGTAGGCTACTGTACTTCTTTATTACTTACTTACTTTATTAATTATATTTACTCGTTTGCTGTACTTATTTTATCATAAACTTTTGTTTCAAGGAAAGAGTGTTTGAATGTAGGTGAATAATGTACATATCTTCAATAAAATAGTAGACTATTATTTATTTTTGTAGGTATTTAGAGGAGAAATATTTATTTTAACTGAATTTTGGAATATTTAAAAGAAAACAATTTTATATAGGTAACCAAATTCTAATTTGTAATCCTCAATGGGTCAAATTTCTGAACAGTTACAGACTGACACTTCTGAATTACAGACTTTTATGTTCTATTTAATTTTTATTAACAAGGGTTTTAACCTTGAACATGAACACTATTGAATTTAATTCATTGTATATAGGTCATTCTTGCCTCAATTGTGTAACCAGTATTTAATTAGTTTCAAATACTATACAATGAGAAATACAGGGTGTTATATTTTAATAACATAAATTGACCTGTAATAAATTATTATTATCCTTAAAGTGTTTTCTAATTCAATATCCTCTCCAAAAATAGGGGAAAACAAGGGAATGCCATCAATCCCTATGTTGTAGTAATACAGATTGATGGGGAAAGCATGTGAAAAACCCCTAAATCAGTACCACAATCTCTTCATTAATTTAGGATAATCTATTATTTAACCTTCATTACACAAGGTGTATTGACATAAAACATATTTTTTTAAGCCAGTAAAACTAAATTTAAAATTACATTTTACTGTGAAGCCTTTTAGCCCTTTATATAGTAAGGGGATTGAAAAATGTATATCTACTTGTAACATACACTTTTAAATATTTATCCAATAAAAATAAAAATATACATAAAATGCAATGTTTCCTCAACAAAACAGCAATACAGTCAAAACGTTTAAGTAAAAGTATGTTGTTTTATTTGTTTAGCTTATAAAAAAATTACCAATTTAAAAATTCTAAGGCTTGTGTAAAAATATTTGTTTGACAATTCACCATACAAGTAATTTATTCAAATGTACCTCTATATCTTTTCTAGTTGAAAAATTTCTTGAGATGGGCCAGTTTACTCTTTATTTATGACACAAAGACGAGTATTTAAAGAGGTATTTCAGGGTAACTCAGCACTCACAGTCAGTGTCTTGAGGAGCCGAATCTGTAGCTTCTGCTGCATCAACTTGAGTGTTCTTTCTGACGCTGAGCAAACTAGGTACTCTAGGCATGTACGAGTCCAGTTGTTCTAGAAGGGCGTCGGGGTAGTTGGGTGTATAGTATCGGATTATCTCTTCTGGATAACAGCTGTTGATAGTCGTAATGTACTCCATCAAAGTTGAACCAGGTTCAGCTTGAATTTCTTGTATCCTCCTTAAACTTCCACTAGCGGCAAACAGTCTTCTCGCTTTCGCATCGGTTGGCAAAATCTTACTGAACTGTCCGAGAACATGCTTAATAATATCCGGAGGTGCCGAGTGCAGCAACGGTTCCAGCTCGTTGGTATCTGTACATTTTTGAAGTGTGAACCTCAATGTCGCTTTACACTTGCCTTTGAGATCCTCAGATGAATTTGGGTTTACAAGAATCTCAACGAGTCTCGTGAAGACGTGAGTCTCAGCCAGATGTCTGACGTGCTCTGGAGAATGTCTACCGAGATGTCCTAGTGTCCACACAGTCGCCGCTAATATGTGGTCTTCTGCCTCCTCTTCTAATATTTTTGCTAGTCTGGGCACTACATTCGACGCGATGAGAGCGAGAGAGAATTTCTCTGAGTGAGCAGCGATGTATCCCAACGTCACTACAGCAGGCAAGACAGAAGTACCACCTTCTTCAGCCAAATGATCGATTAGCAACGCCACCCCTCCAGAGTTGACGACGAGCTGGGCGAACTGAGCGTTGTGCTTGACAATGTCTCGAATCAAGATGGTTGCACTTCGTTTGACCGTCTGGTCTGGATGAGCCATGTCCAGCATCGCCTGGGGAAGGATTTCAGCTCCCACGATTGATTCTGAAAGCTCGACGGAGTGTTTGCAGATGTGTCCGAGTGTTTTGTATACTTGCGTCTTTACCTTGGTGCTGTGAGAGGAGGCTAGTTTGACCAACACTGGGGTCGCGTGTGCATCCAGCACACTTTGTGCCAGATCCACCGAGTGTTTGGTTATCTCACACAATGCGAGACACGCGTTCTGTTTCAAACACAACTGAGGATCCTGTAGGCACAACACCAACATTGGCACCAGCCCTGCTCTATCTACAGTCCGTGCCAACTCCGCATTGTGACAAGCTATGCTAGCCGCAGTGCAGGCAGCAGCTTCTTTGATACTGCTGTCAAAACTTTCCAAGCAAAGCTTTATCGCATCGAGACCTCCACTCTGAACAACACTCTCTGCCAAGTCGAAATTGTGCTTTCCCACATTCTTGAGGCACAACATTGCAGACTTTTTATAATAGCTTGTTTTCTTGTCCAGATTGTTAACAACCAAAGCTAAAACTCCGTTTTGAACAACAGTACTTGCAATTTGACTGTTATGACTTGAAAGCCTTGCTAAAGCCAATGCAGAATTGTTCTGAACGCTTGGTACAGGATCTGCCAAAAGGGGCTTGAGTAAATCTATGGCATTGCCTTTAACTAAATACTCAGCGTTTTGTGCTCTCGAGGACAAATCATTGACTGTCTGGGCAAATTCTATCCTGGCCCTCTGGTATTGATCCAAAACATTAAGAATACTTGTTGCTGTCATTTTACTCTTCAAAAAGTCAAAGTCAATTGTATATGTTTTTACATTTTGTTGTTTACAAATAACAGCTCTAACATGTTTAAAATTTAAACATATCAGCTGGCTTAGTAACAAAGTTTGTTTTTCACTAGTTAGCTCTCTTCTCAATGAGAAAACTAGCTACACAAAATCTTTGGCTAATCAGTGCCGATTATAAAAAGCAGTTACATACATAAAACTAAACAGTATTTTCTGTTTTATTTGTGTAAGTTATTACTAACAACTTTGGTGGTTTCCTACAATAAATTGTAAATACCCCTGCTGCAGCAAGCCTGCAGACTAACCGAATTTCTACTTGCCAGATTGGATTTTCACTAAAATATTTCCTTACAAATAATAGATTTATTCACTACAGTATTTACAAAAAATTAGGTGTAACTTGTTGCTTTACTCGCTTCGCAACGGAAAGATGACACAGAAAAGCATTACTATTTGCGATTTCGAAATCTACTTTGTCAAAAACTTGAATTGAATTAAAAGAACACTATTGGCAAAAAAAATGAATTGCATCCCTCAGTTTTATAACTTTCACATATCAACTGCTAGGGCAATGTTGAAAAACAATATCTAATCGATATTTTTTAAAACAATTTCAGTGTAATGTGTGAAAATAATTAGGTAAAATTATTACTATGCGACTCAGAAGAGTGATTTGTTTGATTTCAAATTGTAGTTAAATAAGTATTCCTGTGTCTTTATGTAAACCCTGCCGTTTTAAATTGCTTAATGATAGTTTTGAATAAAAATCAACATGACATATAGATTGCTAGTTACTAAAAACTGCTAATGAGTTATTGGTTTTGATTCTACCATATCAAAATCCGCGAGTTAACAATTTGATTAAAGTTTTAACCTGATGTGCTTTAATCTCCATTGGGAAATACTGAAGGATAAAGAACATTGTAAATTTCTGGGTAAACATATTGACTATTTTTCAAATAAACACAGGTTTACACAATTGTACCAAATATTACCATGGATCATTTTTACTCCTGTTATCGAGCATACAGTTATATTTTATACAATAACTTGTTTATTATTAGAGATACGACCTCGGACCTGATAATCACTATTAATTGTAGTCCATAGGATTACAACGACGTTTTAACCAATGTTCTATCTTTTATGGTGTTCGAAATATCAGCGTTTTAATGCATAGCGCAACCCACCATGTTTGCCCCCTCCCCACCTTATCGGCAACTTTTGAAATGGGCGACATTAGTGATTTTGATCACCACAGTCCATAATCAGCAATAACATTGCGTACTACTTTCATGCATTCACAAACCCCCTCAGTTCCTGAACTAATATACAGTATCATAAAATAAAAATTAAAAGTATAAAACTTGTACAAGCATAGCATAAAAATAAGCAGTTTAAGCGTAGCATAAACTATGAAGTTTAGGATCAAAAAGGAAACAAATTAGGAAAAAAACACTTGTATTCGACAAATTATATACAGTCATTAATACCTAATTATTTATCAGTACATAGATACAAAAATCTTAAATTAAGCGGAATATAGAAACTCAACTGCGTCCGAGCTTGCTGAGGAATAACTTTAATGTGAAATCAACAAATTATTGGTCTCAACAAGTTCCCTAAATTGTTAAAATGTAAATAAAACTTAAAATTAAAGTCCTGTAGACTGTGTTGTTGGATACTTCAACTATTATGTAAAAATAAGTGTTTCCCACTTGTGTCAAAACCAGAAATAGCACCATCTAAAAACAAAAACAAAATGCATGCTTTTTAACCAACTGACTTGAAACGATTCGATGGAATATAAGTTATAGGCTAGGTTTGTTTTATGTTTTATTACTTTCTTTGAAAACTTCACAGACTTTTAAAATATTATACTGTAATGAGTGATCTGAATCATAGACTAACCAACACAAGTAGACTTCTCATCCCGTTGTAAATTTTGAAGCTTGTTTTTGTGTTTAGTTCATGTTGGTGACACTGATGGCTAGGGTTGACAAAATTTTGTTTCTATTACTTAAGGGTTGATTTAAGGATTTGTGCTTTACTGTCTGGTTATATAACTAGGGGATGAATTACCTTTTATGATTAGATCGTTTATTTGGTAAAAGAAGGTTTTAAACGACCGAATAACAAGAAACAAATTGTAAAGTAAACACAACCTCTCCAGTGCACCTACAATAAAATTGTCTTCAGATGATTCATAAGAATGAGAAATCTACTAAGGGAGTATGTTTGGTTTTAACCCACCTTTTCTGCTGTACATTTCTTCCTTCTAATTTAAATCTTATTTTTTCTCTAAAACATCATGGTTTTGCATTATGAGATCCTAAGCAAAGTTAAAACGCATGTTTGAAACAACAGACTTAAAAACTTAGTAACCTACATAAAAAACATAACCAACTAATCTTTAGAAGAAAAACACATCTGTGAGTGAAGTTACATTCTAAACTCAAGTCAAATAAGTGTCCTTATCATTTATTAAACAAACTATAAAATATCAAGAAAACTAGCACTTTAACTCATTTAAGGAATTAGTCTGGCTAATCCGTTTATTATAAAATAATGTTTTTAATTTCCCCAAAGTATACACAATCATGTGCACAGCCAAAACATCTTTTTAACACGTTCACACTTACCGACCGTCACACTCCTCTGTAACTGAGGTATGAGTCTACTTGGTAGCTAATGTGTTAAAACCTAGATTAAAAAATAATTTTAACTTCATAAATAACTAGCTTGGACACCAAAGTTTGTGGAATCTTTATTGTAAAATAAGATTAACAATAATTATATACACATCACAAAGATTATAGTTTTACAGTATGATTAGAAAATCACATTTTATGCTGACAACACCAACACATTATGACATGTTAAAAAAAATGCAATGCAAAATAATAAAAAGTTGGTTTTGTACAGTATGTACAGGATAGGAGCAATCAAACTAAATGAACCTCATACATTTAGTAAAGAAATAAGGTAAAATATTTTTACAAGTATGTTTTTTCCACTTAAAATAAAACTATAGGACCTTTACATTAATTTGATTGTTTTTACATCACTAATACGGAATAAAAAGTTTGAAAATTGCATCTAAAATAATAAGGATTTTTTGAAATGTACCTAATAGGTTTGTATTGACCCAATTTCAGTTCTTCAACGTTTAATTTGAAGGGAGAAGGGATCATCAATCTTCTTAAACCCAGAAAAATCCTTAACAAAAAAATATCACAACGTAATCTTAGGTTAAAGCTACTTCTCCGTATGACAAAATTGACAACTGAAATCAAATTCACAACCAAAAACGAAACTGATCAATTGCATCATTCACACTAAAGTTATTCCAGATCCTAGGTCTAATATAGTCCGAATAAATAGACACTGTACGCCGAGTAGCCTAACATTGTTTAATGTCTACACACTGTCCGATGACCTGTCTTTCTCAGCTAATCTCGGGATTCTGTATTTCTTTAAGTCCTTTGCTTTAATAGCCTCCACAGGAGAGAGTGGAACATCGTCCATCTCATCCATACACTGTTCCTCCTCCTCTTCACACATCTGTTCGTCGTAATCCTCCTCGTCTAGTTCGTGTTCCTCATGTTCCATGGCGGGGTCGAGGTAGTCCGGTTCGTCTTCCTCGTGATGTCCTATCGTAATCTCGCCCTCCTCCATTTCCTCATGGTCCATCATCTCTTCATTATAATCTCCGTCTTCATCTAATCTATCTTCGTCCTCATCATCTTCGTCTCCTAGAAATAAGATGAAGATATGATTGGTGAAAATAAACTCTTGATCTGAGTCAGACAATTTTGAAAAAACTAAGAAATATTAATTCAACTCTACAGTAATATATGTAAATTTCACTATTCACTGCTTCTACGAATCCACTACTTGTTTTATTGATTTAAGTTTAGCCATTGATAATGTAAAGTGAGAAATCAGGAAATAAGTAACTACAGGCGTCTAATGCAATAACTAGCACAACAAAAACACATAGCCCGCCACAGCAAACCTGCAGACTACACAAATTCCCATTTACTCGGATCCCCTGGACTCACCCATATGATCATAATCTTCATCATCGTCGTCTTCCTCCTCACTGTTGGCATAGTTCATCCCCATGTCAGGACTCAGGTTGAGCACAGGCAGATTGAGAGCCTCAATGTCTATCCTTTGTTCCTGCATCAGGTGAAGTAGAAGCTGTTGGATGTCGTATCGCTTCCGAGTAACAATGTCCGCTTGAAACCAGTCTTGCACTTGTAAAATCGGTATGTGGAAATCCGTTATTGGACACTGTAAATAGAAGTTTTGTTAGCTTTGATATACCAGTGTTTCAATCGCATACTCAATAGTTTGTCAGTAAAAACAGTAATTAATCTTTCACTAATGACTTTGTATTAATTTTAAAACAAGAGACAGAACTCATAGGGTTTTTTTATGGTAGTAAAATCTTGAACACTTAAAAATGCTGTACAGAGTGTCCCACAAAGAGGTAAGGTTTGATTTTACATTACATGGCCGTTTCTGCATCAAAAGTTTTCACATTTTTCACAACTGAGAGGCTTTTAACATTTTGTTAAAAATTCAGTTAACTAACACATAAAACAAAATTGTAGTAGCCTATATTGAAAATTACCAATTTGCTTGGAAAAAATTACTTTCTTAAGATTTTTTTGCTGCAGTTTTGACACTTATTTTTGAACAGCTGTTTCGAATAATATTGCTTGAGCCATGAAAACATAAAACCGAACATTCTCAAGTACAGTTTTACTCCAAGTCCAGTGACTTTGAAAAATGAATGAAAAGTGAAGTGTTGTGGATATATTGCTTTTGGTTATACTACAGAAGCAGTTAGACAATTTGTTTACATCACTACCAGTTGGAACAAAAGACTTTTAAACACACCAAGTACCTCCATCTCATAAGGTGAAGTGATTTTTCAACAAACCTGAAAGAACGCCTCGACGTACTGCAGCACATACAGGCCGCAGTCAGTGTAGTTGGTCTGTTGCGGGCACTTGACGTTGGTACCTTTCAAAACATCGCCACTGAAGTCTCGCGTCTCTCCATGCTTGGTCTCGTACTCAACTCGCAAGTAGTCTCGTAGAGTAGCCACAACACGCGACCTTGGAGTTCCCGCTAGCGAGTCGAAGATCAGGATGCACGGCCTTGGAAGAAAAATACAAATATTACTATGGCTTTTGACAGATTTAAAAAGTAAAAATGATTTGGAATTCAACAAATAAGATGTTTAGTCATCTTCTATGATAAACTGTTGTTATTAGGGCAACTGTTTTATAGGGCCCACTTAAAAAAAATAAATATATGCAAATAATTATCCTTCAAACAAAATAAAAATTAGTTTGATATATTGTTCTATTCTATAGTCTATGTCTTCTAGACTGTTCCAAGCATTTAATTTTATATTTAAATCTAACATTCAGAATAAAATATGTAGTCAATTAAGTACATACTGTTTCACTGGAATCCGCTCATTCTTTTTAGGCTTTCGTACTTCTTCTTCTTCTTCTGGTTCCTCTTTGACCTCTGTGGCACCTGGAGAAACATCTTAATTAAAAACCTATTAATAATTAATAATTTATAAATTTAAAGTAACTTTATTATATTAATTTTTGTTAATATGTATCTAAGTACAGTAGACTCTTGATAATTCGAAATTGGTGGGCCAAGCATATAAATTTGAATTATCAAGAGTTTTGAATTATCAAGAGTTCGATTTATTGGGAGAAAAATAAACCATTCGAATTACAGAGAGTTCATTTTTTAATACATACAAAGGTACAGCACGTTACAATAAAACATCATACTGTACCGTATTTTAGTACACTTTTAAACAATCAACGGCTTATTTTTCAGTTACTTTAGTTGCAAAGAAGTCTGTTATTTAGCGCTATATATTTCGCCAATAGCTGAACTATCAGCTGTCGACAACTACGTTTGTGCTCAAGGAGATGTCGCGCAATCTAGAGATCGGATTGCCAACTTAGAAAAACACTCAGACTACTGCTCTAACTAAACAAACATCAAAACGTCCAACACTAGCCTACCATAGGAACAGGATGTACTGTACTGTATAGTTTCCTGTTATAACAGGAAGAGATCACTTCGAATTATAGAGTGTTTTGCCGACTAACTTCGAATTACTGCGTGACTTTGATTTATAGGTTTTTTCGACGAAACTTCGAATTACAGCATGACTTCGAATTATAGAGTGTTACCGACGAAACTTCGAATTACTGAGTTACTTCGAATTATAGAGTGTTTTTCCGACGAAACTTCGAATTACTGCGTGTTACAAATTGACCTGCCCTCTATTTGGACTTTGAAATACCGAGTGTATCAAAATGCATGGTAAAAATTCGAAATATTGAGAGATTCTCTAGGGACTGAGCCTTCATTTGAATTATCGAAAGTTTTGAATTATCAAGTGTTTGAATTACCAAGAGTGGACTGTATATTTCATTTTTAAGACAAGCTATTTAAAATTGTTACAAAATTTAGGGTTAAATCATGACTATCTTGTTAAGCTACGTTCATAAGACATAATTGCAAGTTTTATCTTAGACCTCCTACTTTTGTACCTTAACTACACATAATGACCACTTTCGTGCCCCATCAGAATCATTAAATGTTTGGATTCAACATATAAAATGGAAAAAAATTAATATTTTTTGGCCAAACACAATGCAATTTTGCCTAAAATCAATTTAATTAATTCATTCAAACTAAAGTTGGTAATAATACTTGAAGTTTTTGAGATCACAAAATAAAAACAACCATACTTCTGCTTAATATTATTTGCATTCAACACTTGTCACTTAGGTCTGGCGCACATGGTCGATTTTTCGATCGGCCGATTAAAAAATCGGCCAAAAATAAATCGCCCTTGATTTATGTCTAGGCGCACACGTGGCGATTTTTTAGTCGGGAAATGGATTTTTTATAGTGTGTTTAAGCTATACTAAAATGGACTTTGTTGAATTAATCTGTGTATGTGCTCTTCTAATTAGATCAAAGAAAAAAGAAGACAACTTAAATATTGGGTTCGGTTCATCCGATAGTAAGTCAGAGACTTTTAAATCGAGTTTTATAAACCATACACTTTACGTGATGACAGTAAACAGTTCTTTAATTACTATAGAATGTCTGTTGAAAGTTTAAGTTTTTATTACAACCGCTGTGGCCTTTTAGCAAAGAAAACTCACACTGAAGTTCACTGACACCTGTGGAAAAAAAAGCGCCTGGCCGATTTTTTAGTCGACCGTGTGCGTGGACTGATAACAATTTGTACGTTACAGATTTTCGAGCGACAATCGCCTCGCCTACGAATCTGTGGCAAAACCCAGATTTTAAAATCGGCGCAATTCTCGATCGCCTGTGTGCGCGCTTCCATTCAAATACATGATGCACAGATCGGCCGATGAAATAGTCGCCTCAAAATAATCGCTCGTGTGCGCCTAGCCTTAGCCTACCTCGTCTTCATCTGGCACATCCATCTTCTCATTCTCCCCGTCAGCCTCATCCCTGTCCTCCACCTCATCGCCCAGGTCCAGGGTGGCCGTGCCTGGTGTAGGGGTCACGGCAGTGATGGTGGTCGAGCCTATGGTCACTGATTGCTTGCCAGTCAGTGATGCCTTCTCTGTACAACACACAACGTAGTAATTCAAAATTGAATAACTGAACAACGATGCAAGTGTAAAACTGACCTTTTTTATAGAAACACTAAAACTCAGAGTACACTAACATCTTACAATATCATGGAAGAACAGGAAAAATATACATTGTAAAAGAAGTAGCACAAAGAGTGGCATAAATAAAAATGCAAACAGTAGATTAAAATTTTACTGTTGTGACATATAATACAACAGAAACAACAAGGGGTTCCTGGAATCCTGATGTTGTATGGGACAAATAGCCTAGGTTCCAGGGGGTTGGTTTACCTGAATGGGCAAGAATACATCCTGGCACAAGGAACACATATAATTTATAAAATAAACAAATATTACACTATATTACTATTGACTGACAGTAATTTTAACCAAGAGCTGTTTAAGTTAGTGTCCTGACATAGCCTTTTAAGTTCATGTCGGAATAAAAAAAGCTTTTAATGGACTATCTGAATATAAAACTTATCTGATCAAAATCCAAAGGAGTTTAAACTTAACAACTGAACGGAACCAAATTCTAATATTCCATACAAAAACAAGTATCGTAATAACACTTGCAATGAAGATGTTTGAAAAAAGCTTCAATAAAATGTGTCCACACTTTTTATCCATACCTTCTTCTTTTTTCTTTTTCTTGTTAGGAGGGTCAATGGGCGTGTTATCGTCAAACCTCACACGACCTGTCAAGCCGGGGAAGCAGACGATTGCTAGGAACCAGTGAGAGCTGTAACAGGGACAGAACAAATGTTTGGACAATTTCTCTACCTCAAACTTATTTTTAAAAATAATTTAGAAATTTTTGTAGCCTAAATTTTTGGGAGGTTTGTAACCGGTTTGTGATTTTAAATATTAAAATACTGAAATATCAATTAAACTTTTTCTCACATTTAAAATTAAACCATTTACTTGCATAAATAAATTTAAATGAATAGTGCAGTAGAAATAACCGAAAATATAGCTTAAGGTGGAACTAATTGCAACAGAAATGATTCTTGCTGTTAATGGTAGGTAGTATGCTTCTAATCAACATACTAAAAATATACATCCGTATTGTGGCGCAAAATACGTTTTTTGGCCGCCATCTTGAAAAAAGTGTCAAAATTTTAATATTTGTAAAAATAACTTTTTGGGTATCAAATTATAGGAAATTTAATGCTGAAAAATGTTATAATAGTGGTTATAAGCACTATTTAGAAATACGATTGTAGTACAAAATACCCCCGCCGCAGCAAACCTGCAGACTAAACGAATTTCCATTTGTCTTAATTGATTTTCAATTAAATCTTGTAATTCAGTTTTAAAAATCTTAGTACAACTAAATATAGAGTTCTACTGGACCGATTTTATTAACTAATGGGTCATTGGAAAGCAATTCATGTAGATTTTCAAATAATTATGAAAGTTTGATTTTTTAAGATTTGCAAGGTGACACCCGTCAACGTCGACAATAATTAGCCAAGGTACTGTTGAGGTTGCAAGCAAGATCTTTTTAACTATAAATTGATGATAGATAAGTCCATTTTTAAATGATTTGGGTCATTTATGATTTAGCATTGTGTTTTAGGTACGTCCGATCTCAATAATCAATAATTCCAATGGAATCTGATATTTCACTGAAGATTTAAAAAAGATAAAAACATATAGGATAATGTAACTGCTGGAATACATTTTTAATTGAAGTAAAAATTGAAAAAAACCAATTTAATTGTTTCGTAGGGTAATACATTTTTGATAGAAAATGATGACAAATATGTGCTTACATAGCTTTGAGACCAATATTATGAAAATCGGTCTGGTAGAAGAGCTAACCCGACTCGGAAAAGAAAAACCAATTATTTTTATAGATTGCAATAATTGATTTACCAGTATGCATAATCTAACCATACGAAAAATGAGTTGATAATTTAACAGCTTATTGTTATATTGTTATTTAATTAAATTTTCTTTGATTAAATATTGTTGTTAATAATTTGCATTTGTTTTTAAAGTGTGTTTCTTATTTTAAGTGTGTTATTATGAGCTTAATATGTACCACATATTAGTGAGTAAAGTGGTGTATGGATTTCATAACCATTATTTTACTAGAGACCGTTGCATTAATTTAACCACAATGGGCTCTGTTGCTAGTCTATTAAATAAATAACATTAGGTTAAACGAAACGAGTACCAAGGTTTGCTGCTACAAGGAAACCAATTACGTGTGTTTTTAGTAAAATATTAATTGTTTAGTATAAAATAAATAAATCTTCAAAGTTTTATCAAAATATATCCATAAACAAGGAAACTACAACTTTTTACCATATGGAGAATATGGTAAAAAGTTATAACTTTTTTTTGTCTATTCTTATGGAGAATAAGAATAACATGGGGATTTTAAATTTCCAATTTTTTGAATTTTCCCCGTTACCAATAATTGTACAAAACCCCTTTGATATACTTAACCATTTGTTTTTTAAGCTCTTTAAAAAGGTCTAGAGAGAAATTGGGAAATTTTACGTTTTAAGGGTCGAAAATGAAAAAAAAACAAATTTTAAAAGTCTAAAATAACTTATAAATAGAAAACTTTTCAAATGCCACATTTTTAAACGCACCTTTTTTCGCCCATATTGCATCACTGTTAACAGTATATTTTAAATTCAACCATTATATTCTTTTCCAGCATGAAATGTTCTATAATTTGATACCAAACCAGATTTTTTAACAATAATTTAAAATTTTACACTTTTTTTTAAATGGCGACCAAAAAACCGTATTTTGCGTAACAGTACAAATGTATATTTTTAGTATGTTTTTTATAAGTGTATTACCTACCATTTCTAACTGGAATAATTTCTGTTGCAATTAGTTCCACCTCAAACCCTATTTCTACTGCACTAGAAGTCTTCATCAGAAGGGTATTTGGGTTTTGGGGGTATGGCCTGGGGGGGGGGAAGGTTGTGTGGACGGGTGGGTAGCGTTGGGTCATTATGTGCGCCATTCTGAAAATAATGACTAATAATGACAAGGCTGCTTCATTATACTATGATATATTGTTTAAAACTTTACTATTTCTAAATTGTTGAATAGCTTTGTAAAGATTTCAATTCTTTTTACATTTTTGGCGATAAAAAAAGAATACTTAGAATTAAAAAATATATATATTTGAGGTTTCCTAAGGGGGGATTTCCTTACATGCTTTGACTACAAGAAATTTTCAGTCTCAACAAATAGTATTGAAAGCAAATATTCAAATTCAGTCCTTACAAATAGTATTGGAAGCACTTAATATTGTAAACTTATGTTATTTTCCATCCGGAAAAATGTGTTTTATGAAAAACCCAGGTTCTGATTAAAATTTGTCTGTTATGGTCCTTATAAATCTAAATAAAATAGTACAACCCCCATTCCTGTAAAAATTACGGTTCAAAAGTTAATGCCACTTTTGTAGTTTTACCTATTAAATATCATACTCTCATCGCTTACCCATGATAAAGGTTATTGACAAGCTAATGGGAGAAAGTATGTGTCAGATTGCTGATACCGTTTATTTAAAGGGATGTGGAGACTCTTGACTGCTTTCAATAACAAATGGTGCAACGTATCATACCTTTAATTAAAAAAACATAGTTAACCCTAATAAGAATTATAATGGTAGAACAAATATAGATCAAATTTATTTGGTTTCTTAACATATCACGTCAACTACGATTGTCTGAATCTAGAACTAAATATTTACTGACTTTTCATTTATAGGTATGATGATGAAGTCTTTGGCAAAGAGGTTGACATTCTTGGTCCAGTTCTTGACGCGGGAATGTCGTTTGACTGCAGGAGATGCTGTGGGGTCATTCTCCACAGGGTTCATGGACTTTCTCTTGGGCGGAGGTTTTGTGGTCAGCCGCTTGTAAAAGAACGAGCTGAATACATGGGTCCTAGCTCGGTCTTCAGGTGATAGTGTCTTCTCAACTATGTATCTATGTGGGAAAAAATATGTATCATACAAATCTGTGTGACATTATGAGACTACCTAAAAGTTAAAATATTTTTGCTTATGAAAAATCTATTGTATGTGTTAATTTGAAGATAATTAAAACACACAGCGGGTTGAATTCGTTCTAACAACTTAGGAGCATAACCAAAATAGTGTTGAGTAGAAAATAAGGTACGGGGAGCGAGCTGGTCAAGTGGTAGAGCGTGGGGCTTCGGTACCCGAGGTAAAAATTGTCTAATTTCATGACCAAGTGTTTTATTTTGATTCTTCCCTTCAATAACATAAAAATTTATATTTTAACTCCAGAAATTTTAAATTATTTCAACGGAGGTAAATTTTCAATCATATGATTCAAGAACTTAAAATTTGCAGCACCTGGTTTTAATTAAAGTCGTAACTCACCTAAACTAATCTCATAGAGCCCAACAAACTACATGTCTAATATAATATATATAAATACCTCGTCACAGCTCTGAAGTTGCTGTATATTACAGCTGTTTCGGCATCAAAATGCCATCATCAGATACACATATCCACCTAAATTGGCGTCGTTAATCTGTACACACGCACGAACACGATAAAAACATAAAAACACGTAAAACAAGGGACAGGCCTGTCGCGTACATGATTGCTACGAGTACGGAAGCTGACTGGACAACTGCTAGTTCGTTCCGGCCGTGGCGGTATTATCCGCTGGACTTTGATCCCTTGTCTGTGGCTTGCTCCGTTTGATAATGTTATTAAAAATAGTGTGGGATTTAAATTGTAACTGATCATTTAGAATGGGCTCATTGTTGCTTTTTGTTTTGTGAGCTTTATAAATCTCATATTCTTCGAGGGTCTATTGAAACTACATGTGCAAACAAAACTACTCACTTGAGATAGAAGTCAATGATGACATCATTTAGGAACTGTTCACAGTCGAGGCAAGCGTAGTCTTCAGTGTTGATGGATATGCCACCCTTCTCTGGAGGAGGAGGGTACACCATGATGCTGAAAACAATAGATTGTTAATTAAAAACGTTTTTATTTATACCCTTTGTTGAATAATGTTCATAACAAACTTGCCAAGTGAGTAAATAAGTAAATAGTATTCTAGATCAGCGCAATCTGTTGGTGGCTCACATCAGCTACAACGAATTAATACTGGTGACAACTTTAACATGGGGATGGAATGTCAAGTTGTAATTCAAAGGTACAGGCTTCTCTATATTCACCCCATGCTGTAAATAAAGCATGTCATTGTAATTGCTTCCATTTGTTTTAATTTTCTGTTTATATTTCGTTGTTATTTCATCACCAGCATGGCAACCCATAAAGCCCATGTTATTTTTTTTATTTCAAATTAATTTTTTGTGCTTATATTTGAGACTATTTTAATTTTTAAGGGATTCTGCACATCTACAGGAAAATATCTTTCTAAAAGTATGCGTAGATTTTCCCTACGATGCACACGAGCACATGCTTGCCTATTAATTTATAGATTGTAATTAACCTACAAACTTACATTTTGATATTTTGTCCATTAAATGGGGTTTGTTGCTGAGGAGGAAGGGGATTCTTTTTGACGATAAAGGCTTCAACCTAGAAACAATTTCATGAAAGGATAGCTATACAATACAAATAATCTTTATTCACAAACATTTTTAAAAAAGTAAATATATGAATTGTGTCACAGATAAGGAAATCTAAATTAAAAATTAGGCACCTAAGTACCCTAAATAAAAGATTGTGAACATAAATCATAGCTTAACATATTTATATTTCTCTCTATATATTTATATAACTCTTCTATTAAATATACAGTGGTATGGAATGAAAATAGTTTCTTTTAACAGTATTGAAACTATTTTCATTGAAAACATTTTGAGTTAAGTTAAATAAGAATTTGTTGCCAATGAAACTGGTTTTTTTCTCAAATAACTTGAATAAATTTGTGTTGTTCAACATGCCTGGTAAACTGTGGAATTTCTTAGAATGAATATCTGAACTTTTTACATGTAGAATGTTAAACAAAATTTATAAATCATAAATGGTCATCATACTTTATTTAGAAAAATTTTCCTACCTGATTGTCTGTATTTTATACTAAAGATAATTCTAACAGTAGGGCCTATGTCCAGAGTGAACGCTAATTCAGATTCAGAATCAGATTTTTGGCGTGAGGTTAATCTGAGTCAGATATTTCGTTGGTGGCTACAGTGGAAGCAGGAAATACGCTGCCGGTATTACTAGCTTAGCTATAAATTAGCTTACTTCCACTATTTTAAAAGTAGGCCTAACCTTTTTTATTTGAGAAAAATGTAATGCTAAATAAAATTGTCCTTTAAGCTTTTAACATTTTACGTTTTTATGAGTTGGAGATTCGTAATGAGCACGAGCACATTCCTGTATTTATGTATTGTACTTAAATAAATAAAGTTAAATGAAATGAAATAAAATAAAATGAGAACAACAAGAAGTAACACAAATCGGGTTTTATGATGTCACTTCTTTTAATTTTTTAATTTAGGAGATAGGGCTACTATTTTTTTAGAATATATAATTATATTATCTTTATATTTTACATAATATTTTGTACTATAATTGGTCCAAACGACTTCTGCGATCGGAGCAAAAATGAACGATATTGTCCTCGGTGAAGACGAAATCGTGTTTGCAGGGTCGTAATCTCCATCTCCCACGGTCGCGTCGGCTATCTCCGAGACCGAGGATAAATTGTTCCTATGTTTACGGTGAAATAGCGAACATCTTTCGCGGACGCAGGGATATATTCTACATGCCGAAGTCGTTAACATCTCCTGCGAACGGGCGGACAACATTATTGTCCCCCGCGATCGCGGCAAAATCGTTAACACGGAACATCTTTTGCGGTTGCGAGGCCTTATTTCATCATCCGCGGATCGCGATTGTGAGAGCAGATTATTATATTTTAACAGCAAAATTTATTTTCCAAGAGAAAAAAGTTTTTTGAGACCCAAGTGAGGCCCCTTTTTAGGCCGATGAGAGGCCCTCGGCAATCGCCGCACCGTGTCTGCCGTTGGGGGAATTCGGCTCAGATTTGGGGGCCTATGTTGGTGTGGGGCCTGGGACGGACCGCCCCTCCCGCCCCCCCCCCCTCCGTCGGTACGCCACTGCCCGAAACTCATTGTTAAAATTGAACATCTTTTGTAAAATTGTAAACTACATGAAACAGAATTTTTCCTCAAGAGCGTTTAGTGTTAACCCTAAAAGTAAGGATGAAAAATTTAATATTCTACTATAATAACAACATTTATTTAATTAAATAGTATGCGTACGAGCAATATCTGAATCGGAATTTGAAACCAAAATGTATATTCATTCTGGCAAGCAGGATGATCACTTCCATTTGAATGCCCCAAGTGCCATTCCTGCCGCCAAAAATCTGAATTGGAATCTGAATCGACGTGCACTCTGGACGTAAGGGCTTTATCCCGTTGACAAAGAATTTTGTCCAGGTTTTTTTTGTGGTACCACCGTATAAAGCTATTCTACAAGCTGTATGTGAATTTATACAAATGATAGTGCTATTACATGGATAACACTGTACGTTTAGTCAGTTAAAGTAAGACCCGATACTCAGAACAATCTTCAATGTAAAAAAGTTGAAGTCTATTTCTATTTAATTTAAATGTATGAATAAATATGTTTATTGACATGAACATTATCAAATAGAGATGGTTCATGATTAATAAACAATAAATATAAATAACTTCTTGATCAGCATCGTACGTCTTATTAAATTACCAGAAAGTACAAAAATATGTCAAATAACACTAGTAACAATATATTATTAATAACACTTATATGATAGTGATGGACTGGTTTCAGAATTGGTCGATTCTGAATCCAGAACTTTGGTTTCTATTCTCGATTCCGCACTCAATACCTGTTATACATTCATTTATTAACCCATATATGTGTGCTTCTCGCGATCCCTATACATAAAGGAGCATGTTATTTTTATTTAGTCTTAATACAAACATAGCTTAACTGCATTGCTATTGAATAAGGTAACATAGATCAGGTTAGCCTATAAGGAAAATAAGATACTTTAAGAAGACATACATTTTTAACATATTTCATTAAATTAAATTGAAACAAAAACACCGGTTTAGGTAGGGCTAAAGCCTAAAACTTTCACTGAGTTTTTTTTTTTTTTGCATAAGCAATCATACATCTAGGCCTAACTTACATTGAATGTTTCATATTGCTTGAGTTATAAGCTCAAAGTCATCTTCAATATTGTAATAATGTTTATCACTTAAATTACTTAAAGAATCACATAAAAGTCATGGAGTTATTCACATCACTGGAACAGAGATCATAACCTATTTTTGAACAATTCACTACACCTCGCATAGCAAAGCAATCAACAACAAAACATAACAATGAATTATTCAATTCGGACAGCTGTTTCAGTTCAGTCAGAGAGAAACAACATAAAATAACCATAAAAATACATCACTAAACGGCCGTCTCTAATAGTCACCATGAAGCCCAGTTAGTATAAGAAAGCCGGGGTATTGATCACGCATAGGCCTATATAAAAATATAAAATAACGAACAAAACTTAGTGCCTACAAACTCGCCCGATTTTGGGCGAGCAACACTCGTATGCATCAGAAAACCCACCCAATATTGGCTGGGTGACACTTACAGGGTTAAAGGATCAACCTTTGATTATATATATACTCACGAAGTATGTTTATAGTCAATGATATTATACACTATGATCAGCAAGTTATCAAGCTCTTTAGCTGCTAATGAAATGTAAATAAAGCCTATCATGAGTTAGAAAACGTTATTTATACCAATCCCATTAACTGTATACAGTTGGAATTATATTTATACATTCAATGCTTGTACCTGAATTCACTGCTTCACTGGTATCGAAGGTATCGAGGTATCGAGAATCGGAATCAGCCCATCCCTAATTATAAGATGAACACTTATACTGTTTACTCACAAGACGGTAAATACATATATGTATGTACTAAGTATATGCATTTACAGTCTAAGTTAACAGTACAAGTATATATATATTATTACTAGTGTTATTTGACGTATTTTTGTACTTTCAGGTAATAAATATAAATGTTGATAGTCCGTTTTTTATGTTTACCAAATTGTTTTTTATGTTGAAGTTGAAAGACATTACCACCTCCTTGGGAGAAGCTTTTACTAAAATGGCGTTGGCTTCCTTCCCTGTCAGTTCGGCCAACACCGGGCTGTCAGGGTTGGAGTATATGTCCTTCAACGTGGATTTGCACTCTTCGTCGATTTTCTCAGGCAGGAATGTGATCCGTCGATGCGTTTCGTCTGAAATGTAGAAAAAAAATAAGTTACACGCTCACCACTACAGCTTATGCCCCCATAAAGACACAATCAAAGGTTATTTGGCTTGTATCCAGGACTTACCCGAACTCATGCAGTCGTAGTAAAACTTGGTCTTGTCCGTCATCAGCAGCAGCTTGCGTATTCTGACTGCAGCGGCCGGTCTGGTGTAGAAGAACAACACCGGCATGCTACGGTTAAAGCTTATCAGGACTTTGATAATCTCGTGGTGCAGAATCTTCACGTCTACGTACTTATCTGTAATCATTTTTTGGCATAAAATATCTACCTAAATCTGTTGGACGAGTTCACCCTTTGTGGATGTGTTTGATATTAAAACACAATCTGTGAAACAAGGTATGGTTAAAACTGCAGGCCGACAAACATGCATAATTTTCTACAAAAATAAAGTCTTTAAAGGAAATATGTTGTGACATCTATGGGTTAAAATAATTTCTATCTCTTAATTGTTCAAGACTTGATTCTCCCTATGTTGCAATTAGGTGCATTTGCTTAACTTTGTTTACATTTGTACATTTGTTTACTTTTTATTAGGGATGGACGGGATTGAATTTTTAGTTCGGGACGGGACGGGACGGGATTTTTATTTCCTTCCCGATTTTCGGGACGGGACGGGATTTTTTTCTGTGCATAAAAAGAAAGTACTGTATTGCAGTTACCAAAAAAGACATACGAAATCAATTTTTACCATTTGTGGCACTGATCTATAAAAATCAAAAAATGGGTAACAATTTACAGGTACCTATAGAAACTTGTGACTCGCGGGTCACGGGGTGATCGTCTGTATGACTCACGGTCACGGCGCGATCGTCGTCATGACTCGCGGTCACGGCACGATCGTCGGTATGACTCGCGGTCACGGCGCGATCGTCGGTATGACTCCGCGGTCACGGGGTTATCGTCGGTATGACTCCACGGTCACGGCGCGATCGTCGTCATGACTCGCGGTCACGGCACGATCGTCGGTATGACTCGCGGTCACGGCGCGATCGTCGGTATGACTCCGCGGTCACGGGGTTATCGTCGGTATGACTCCACGGTCACGGCGCGATCGTCGTCATGACTCGCGGTCCTGACACGATCGTCGGTATGACTCGCGGTCACGGCGCGATCGTCAGCATGACTCGCGGTCACGGCGCGATCGTCGTCATCACTCGCGGACACGGCACGATCGTCGGTATGACTTCGCGGTCACTGGGTTATCGTCGGTATGACTCCACGGTCACGGAGTCATTAATTATTCAAATAATTATGAATATAAATAAAATTATTCAAATAAAATTATTCAAATATCGTCGTCATGACTCGCGGTCACGGCACGATCGTCGGTATGACTCGCGGTCACGGCGCGATCGTCAGCATGACTCGCGGTCACGGCGCGATCGTCGTCATCACTCGCGGACACGGCACGATCGTCGGTATGACTTCGCGGTCACTGGGTTATCGTCGGTATGACTCCACGGTCACGGAGTCATTAATTATTCAAATAATTATGAATATAAATAAAATTATTCAAATAAAATTATTCAAATATCGTCGTCATGACTCGCGGTCACGGCACGATCGTCGGTATGACTCGCGGTCACGGCGCGATCGTCGGTATGATTCCGCGGTCACGGGGTTATCGTCGGTATGAATCGCGGTCACGGCATGATCGTCGGTATGACTCGAGATCACGGCTCGATCGTCAGCATGACTCCGCCATCACGGCATGATCGTCAGTATGACTCCGCGGTCACGGCGCGATCGTCGGTAGGACTCCGCGGTCACGGTGCGATCGTCGGTAGGACTCCGCGGTCACGGCGCGATCGTCGGTATGACTTCGTCTCCTGCGTTCGCGGACCTATCGCTCGCAATAACGGCGTTATCGGCACTCGCGAAGCGGAAAAATCGCCGACGATCGGACCAAATCCCGTCCCGAAAAATTCCCGAGTCAAATGTAATCCCGTCCCGATAATCGGGAATATTTTTTTCCCGAAAAATTCCCGAAATTTCGGGACCCGTCCATCCCTACTTTTTATTCCACCCTATGTGTTGTATCAAAAGGTCAACTACATTAGAACCTCTTTAATCCGAACCCCTGTAATCCGAACGTCCACTAATCCGAACGCCTCATTGCTGTACTCTATACACAGTACAGTAGTTCTTTATTGTATACTGTATTTATTGATATACACACCGTAATTATTTCAATTGTAATGTACAGTACTATTCCCTATGTTTACTACTATAATAAATAAACACTGTATTTTACTTTATAAAGCATTTTTCACTTTTCCCTAGCTATGGTTATGTAAAAACAACAATATGTTCTGTAATCCGAACTATTCAATAGTCCGAACTACCCCCGGTCCCAATTAGTTCGGATTAAAGAGGTTCTACTGTACATCCATTCTGACTCCAAAACTAGCGACAACTATAACAAAAGGATTATCTAGTTCTATCAATAGCTAAATAGTTTTAGAGAACCAAGAGAATTGTATAAAGATCCGGATGTAGTTTCTGCAAATGTAGGATTAAATGGGCTGGACACGTTTTGGGAAGAGGGGAAGGAGGGGAAGAAAATAATCTACAAGTAATGAGGAACTCTGAAGGAAGAAGACCAACACGAAGGCCACAAGAAAAATGGTGGAAAAAAGTGAAGAGAGATAGAGGGGATATGACCAACAGATGAAGATTGAGAGAGATGCTTATTTGGGCTTTGATGGTGCGGTCATAACCTTCTCTGGGAGTAGGTAAATATCAATAGACAATGGTACTATGAAGGTCAATACAAATTATCTACACAATCCTCAAACTAGATGATTTTATTATGTTCAATACAATTCTTACAAACACCTTGTACATGTATGTAATGATAAATGTCCCCTAAATCCATTGACTAAATCTGAATTGATTATTACCTATTATAATACCAACAGATCGTACAGCTATGTGAACAGAGGGTAAAGATAAGACCACAATAAACTTACTTGTAGTTCCAATAGCTGGAATCGTGAACTTTATGCCGTACGGTGTAATGGTTACCTGAAATCATATCAGAACAATATTAGAAGAAATGCTTGAATAAACACTCACATTTGCATATTTAAAGTGGATTCAAACTGTAAGGGATCATTTGAAACAGAGTACAGTAGTCTATCCCCCTTATCTGCATATCTATTCTATTAGCCAGACTACACTTATCAAGTGACATCCCCTTAACAGGACAATTTCATAATCAAATCAGTTTAACTGTACGATAGGAAAGTGGTAGGAAGTGGATGGTAAAGAAACTACATCTGAAAGATTTGAGTCTAGTTATCACGTGTCTAAATACAATGCTCTCCAAAATTAAAGTAAAATATTTGGGTTAGTTTTCAAGAGATTCCAATGGCTGGCATGAATATCTATCATTAGTCTTGTTCAAACACAGCCAGTATCAAAATAACGAGTTTTAGGGGACGTCGATTTAACCGAAAAAAAAAAAACCGTTTATCAGACTGTCCTCAGTTCAGAGGGGTCCAGATAAGAGGACGTCTACTGTACTTTAATTTTACACTGCAGAAAGAGAAAGAAAAAAAATATAAAATCATAATTTTATCACAACATGACAAGTACAAGTTAATTTGAATAAGTATTTTATAGGGATGGACGAGATTGGATTTTTAGTTCGAGACGAGACAAGATTTTTTATTTCTCATAAAATTTCGAGACGAGATCGAGACAGGATTTCCCTTCTCATACACAACGGGAAATGCACATTCAAAATTTTTACCTGATTTTGTAACATTGTTAGATGACTGTTTAAATAGGCCTACAAAAATAATGATTGATAATAGGCAAGAATATTTACAATCTTTTATTAAAAAACATCAGCATAACATTTTTTTATTAATCACGGCCAACTTATTAAAAATGCCTTCGATTAGGAAACATAGTGATATCAGTTAGGATAGAGTTCAACTTATCCTAAAATAAAATAAATCTTAAAATAAAAGCAATATTAATTTTTATAAAATAGTACTTGTTTTGACTTTTTATAGTAATAAAACATTCCTCACACTGCTTACACTTAACAAAACTTCTCAAATGTTATTAAAGTAATATTATTAAAATAATTAAAGTAATATTTACATTTTAAGAATTAATTAAATAAGAACACCTTCGCAAAGGAAACGCAACTACAACACGCTCCTGTATTGCGGGTATTGCATTGACTTTCTGCAGGCGTTTTTAAATTTTTTATTCTCGTCTCGATAAAAATCTCGGCCAAAAGAAGTCTCGTCTCGTGTAACGAGATTTAAAATTTCCCGAAATTTTTAGACTTGACCATCCCTAGTATTTTATTATCAGTAAGAGAGCTATGAATCATAGGAATCTAAATTCCTCTTTGAGTACACATAACACATACCATTACGTGACACATCATCGCTGCTCAAAACAAGTCATGTTAAAAATACGTAATAACGAGTGTAAGGGTGAGATTTTGTTATACAGAGATGACTTTTTCCATGAAGGGATTCCATGCATTCTCTCCTTAGGAATAAAATTTGCATTGAGCACAACGGTATGCAAAGAGAATGTTTCGTCAGGTTATCAGATGTCAGAGTGCACTATGTCTTATTACAGAGCTATTAAATTGAAGAATATTTTTCCATCAATCTCCACTCTAGAAAAGTCCTGATAGAACAAAATATCAGTGAAATGTGTACCTTACTCTTGTGTTGTGTATTTATTAGCCCCTGAATGTCCACAGTACTTACTCTGTCCTTGGGGACGACCTTGTACGAGCCGACCCTGACTGTTCGACACTGAAGGAACGTCCGCTGTTCACTGCAACCGTCCAACAACTCCTCCAAGTCTAGTCCTCCTCCTACAAACTCACCAGCTTAGCCAGTGCCACAATCCCGCATTAGTGTTAATGTTCCATAGCAGAACCCCTTAAACTATGTTATGTTCATTGACACCCCATCTTTATGGACTGTCTGTTATTCAATTCAACACAGTTGAATGAGCTACTCACAGTTTAAGCTTCTTTTAAAGTATTTTTGCCTTAGTTTCAGCGAATTTCCCTTATGGGGAAATCAGCGAGACAACACCTAGACCCGGAACTGGAACAAATCTACTTTTTTGTTTTTATGTCCCCAGAAACAAAAATACCACAGTAGGTACACCGCTAATATTCTTGATAATGAGTGGCTGAGAGATTGTGGGTAATGGAAACCTAACCTAAAATTCTCAAGAACTTGCATTAATTTTGAATGCACAGAGGTGTTTACTCAAGGGAGGTATAGATGAGCCTACGATGACAGCTGTGAGCTTTTGATTAGCTGAGGGGACACCATTACCACAACGATACGGTGTGGAGCCATCGGCCTCGGTGGTCTAACGGATAGCGTGCCGGGCTGATAAACTAAAGGTGCCAGGTTCGAATCTCACCGGTAGCACTAACTTTGTCTAAGATTTTTTCATTATCGACAAGTTTGGTTAGGTTATGACAGTTTAATTTATAATTAAAAAATTATAAAAATTGAATTTGAGGAATTTATAATTTTTTTATGAACAGAACTATTTTTTCGATTAGTATACCTTCATTATAGCCATAGTGCTCTCTACTACAGCGCTGTTCATGGAGGAATTTTGGACTAAACTATGATGTCATCGATGCCTCATTAATACCTCCCGTAAGTCAGACCCATGCACAGTTGAGCTTCAATCATGTTAGTTAAGGTAATAATGAAACATTTTAAAAGCAGTTTACATACATTTTAAATTTGATCCACAACAAATAATTATAGAAATCCTGTGTGTAAAGGCCTAGTAATGACAAAAATTAAAACCCACACACATTTTTCGAGCTCTGTGAGTAGCTCATTCAATAATGTTCTTTTTGGATAAAAATTGAATACAGCTGGTCCAGACTTCCATCTACTTCAATATTCAAAATCCAACAGCGAAACTTAAATAAACCCCACATACAACTAGGTAAGTAGGTCCTACAAGGTAAGGTAAAATTTGTATTAAACATCCTATTTTTTAACTTTATTGGAAAAATCTGAATTGAAAGGTATAACTGAGCATAATAATGTAGACATTGAGCCTATCTTCATCAAACACTCTAACAAGCTGATTGAAATTTAATTTTTGAGAGCACTTGATAAATTATTTAAATAACTTCTTGATCAGCATTGTACGTTTTATTAAATTTACGGAAAGTAAATAAAGAAACGTCTTATAACACTTAAAACATATATTTACGCTTATTAGCATATTTATGCTTAAGTATAAGCGTAAATATATGTTTTAAGTGTTATAAGACGTTTCTTTTATTTACTTTCCATAAATTATTTATACTTTGTGTCAATTGTTTTGTCTTTTCAACCCAACTACTGGTGTTTCCCTCACGTCTTTATAACAATAAAAGTAATGTTAATGCACTAAGCTACAGGGTGTCTACCAGTGACGGAAATCAATGTCAAGAAAAAGTCACTGATTTTCATAGGGTGTCTGGTGTTGCTCTATGCTTAAAGAATGCAGTGATCTAATTCATAATGTGCTGATTCGATTATTGATGCTATCAGGTCGGCGTAAGATGGTACAAGATCAGTCTAGACAATTTTCTTACAAAAAACGTTAAATTATGCTAATTGCTGTACATAGAATTTGAATAAAAATAAAATGCAGAGTTAGTGAGCAATTTATTTTGGGAGCAGGCAACCAGCTAATCGTTAGCTTAGGTTGGGTATTTTAACATCATCTCCTCTAATTTTCTTTGGTCAACTGGTGAACACTCTGTAAAAGGAGCATGCAATAAAATCACACCAAGCATATTATGTTCAGGCAATGCAAGCTACAAGATATTGAAGAGGACAGGTGCAAGCTAAATGATAAAAAAATATTTCTAAACTAAGAGTTTAAATGTAAATAATTCATAGCCTAATATTTCACTTTTCATCACCCTTGTTGTAATAAAAAAGGCTGAGCATAAAGTAACTAACAAACATTCCCAGGGTAGTGTCCTCCAAGTCCTAAGGGAAGTAGTTAGTCATTCTTCAGACCCTGGGAGTCTTAACTTTCCGTTAAGTAACTAAATAGCTTTTTTTCTAAATAGGCGTGTCAAATATATTTTTTTTTCATTTCCTTTACTCTACCAACGTAAACTTCAAGATGAATAAATTTGAATGAAACTTAAAACTCCTACTCACCACTGATTGACTCCTTTAGCTCCGTCACCATCTCGTCAGTGATGATAGGCTCCTTATCGCAAGACGACATCTGGCTGTTGGAGTCGGAATGGAACGATTCCTCGTTGTGATGATGGTGCAACCCGAGTAACTCTTCGTCGTCCGATATCGTCAGACACACTGATGTAACATGGACAAGTTAGATGAGTTATCAAAATAGGATGTGACCAAGTGAAACCATGTAAAATAAAACAGCTTAAAACTAAATATGAATTGAAAATAATAAATCTTGGGTGTTGTAAGGCCTAGTGGTTACATCTCGGACTGTGGTGCAAGAGCAAGAGGTCCAATTCTTGTCATATGAAAAAAAATTGTATAGGTTTGAACCGGTTTACTGTAAAAAGCGTTTGTTACTTCAACTTTAGAAATGTCATTAGCATAACACTTACAAAAAGCCCTATAGAATGGTCTGAAAAAGTGAAAACACATCACATATTTTAGAAAAATCAAAATATCTATACCTTTATAAATAGTCAAATTAATCATATTAACAATTAATTATAAAAACTATACCTTAGATTTATGTGTATTTTATAATGTTTTAACATCATTTCAAACAATTTTTATTTTGATTGACTGTTTTAATCTACAAAATTAACATTTATCATACCAGGTTCTTCTGGCTTCTTCTTGTTCCTGCATATTCTCTTCTTTTTGGGACTTTCTCCGCCAGAGAGACTATCGGCTTTGGTTTTTCTACCTGTTTGAGTCGTTTGTACCACAACCTGTAAAAAGATCAAAATGTTCTCATTCAAAGAATTTTACTATCATCATTTAATTCTAGCTGTCTTGCATACATCTGAATTTTTATTTGTTTGCATCTCAGAAAATATATGTAACAAGATCGAATTATAGAAGCATGGAAACATTTTTTTAAAATCCACTAATGTTTGAGTTCATTCAAAAGCAAAATACCAATTAAAATAGGAGCTAAAGAGTCTAATCTCATTTAAAGAATCTTTTATTTGGTTTTATTGTATTTTTGTTAACAGTTACATAAATAACTGACCTGAGTTAGGGCGACTGACTGAGTGAAATCGGTAGGGATAGTTTTGCAGTCTGGGGGTATTTTCCGGTTGCAACGTTGGCACTGATTGAAGTCAACAGAGGTGTAGCCACAAAAGTGACACACAGCAAGTAGCCCATCTTTGTACAACGGTTCACTCCTCTGGCAAACATTAGAAATAATAATCAATCAACCAAATCAAACATTTCAGATAGACGATTTTGTCATGATATTATTTTTTTAACAGTTTACAAATATTTAATAGAAAACCTGCAATATACAGGATGTTTATAAAAGAATGCCAGGATTTAAATGGTAATGGATTGGGTAATATTCAAGGTAACTAAACGTATTATATGTCAAATTGAAGCTAAAAAAACTAAGTTTTGCTTCCCGTGTAGCAAGAGAAGAAACTTTGACCTTAGCATGCGCAAAACAGTTGCACGATGGTAGGCTGCTATTGTGACTCACACGCCTGATTCCAGTCGCCAGTACGATGTTTACGGCGCAACAGAAGGCATAGAGTGTAATCTGTGGTTCGCAGAGCTTATATCGATTGCTAAATTAAACTAAATTTAAATCTACTTGTTGATTTGAAATTGAAATTTGACGTTGGTTTAGTGAGATTTGTGGTGCCAAGGTGTTTTGAAAAGACATTCAACTGGCCGTCTAAAACAAGCGATGACATAGTCGGAGAAATCCGACAATTCTGCTTCAGGATCCCGAAAGAATTGATTGACTGACAAAGTCTTCAGTTGAACATACCTAAATCGACACTTATGACATTATCTGTAAAAGATAGAGTCTTTGTGTCTAAAAAGATTCAGTTAAGGAATCAGATAAACCCGCCGATTGCCCTAAGCGAACAGACTTTGCCAGTTTTAAGCTCATATAACATTGATGAAAATCTAAATTTTATTAAATTATTCCAAATTGTATCAAAATATGAGATAAAAAATTTGTTCTTTTCCCTTCAATTTGATTTTTAAATCGTTCCATTATCTTGTATAGTCCCCGAACAACAACCGTTTAAAATCCCGGCATTCTTTTAAAAACACCTTGTATTATTAGATGAAATATTGGTTTGATCTATAAATCGTATCGGATAACATTTTAACAGATAAACGATAAACACTATAAGGGTTTTCTGTATATTTGAAAAAGTCTCAAATCTGGGTAACTTAAGTGAACTGTCTACCAATATCTTAAATGACAAAACAGGTAACTTAAAAAACCCAAGAGCTCGGAGAACTGTTAAAAGAACCGGATATTATAGCCATAGTTAAGAATAGGAGACTGAGATGGGCAAGCTATGTAGAAAGAAGGAAGTATAATAGTCATAGTCATAGTCAAGAATCTTTATTCATAGTATACATAGTTGTACATGAATAGCGTCAAATAAGTTAAAACTAATGCTTAAAACTATGATATCGCCATTTTCAATTCGTCTAAAGAGTACAAGGACAGGTCCATTAAATATTCCTTGAGACGTTTTTTAAAAATGTTGGGTTTTTGTTCTGTTTTAATTTTCAAAGGAATAAATTTTAAAAATTCATGTCCTGCATTGACAGTCTTTTTTTTGAAGAGCTCTAATTTGTGTTTTCCAATTACAAAATTATTTTTGTTACGTGTATTGTAGTTATGATTATTTTCTTTAATTGGTGGAATAAAATTTTTGTTTTTGACAAACATAATACAATCAAGAACATACAAACCATAAACAGTGAGGATCCTTAGACGTTTAAAGTGTTCTTTTGCAGAATCATCTTTGTTCATTTTTAACATAGCTCTGATTGATTGCTTCTGTATTGTCAAAATTTGGTCTACATTCGAATTTGAGGTGGCTCCATATACACATATGCCATAAGATATATGGGATTGAATATGGGAAAAATAGATCATTTTTAAAACATCAACACTGCATAGTTTTGACATTTTTCTAATCGCACAAAGACCAGAATTTATTTTATTGATAACAAGTTTACAATGTTTGTCCCAAGACAAGTTGCTGTCCAATGTCAGGCCAAGGAACCTTACGGCTTCTGTTATTTCAATTAGTTGGTTATTTACTTCAATATTAGGATTGGAATTGTTTTTGTTTTGTTTTGTTTTGAATGTGACACATTTGGTTTTACTTTCATTTAATTTTAAATTGTGATTATTAAAAAAATCCTCAATACAAGCTATTTCTATTGTGGATAGCAACTCAACATCTTCTGCAGTTTTCCCAGATACTTTAAGATTAGAGTCATCTGCATAAAGATACAAACCTGTACATGGGGCAAAATTTAGACACTTTTTAAAATTTGTTAAGTAACAAATGAAAAGTAAAGGTCCCAGGACCGATCCTTGAGGTACACCAGATCTTATTGTGCCCATATTTGAACTGTATTTTGATTTATAATTGTCTTTAGTGATGTGAGTTATTTCAACAAACTGTTGTCTATTTGATAAGTATGATTTAAACCAATTAAGAGAGTTATACCTGATTCCAATTTTTTCTAATTTAAAAAGTAATAGTTCATGATTAACGCTATCAAACGCCTTCGATAAATCCATGAACACCCCCAACACGTGCTCACCCTTGTCAATTGACTCAATGACTGATTCAACAAAGCTAACAATCGCTGTAATAGTGGACTTTTCTTTCCTAAATCCGTGTTGGATGTCTTCTAGGATTGAATTTTCTTCTAAGAACACAGTAAATTGATTAGAAACAATTTTCTCGTAAATTTTAGATATTGGTGATAGCAAAGATATTGGTCGGTAATTACCAATATCTGTAGCCTCATTAGATTTAGGAATTGGTATTACTTTAGCAATTTTTAAATTGTCTGGAAAAATGCCACTAACAAAAGAGGAGTTGATTAAATGAGAGAGAATTTTACTTAGCTGCTTTCTTACAAATTTTATGACTGACATTGGAATCCCGTCATGGCTGGAGGATAGTTTGTTTTTAAAAGAATTTATAATTTTTTCAATTTCATCTTTATTAGTGTCACGAAAATAGAATTGATTTTGAATATTGACACAGGTTGAGCCGGCCGGAGATAGTTGTTCACGGATATCTCTGGAAGTCTGTTGGCTACAAGAAGGGGACACATTAATAGGCCTGTCCTTCACAACATTGATAAAATAAGAATTGAATAAATTACTAATTTCGAGAGGATCTGTAACTCTTTTGTTTCCATTTACTAAAAATATATTATTTGTGCAATTAACTGAACTTTTCCTGGTTTCTGAGTTTATAATATCCCAAGTAGTTTTAATTACATTTTTGGATTTCTTAATCTTGCTATCATAAAACTGTTTTTTTACTTCAATCAGTTTTTTTTCTATAGATTTTATTCCTTAATCTACCTAATTTTGCCAAATTTAAGTCATTATTGAAACGAGCGTGTTTATTTATTTGAATAATCTGTTTTTTCTCTTCCCTTAAACTGTCATTTATCCAAGATTTTCTTGTAGTTCTTAATTTCATTGTTCTTTTTGGGAATGATAAGTCAAAGTAGTTGTACTGTCTTAAAACAGATATATTAATTTAAATAGTTTTCAGCTGACTTAATTGTTTGTTTGTTTTTGTTTTTGTGTTGTTCATGATTTTGAAATGGAAGTAAAATCTATGTAACATAATGTTAGTTTCATTTTATATTTAAAACTGTTCAATGGCGACGAGGATGAGGAGGAGGAAGGGTGAGAGACACCAGGAGCTAGTAGAAGAAGGTATATTAACACCCAGTCAACCTATTTTCTGTTCTAATTTTGATAAATTTGATGAAGACAATGAGACATGGAGTTCATACATGGTAAGGCTAGACAACTTTTTTGACCTAAACGGAATTACGTCAGAATTAAAGAAAAAGCAATATTTGATCAATTTATTGACACCTAAAGTATTTCACGACCTGAGAATTAATCTAAGCCCATGTGACATTGAGGATAAAAGTTATGACGAAATATGTGAAGCTTTACAATTATTACTGGAACCTAAGGGAAGTATTATTGCAGAACAACATAAGTTCACTAAACGAATCCAGAATCCGGGTGAATCTGTAGGCAGCTTCGCCAAAGATCTGAAAACCTTAGCCAGTAAATGTGATTTTAAATGTCCAAAATGTAATGCATCAACATCTGACGTTCATCTGCGGCAACAGTTTATTTCGGGCATTCATGATGGAAAATTGCTGTCTAGATTAATTGAAATTCACGAAGATAAAACGTTTAACCAATGTCTTGAAATAGCAAGTAACTTTGAGCAAATCAAAAGTGAAACAACGAAAATCCAAGAATCAAATTTGCAATCAAAAGTTGGAGAACAATTTCAGATTCGAGGGAAGAAAAGCGCTGGATATTTGCAAGGAAAGGGTAGTAAAATATCATGTTTCAGGTGTGGGGGACACCATCACATAAGTGCGTGCGAAATTCCAGCAGACATTAAATGTTGGAATTGTGAGAGGAAAGGACATCTCAGCAAAGTTTGTCGGAGAAAGAAACAAAACATGCGACAAGCTGATGACGCTTCATCGACAGGAAATGAGTATGAAGAGGAAGGTGAGTGTCAAAATCCAACTTTTATGTCAATTTTATCCGTTGTGGATAGAAAGAAGAAATGTACTAAATTGTCTAAGCTCTCGGATGATGCATATCAACCCGAAATGGTAAACAGGCCGGGAAAGATTATGTTAGACTGCACCATTGACGATAAGCGTAACTCTTTTGAGTTAGATACTGGTGCTGCGGTCAGTACTATACCGCTGCATCTGTTTAAGAAATTATTTCCAGGTAAGATTCTAAATAGAACAAGAATGCCGTTAAGAACCTATACAGGAGAAATAATTCGCCCGGTAGGGTTTGCGATTGTCGAAATTTGCTATGAAAATCAAATATCTGTGGGCAACCTGTATGTTATTCGGGGGAACGTAGACAGTATTTTTGGAAGGGAGTGGTTAAAGTTGTTCAAAATTGAGCTTCCTTCATTAAACCAGGTATCAGAAGATCAAACAGATCATAAAAAAGACCAGTTTATAGAGAATCTTAAGAGCGAATTTCCTAATGTTTTCTTACCAGGAGTGGGTAAAGTACCGAACTAAGAAGCTCATTTGAGTTTGAAACCAAACTCTAAGCCGGTTTACCTGCCACCCCGCCCTGTTCCTTTTGCTTTAAGGGATAAAGTCAATGATGAAATTGACAGGTTAGAAAAGGAGGGAATTCTCTCAAAGTTGACCTACAGTCAATGGGGTACACCTATAGTACCGATAGTTAAACCAAACGGGGATATTCGGCTTTGTGCTGATTACAAAGTATCAGTTAATAAGACCTTGGAACCTGATCATTATCCAATTCCAACATTGGATGACATATTTGCGAGCATGAGTGGCTGTAAGTATTTTTCGACTATTGATATTTCTCAAGCGTATTTAAACATTCCCATGGACAACGAGAGTGCCAGAGTACAGGCCATTAGCACATATAAGGGTGTATATGCTGTCAATAGACTCATGTTCGGAATCAAAAATGCTCCAGCTGAGTGGCAAAGATTCATATCTCAAGCTCTAGACAACATTCCAGGTGTTACGGTGTTTTACGATGACATTAGAGTAGTGAGTAAAACGTTAGAGGAGCACAAAGATCGGCTAAAAGAAGTTTTCAGAAGGTCATCCAATAATAACTTGCGAGTCAATAGTAAGAAATGTAATTTATTTAAAGCTAAGATTGTGTATTTAGGACATGAAATATCAGAAAAGGGTATTCACAAATGTAAAGACAAAGTGGAGGCGGTAGTAAATGCTCCCCAACCGACCAATAAAGATGAGCTTAAAAGCTGGTTGGGTCTCATTAACTATTATGGAAGGTTTGTCAATCATCTCTCAAGCTTGTTACACCCTTTGTATGAACTGACCAGAGGTGGTAGAAAGTTTACCTGGACCTCAGAATGTGAGAAATCTTGGCTTCAAACAAAAAAGGAAATTGCTTCAGATAGAGTTTTAGTTCCATATGACCCTAAATTACCAATTATTCTGTCAGTTGATGCCAGTCCAGTAGGGCTTGGAGCTACTCTTTCACACGCTCTCCCGGATGGATCGGAAAGACCAATATGTTTCGCTTCTCGCACTCTTACGCTCACGGAACGGTCGTATTCTCAAATCGATAAAGAAGCTACAGCAATCTTTTGGGGTGTAAATAAGTTTTTTCAATATGTGTTTTCCAAAAGGTTTATTTTAAGAACAGATAATAAACCACTTGTTTCTATCTTCAACCCCGCAAAGGAATTACCACGAATGACTGCGCAAAGACTTCTAAGGTATGCCATATTCCTGCAAGGTTTTGACTACGAGGTTCAACATATAACTTCTGAGGAGAATGTCTCGTCTGATGCCCTTTCGAGAGCACCGATAATAGGAAAAGAGGATGAAAATTTCATGGATGACATAAACAGAGCGTGTTTATACCAAATTAGGCACTCTAATGAAGGTCTCAACACATCTAACGAATTCCGCAGTTTTCTTCCAAACATCAACTCTGCCGGACTTTTTGTTGTTGTTGATGTCGGTGTTCGTCTGTGAGATGAAAGAACTTTAAGAAGTTTTTCTTTTAGGTTTCCATTTGTGTCCACTTCTTTTCTTAAGTACCTTTTCACTTCTTGAACATAGCGTTCTGCTTGACCATTGCTCTGCGGATTATATGGTGCAATGGTTCTGTGAATAATACCATTATGTTTTAAGTAATTACTAAACTCTTCTGATTTAAATATTGAAGCATTGTCACTCACCAATGTATAAGGTAGGCCGAATCTTGCAAAAATATCTTCCAAAAACTCTATGGTTTTCTTTGATGTTGCTTGTGTCATGGGACAGGCTTCTAACCATTTAGAGAATGAATCTACAACCAGTAAAACGTATTGATTTGATACAGGTCCTAAGAAATCAACATGTATTCTTTTCCACGGTGCATTTTCTGGTTCCCATGGATGCCACGCTTTAGCAGGATTCTTCTGATTTCTTTGGCAGGGTGTACACTGTTTCACAAATTGTTCTATATCGAGATCCATGTCTGGCCACCAGACATAACTTCTTGCAAGGGCCTTCATCCTAACAATTCCTGTATGAGACGAATGTAGATCATTCAAAACACGTTTTCTCAGAGTGCGTGGTATAATAACTCGATCGCCTCTCATTATACAACCGTCCACTATACTCAATTCATCCAAGTGTTTTTTATACTCCTTATGACCCAATGGTTTACCTCGTAGTAAGCAATCGTAGTTGATGTTTGGAAGAAAACTGCGGAATTCGTTAGATGTGTTGAGACCTTCATTAGAGTCAACGTTGAAACCTACCTTTCGCACAGCCCAACAAGGATGTACATCTTTCAAAGGAACCATAAGAGAATTCAAAGAAGGTGAACATGTTTTGGTAAGAGAAATGGTGAAAAATGGCAAAATTGTTTGGAGAAAAGGCGAAATAAAGAAAAGAATTGGAAGAGTTATGTACTCCGTTGCTGTTGATGACATGCTATGGAGACGGCACATAAATCAACTTCGGAAGATATAGAATCGACAGTATCCTTTGAATTATTTCATGGGGGAAGAGTTTGTACTGTCTTAAAACAGATATATTAATTTAAATAGTTTTCAGCTGACTTAATTGTTTGTTTGTTTTTGTTTTTGTGTTGTTCATGATTTTGAAATGGAAGTAAAATCTATGTAACATAATGTTAGTTTCATTTTATATTTAAAACTGTTCAGTAGTATAAGAGCAGTTTGAAAAAAACATCAAATTTTTTATCAACTGGAGAAAAAATAACTGTCTGCCAATTTTCAGCTTCTAGGTAATTTTTAAACAATTCTTTATTTTCTTTACTAAATTGTCTCCTATTGTCAATTATATAATCAGTATTACATTGTTTAGTTTGTGAATTTAAAATTTGGAGAATTTGACCGTCATGATCTGACAGTAATGTAATTACACCGCTTGCCTTAATTTCATCTTTTTTAAAGTTAGTAAGAAAGTTATCTATTGCTGAAGTTGATCCATTAAAAACTCTGGTTGGAAAATTTACAGCACAACTCATATCAAAACTCCTTAAAATGTTTTTCAACCTGCAAAGTGTGTTTTTTGCTCGATTGTTATCGGTTTCCAGTACATCGATATTAATATCACCTGCAATTATTAAATGTGTATTTTTCAAATTTTTGGAAACAAAAGAGTTGATAATACTCTCAAGCCTATCCAAAAACACATTAACATTGCTCTTTGGGGATCTGTATACACCTAACAAGACAAATTTAACCTTATCAATTACAAACATTGTAGCACAACACTCAAACTGCTTCTCTTCCAGAATACATTCCTGATTGGGAATAGCCACCCGTGACCAAATTAAGTGCTCTTTACTTAAAATTACAACTCCTCCCCAATTAGAACTTGTACGGCAAAAATAAGAGTTGAGCTTGTAATGTTCAATGTTTAAACGATCAATTTCCTGCAATTTTATTTTGTGTTCTGTTAAAACTATTATATCGGGGTTTATTTCATCAAGAACAATTTGTAAGGACTCTAATTTTGAGGCTAAGCCTTGGATATTTTGATGGAAAATTGTTGTATCTTTGAATTTTAAAGTTTTAGCTATGTGACCTGAGTTACCTTTGGAGAGCAGTTTAAAGAGGGCACGGGTAGACTAATCCCATCATTACTACTGTGGGACTCACTAGAATGACCGTTAGCACTTTCACTGGACACTACAGAAGCTGATGTTGGTGAAGCTGATGTAGGACTGCTCCCTCCCTCAATGGTGACTACAGTTGACTGGGTTGGAGTTGCCTGGGGGCTGGACAATTTCTCAGTTGTCGACTCCGGGGATGCAGCAGGTTGGGCTCTAACCACTGTGGTTGAGTCAGGTGGCTGTGTTTTTGAAGCAGGTAGATTATGACAAGTTGGTATTGTCAGGGACTCATCACCAATATTTTCTAGTGCCGCTATGCTCACTAGTTGTGTCTTCATGTGCAATAAATTTGTCATTTTGTGGAGAAATTCTGTATGGGACAAGCCGTTTCTCAATTCTCTGTGGGAGTCTTGATGATAGGACACAATAGTAACATCTGCCTCGGTTTCACGTTGAAATTCGACAATGTTTGAAGTAAATTTATCCAGTTTAATTTTATCTCGCACACATCCGATTGGTGAGCATATTAGATGGTGAAACCCTCTTCTTTTGAAGTCGTTTTTCAGTTGGTGAAAGGCCGTGTCATAGTCCCAGTTGTTAGGTTTGCCATAATAACGGTTCTTTGTTATAAGGCTGTAGATTGAGGCCCCTTGGGTGTTTTGTAGGGCTAAGTGGTGACTAAGGCATTGGGAGGGACTTGGTTTGCCAAAATAGTCTTTGAAAACAACTGCCACACCAGCAGACATATGGCGGGAATCACAGAAGTCAGCCGAGATGCTATGTGCAAATAATAAAGAAGATTAGCAACGTACGTAGCTAGAAAGACCGAAGCTGCGGTGGAAAGACCAAATCCAAAAGGATCTACACAGAATGGGGGCGTCTCTCAATCTAGCGGCAGACCGACAGCAGAGGAGGCATAGTTGGCAAGGCCAAAAACCTTCTTTGGTTTGAGTGGCCAAGAAGGTAAGATAACATTTTTACAATAGTAGAAATAGCGCTAAATTAGTACTACTTAGCAAACACTCACCGAAGCAAGTTCTTTTGGCGAGTCGTCAGCCTCATCAACACTTTGCCTGAAATATACAAAAATAATGCTTAGAGAATGCTGAAACTCATTAAGGGAAAAAATGGGATGGAAGATGGAACATAACGAATAAAGAAAATACATAGCAATACTAAGACATGTAGAGGTTTAGAAAAGAAAACATCAAGATGTAGTTGGTTTAACAAAGGAGCATCTAAAATTGTTTAAAGAGCTTTGAAAACAAATTTTAAATTGAAAGGATGTAAATCAAACTTTTTTATTGGCTACTAAAATACGGCTTTTTAAGGTTATTATTGGTATTAAATAAACCCAATTTTGTATTTCATGCCAGGAAGATATTTTTCTGATAGGCCTATCTACCCAGATAAGATAGTATCAGATACTCACTCTGGAGTTTCTTCGTTCATATCACCCGGCTCCATTTCATCTTGCAAACCCAGTATTTCACCTGGCTCAGCTCTATAGAAAACAAACGTTATTTGCTTAAGTCTCAATTCAACAAGTGATATTCTTAAGATACTCGCCAGATCAGCAAGTAGCTTGCCCAAACGCTAGCAATTTGGTCTTTTTACCAAATGTAATTGAGTATTCTAAATACTGAATAAATTAAATAGCTATAACATTTTCAACATTGACATAAGAATATACAAAGACCAGAAATTGATCCCTGAGGCACACCAACCAAAACTTTTTAAATAGGCCTATAAAATCTCAGCTTTAATATTTTACATCGTTATTGTGAAATGAAATCCATTTTTCAAATCAGAAACCAAAGATTCTCGATTGTTGAGATTCTGATTTGATCTCATTTAGGGATGGACGAGATTGGATTTTTAGTTCGAGACGAGACGAGACGAGATTTCTCTTCTCATACACAACGGGAAATGCACGTTCGAAATTTTTACCTGATTTTGTAACATTGTTAGATGACTGTTTAAATACTAAAATAATGATAATAGGCAAGAATATTTACAATCTTTCATTAAATAACATCAGCATAACATTTTTTTATTAATCACGCCTAACTTATTAAAAATGCCTATGATTAGGAAACATGGTGATATCAGTTAGGATAGAGTTCAACTTATCCTAAAATAAAATAAATCATAAAATAAAAGCAATATTAATTTTTATAAAATAGTTACCCTACTTGTTTTGACTTTTTTTATAGTAATAAAACATTCCTCACACTGCTTACACTTAACAAAACTTCTCAAAATGTTATTAAAGTAATATTATTAAAATAATTAAAGTAATATTTACATTAAAAGAATTAAAAAGTAATATTTACATTAAAAGAATTAAAAATTAATATTTACATTAAAAGAATTAATTAAATAAGAACGCCTTCGAAAAGGAAACGCAACTACAACACGCTCCTGTATTGCGGGTATTGCATTGACTTTCTGCAGGCGTTTTTAATTTTTTTTTAATTTTTTTAATTTTTTATTCTTGTCTCGATAAAAATCTCGGCCAAAAAGTAATCTCGTCTCGTGTAACGAGATTGAAAATTTCCCGAAAATTTCCCTGCAGCCCTATGAAAGCCAATTGACCAGTTTAACTGTTTATTTTTACATATCTTATATTAAAATTACATGTCACTTGAAGTTAAAATACTTTTCTTTTACAAAAATCTGTTGAACTGCAGCACTAACGGTTTCTGAAACAAACCTCTTCCTTTAACATACTCAACTACAAACATAGGATTTTTTTCCCATGTAGAGTTGTTATAATTTTAAGTTTTTTTTTTAGACATATTTCCCCAAAATGGCCAAAATTAAGAATTTTTTTGCATTTTAAGCAGTAGACATGGAGGCTTACCCAGTGTTTTCATTACTGCTCCACTGAGCTCCTTCAACGTCTTCCTGGTAGATTTGTTGAACCACAGCAGTCGAGTTGGGTTCTGTAGGGACCCCGAGAGCCTGTACACAGATTAAAACATTTTAGCCATAAAAATAACTAATACAATACCTTTGGATGGGTTGAATTCAAATTCCAAATCCACCGAACTAAAAAAAAAATATATTCAATCTCAAATGCCACAAAATCATCGAGATCAATATTTACCATACGTCGATGGGGATGGGAAATATATATTTTAACAAATTTAATAGGTCATGTGTTGCCTTAGAAGATAGCTACAAATGGACAAGGGACCCGACCACTAGGAAGACCCAAACTACGGTGGGGAGACCAGGTGCGGAAAGACCTTCAGCGGATGGGGACATCAATTGACCAAGCAGCAGACAGAAAACAGTGGAGGCAACTTGTTGGCGAGGCCAAAAACCAACTTAGGTTTGAATGGCCAAGGAGATAAGGTAAGTAATGTGTTGCCTTATAAGAAAGGAGAATTACCCACTGTACAGGCAAGCGTGCTCTTTATCCAAAACAAAATCAAACCATATTTCAAACTTCTATTGACTAGCACATTGAATTTTTCAAAATGATATCGAGCAATAGCTTATGGATTTATTAGAGAGATTTTCATCATCACTCTCGACATAAATGCTAGTGGAACAGTGGATTATCCTGTCCCCCGCTTTGAATAGGGTCTAAAAATGTCTAGCAGGGTGTATAGTCAATGACGTAAACTTACCGAACTAAGTATTTCATTGAGGGGCAGACTGACAGACTCTGCCGACACATTGATGTCCTTCTTCTCACCACTGGGCAGATAAATAACCATATGGTAGTTCCCAACCTCAGTCCTCTGTGCGGGCAGTTCTTCAGATGTAGTAACTCTGCAAAAACCCATTATTATAACACACTATAACACAGCTTAAGTGAAGTCTAGCCCCTAAGACTCAGCCAGCTATTGCAGTAGGTGAATTCTAGCCTTTCCAAAACACACTCTTTTACAGTAATGCCTAAAAAACAAACTCTCTGTAGCAGCCAACCTAGGTAACCATTAAACCTAATGTTAGGCCTATTTTTAAATACATTTCAGTGAGAATCAAATCAGGCATATGGAAATTCGTTTGGTCTGCACGTTTGACAATGGACACATATTTAATTAATTTGAACGGGTGGTGTTTTTGGTCTCTGGGGCCATCAAAAAAAGTAAATCGGCCCCAGGTCTAGTCATACCATGCGTTATTCCCTGTACATAGGAAATTTGCTTAAAAACAAACATTAACATGACCAACACACATAAAAACAAATTTCTGATTTAACAATAGCACTATTTAAAGTCAATGTTGATACTTACTCTTCCTCATTGGCCAATTCCATCTCCGGGGGAGGCAAGGAGGGAGGTAGTGGTGACACTTTCTGCATTGGAATCTCTCGCTTTGGAGACACTTTCTTGATCTGTCCGAGGGTGCTCGGGTACTGCGGAGACGCTGTGGAGGGTAATACTTTCTGCTGCGCACGGAAAGACCCACTCACCCTCTGCGATACCCTCACAGGGCTCTGTCTTGTTTCCTGAGTCCTGTTACATTACACAACAGTTTGGTCAGTACAGCGTGAGGGGTAATTTAATACAATAAAGCATAACACTGTCTATGAATGCAAAAGAGAATTTCTTTATAAATGTGCTAAAGTTTCCCTACCAGACCCTTTTTATAGGTTTCAGCCCGATATTGTTTACATTTCAGGCGAGGTCTAGAGGGGGTTGATGCATTATCACTTGGATCAGATCCATCTGTGAATGGCGGTATTTGAACCCAGGACCAAAGTCCAGCGCTCTACCACTAGACCACCAGACCCTGCAACGGTAGTAATACACATAGGCCTAAACCAAATCATAGTTTTTTCCTCTTTTGCTATTCCTCGTTAAGTTTTAGGGCTAGTCATAATTAAATTCATAATTTTCAGAGTAGTTAGACATAGGAAAAATGTCTATAGGCTAATATCAGTTGTAGGTACCTGGCAGATACAGCCGCTTTTTTCTGCTGTTCGGATTGGACAGACTGTGTAGGGACAGTGGCAGCTACTGGAACAGGGTTGGTAGTACTGGACACGACGTTGGTCATCGTATTGCTAACCGCCTGCTTATTCAAGTTGATTTGCTTTTTGACGTCATCAACAGCAAACGGTTTTCCCTGTAAGATTTCCCAAATATAGACAATTCATTTAACAATTCCATAAAATGAATAATCTTTTAAATTAACCATTGGCAACTTTCAAAATGTAAAAAAAAAAAAAAACAGCTTGGACGATTCTGATTGACATTTAGCCCTTAGATACAATGTCAATTGAACAATAATAATACAGTTAGACCATGTCAGATTGTTAAATAAGGCTACATGAAATATTGCATACAGTATACCTTTTCTTAACAATATTTTACAACCCCTATTGCAGTAAAAATTACGTTTTACAAGTTCTGCAGCTTTTGCATCATTGTTAATCTCAACGCTTCCCCATAAAAAAAGAGTTTTTGAAAAGCTAATGTGAGAAGTTTATTTCATGGCAACCTAAATGGGGTAACTTAGTACAAAACTAGTCTTTAGAGCACAACTATACTAATCAAACCTTACATTGATCTGTCCACCTACCTTCGGACCGTATAGCGTCACTTGCTGGCTGACTTGTAGAGTAGACTGTAGAGGTTCTGAGGTAGTAATCTCAGCCTGTGGAGTCACTACAGCCGCGGTAGGAAGCGCTGACGTTCCGATCACCACTAAAACAGTCATTGTTATATAATTGAATTTTGATGTACATTTTTATTATACAGAGGCCACCTATTTTACAACGCGCTGTGGCAGTTAGGTTAGGTTTGAAGGACTTTCCTCGTTTCATTATGAATCAAACGATACCAGATGAGTTATAAAAAATGTATGATGATAACCCAACCTAACCTATACGCCGCAGCGCTCTGTACAAGGGTGACCTTATACGAAAGTACCAATTTTGATTTATAATAATAACATTATTTCCATCAAGCAGTTCTTACTATTACTATTTATACACCTATTTATAAGCACCTCTTACTATTTATATAAGTAGACATTCCAACCCTGTGTTAAGGTTGTCACCAGTTTTTAAATCAAAAACGGACAAAGTGAATGGAGCCAACAGATTGCGCTCATATAATTTACAGAAAATTCTGTAGTTTGTGCACTTTTTAAGCATCAATCTCACAACTTATTGTTGAGTTAATGTCCAGCAGCTAAAAATCAGGTATAAAATACCATTTTAGCCACTGCACTCTGTGACTGACTCCAAATTTAGTCCATACTATATAGACTTCAGTATCATGTTTACTTCAGTACCGGTACGGTATTCAAAAGTAAATGGTAGGACATATTCAGCAAAGTAAGAGTTTAAGCGGATTAAAATTATAGACTTCATCAGGACAAAACCCCTCAAGATTCTTACAATGGATGTGTAATTTGCACGCTACCGACTGAACCACCGTTTGACTCACTAGTTCTTACTTTTAAAAGTGCTACAGACGAAAGTCTCTCACCTGACTGTACTTGAGAGGTGTCCACTGGGGTGACCCTGTTCTGAAGTACCAATTGGCCACTTTTCAACACCAGCTGATTCGTATCCAAGACTACAGGAATCCTCTGTTGCTGGTCTACTTTCTCTATAGTCAATCTGGTCAGAACACAATCACTTATAAACACAAAGAAAACGTTGCTTCAAATGCTTTTGGCAGTAACTGGTGTCTCAACAATAATAACGTAGGCCTAATCAATCTACTTGATAATGTAATCTTAATTTTCCACATAATCACTTAAATAAATACTTAAGCTACTTATTATGATTTTAAACATTTACATAGGACAAGACAAAACATTTAAAAATACAACAACACAAAGGTAGCCTACAGCGATCAATCCAAGGGAGGTGCCTACTAAACTCTGGGACAGAATAAACACCTTAGGGCAATTCCATAAAATGGTCAACCTCTATACTTTTTTGTCAACTTTATCAAACCCATTACTGTTATACATTTTTGGAAAGCTCGTTAGTGTAGCTTTCCACTCATAACATTGGTTACAAAAAATAAAAAAATAAATAAAAAATATATACATGTTTTAGCGAATTTCCCTATAGGGAAGTAGCTATTACCGTAGGTCTCATGGTAACACTTAGGCCTGGGACCGATTTACTTTTTCATTTTGATGTCCCCAGAGGCCAAAAACACCATTCGTTCAAATTTTTATATATGTAGATGTGTATATATGCAGATGTTTACTTACTTATTTATGTATATATATATATATATATATATATATATATATATATGTGTGTCCGTGAACACGATAACTTGAGTAATTTTTATCCGATTTTGATGAAATTTGGTTTGAAGGTGTAAGGCGGGATAAACTTGAATGAGTTCGCGATCCAGCATGATCGGACCATGGAAACAGGGTTTTATGGGGGGTTTTATGGGGTAAAAATTGGTTTTTCTCACTTTTGACCCTCAAAACACAAAATTTCCCAATTTTTCTCTAAACCTTCTTAAAGAGCTTAAAAAAACAAACAATTCAGTATATCAAAGTGTTTTTGTACGGTTATTGGTTACGGAGAAAACTAAAAAATGGTAAATTTAAAATTCCCGTGTTATTCTTATGGAGAATATTGTAAAATGTTGTAGTTTGCTTGTTTATGGATATCTTTTGATCAAACTTGGCAAATATATTCATTTTTTACTAAGCAATAATTATTTTACTTAAAAAACAAACTTTATTAGTTTCCTTGTAGCAGCAAACCTAGGTACTCGTTAAACCTAATGTTATTTAAATAGATCAATTGAAAATCAATTCAGCCAAATGGAAATTCGCTTAGACGGCAGGTTTGCTGCGGCGGGGGTATTTTTATAGACTACCGTTTTTTTTTTCACTCCGATTTACAACCATGTTGGTTATTTTCATAACCAACAAACAAAATTTACTCAAATAAGCCTTATGAATTATTTTTTTGATAGTTTAAGAGTAAAGCTAAATATTAATGCAATTTAGAATTAAGAAAAAGGTTTTCTGTCCACCCTACAGATGTTTAACATTAAGAAAGATTAAATTCTACGTCCGACACCAAAAATGTACGTTTAGTTTTACTGTGGCTAGAGGGATTTTTTTTAAAGCTTGAAAACTAGTATGCAAAGCAAGTTTACATAGGTCTAAATGATCCATGTTTGGAAAAAAATCTATCATGTATGGTTTTTTTTTAATCATGGTGTCGGACGTAGAAAATATTTCCTACGTCCGACTCTACGTCCGACACCAAAGTACTAAAATTGGGTAGTGTATGTTAAATACCGTAACATGCTGCATATACTATAAAACCCTAAGTTGAGTTTTTATCATAGTACTCAATTAACCTGCACTAAGGAACCTTTCAGTTTAGTTAGATGTAAAATTTATCCCACACCCCCATTGTTAAACATAAATGAAAACATATCACCCAAATTTATAAGTTTTTGTAAGCTTCAAAAGTAAAAAAAAAAATATAACATTTGCTACAACTGTTGGTTATTAAATCTCTTAAATCGTCTTTAAATCTTCTTAATTGTAGGCGACACAAGCGACGATTTAGTAAAAAGAAAAGTAAAAATTGTTCAAAATCCGGAGTCTTCGGACAGTGATGACTCAGAACAGGAGTATGGCGAGCGTTTCGAAATAGAGAGAAATGACCTAAACCTTCAGGATTTAGTGCCTCAAAAAGACTGGGTTGTGGTTAAATACGATAATGATTACTATCCAGGTGAAGTACAGTGTGTTGAACAAAATGAAGCCAAAGTGAAAGTAATGCATTGCTCCAAGTCAGGTGCATACTATTTCTGGCCAACTGATGAAGACTGTATTATGTACAAAGCCAAAGACATTGTGAAGAAAATTGAGCCTCCTGAACCTTACGGAGGAACAAGAGACCACTATAAATTTAACCCTTTTAGTGCTACAGCGTCGCTGACAGTGACATGATGAAAAGTGCTAGAGGATTTTGACCAAATAAGCAAGCTTTTAGAAAAAAACTCTTATCTCCCTTATTTATTTATATTTTTTAACAGTTTTTTTTTGTTTTTTACAAAAATGAATGCACTAAACAATATTGCTTCATCTGTTACATTTTAGGTTCACCAAAAAAATTTATTTTACAAAATAATAAAATCTCATTTTACGAAAAAAAAAAAAAAAAAAGTTTGATATGAAATAAGTTCCGTTGGATTTTTTTTTAAATGGTTATATGTTTTATCACTGTAAAAAGAATACTTTTGTGATCATTTTGATAAAAAAATTATGCATTTACACATCATACAATGTTTTTTAGAACATAAAACAAATGTCATGACATTTTACGGAAAACCCGAAGCACCATCAAAATGTTTTACAACTACCCCATTTGTCAATATAGTAGAATAATGTGACTTTATTTATCACATAACTAAATGTGGTAAAGGATTTTAGTAATTTTGTTAGTGATATAGGTGTATTGCCATGAAAAGATCTATGATGAAATGATAAATTTGATTTACCGACATTTTATTTTCTAAGTTTTACATGAAATAAAACTAGTTAGATAATGTACCAATATTTTTATTTTGCTCTTATTACAAAAAGCATTATTTCATGAATATTTTGGTGAAAAAATTGTCACCCTATGTGTCTAAACTTTTTTTTTATAAATAAAACACACAAAGTGGTAATTGGCGCATATTTACATAATTACATATTGGTACAAATACAGATATAATTCATTGCTAAGGGGGGTATTGTGATTGACAACTTAGCAAAGACAGGCTAATAAACTAAAAAAAACAACTAAATATTAGAAGAAAAAATCTTACCATTTTGAGTAGGCCAGGTCATTTCAGTTTCCATGGTAACGGACGGTCAAATTATCCATGTCTAAAAGTTGTCTTATCCTATGCAACTAAAAATGTATTTACATATTTACAAGTCTTCACTTAGTTCATTAGTCTTTTATGTTTATCAACACCTATGGTGCTGGATGCACTCAGGATGTAGTCCTTTGTCACATCGCACACACACAAATGCTGATCGGTGTTTGCTATTCTCAGTGCTGCATACCTTGCAGATCCGCAATTTTCTTCCTGGTAACTTTTTCACCCCAAAAAGGTTAGCAGGTCCACCTTGAGGTTGTGGTTGAGCAGGTAGGGTTTGTTGTTTGGTAAGGATCCATTCCTTACCAAGGTCGTGTACCAATGACTGCATGAATTTGATACGGGTCATAGGCTTTACGTTGTTCTGTTTGACATTTTCCTTGTATAATATATATGCGTTCAAAATCATGCGCGAGAATAGACTAAAAACTACTTTCTTCCAAACTTTAACAGTCCTACGCTCATCCATATATGCATACACCATCATGTCAGAGATATCTATTCCCCCCATATATTTATTGTATTCCAAAATGACATCTGGCTTGTTGACAACTTCTTCCCCTACCTGCCTCCTAACTCTACGCCTGACTTCACTGGTTGTTGCCTGAGATGCAGTGGAAATCAACAATACCTGTTTTTTTTGAGTTTTTTTTATCTCTAAACCCACACAAAAGAAGAAACCCTTTTTTGAAAAATCTCGTAACACCGACACCAAATTTTGATTTTACTGCGTCAGGTAGGCCCTTACGATTGGATCGAATGGTTGCGGTGTAGTATGTTCCAAGCTCATACAATCGAGATGCAAGGGGGATGGAAGCAAAAAAGTTATCTGTAAAGACATGAAACCCTTTATTTAGGTAATTACCTAAGGTGAGAAGTTTTTTTACTACAACAAATCCTTGGCCGAATTCCTTTTGCTCCTGTTTTTCTTCAGATGGGACACGTGCACCTTTATATACAAAAAAACCCAACACATAATTTGTTACGGAGTCACACAACATCCACACCTTCACTCCCCATCTGTGATGTTGTTTTTTAGGTAAGTACTGTTGTAATACTGTATGTGACTTAGTTCCGATGAGAGACTCGTCAACCGAAAGCTGCTCATGTGGAGTATAATAGTGGCGAAATAAGACGTTTGCGTGGTCTACAAGAGGCTGGAACTTTGCACATGGATCAGGTCTTCTTCGGGCAATGACATCATTGTTCACCAGATGGAAAAACCATAACAACAGTTGAAACCTATCTCTTGTAAACATTTGTGGAAACCACGGTGTAGCCATTCCGGGGATAGTGGACCAGTAGGAGTATATTGTTGGCTTTCTAATTATGCCCATATTGAAAATGCAAGCAATAAAACCTTTGATCTCTGGAACGCAAGTCGGTAACCACTTCTTGGTTCTAGAGTTATCACTGAACTCAGAACGCTCCAAACATTGTGATGCATATCTATTTGTTTCTCTAACTATGCTGTTTAGAAGCAAAGTTGTGAAAAACAAATTGAAATATGAAACTGGGGGGGAATCTGGTGGTGGCATATGCTTTGGTCCTGGAAGTTCATGGTATGTTACTGGACGAAGTGGGAAATCAACATCAGGTCCAATTTCTTCCCAAATGTCTCCATCCGGTGCATTACCTGGAATTGGGTTTTCATGTGCAATAGGGTCTAGCTGTATGGGCGGGTTCACTATTTGGTTAGGTTCATCTAGGCCTACCATGGCAATAGGGTCTGGCTGTATGGGCGGGTTCACAATTAGGTTAGGTTCATCTAGGCCTACCATGGCAATAGGGTCTGGCTGTATGGGCGGGTTCACAATTAGGTTAGGTTCATCTAGGCCTACCGTGGCAATAGGGTCTGGATATGCGGTCGGGTTCAATATTTCGTCAGGTTCATCGACCATCTCCTCCTCAAAAGTGGATTGGACATTCCTAATCGGACTTATAGGAGGAGAATGGTGAGGATTTCGTCTACGTTTGGAAATGATTTGCTCTAACCTGGATGGTTTTCTCTTTTTGGGCGTCGACGACACAAATTCTTGTGTAGGCCCACTGTCGATCGATTCGTCTGCACTGTCGTCCTCAGAAGATGGTATGTAATCCATGTCTTCGTCAGTATCGTCAGCTTCACTTGGCGAATCCGATTCATCATCTGTCGTAGGTACGTCGTCATCCTCCTCTTCAAAATCGGAAATATTCTGTGTCAATTGGTCACTAAAAGACTGGTCAATTGTTAGTGTCCCAGTGTCATTTGAAGAGATATCACTGATCAAGGCACGAAGCCTTTCCTCGTCCCCGGCAAAGTTATCACGATCCATTGTTTCGAAAAAGTTCACCAATGATCCACATTACAACAACTCGTTTTATAAATAGGCCTAACTCGCAAAACTACACAATATCTATACGAATCTAAAAAAAGAGCACAAACTAACTAGAAAACAAAACTTTATACACAATAAAGTAAATAACTTTGTTTCAAAACAAACAGCGCAAAACGATATGTTATCCGTCGTCAGTCAAAGCGTCACTGCGCACAAAGAAACAAAGAATTGAAATGTAAACAGCTGACCGCTAGCGACAGTAAAAGAGCGAAATGAACCGGCGATCGATAATTTGAAGCTTTTGGAACATACTGACGCATTAACCAGCCAATGCATCCATGGCAACAATGCGTACTATACGAAATACGAATAGTCGCTGTGAGCGACGCTCGCACTTTAGTGTAAAAATACATCGTCGCTGGCAGCGACGCTGTAGCACTAAAAGGGTTAAAAGTATCATCGGTCCACTTCCAGATGTGCTCCCTTGAACACATTTTCTCATGTCTTACTTTTAGGCATATAACCCAAAGTGCCCATGAATTTTTCATTTCATTATTTTTTTTAAAGAGACTAATTTGTAGAGAATGGGTAATTTGTAGGAATTAAGAAGCTGTAACTTTTTTAAGTTAAATAAGCAAAATATCTAATAAAAGATGTAAAGTGTTTATCAGTCTTTTACTTTTTCCCTGAAGGTAAAATGTCAAACCATATTGTGCAACGTAAATGTTCGAAATTTAAATATTTTAAACCCAGGTAGCCTATAGAGGATTTTAGTAATTTTATTTGCTCAGGCTCATTTAAATGCATGAATAAATGTTTAAAAGGGTTCATATAAAATTGTGAACGTTTTTTTACATTTAATTACTACCTATTATTTGTAAATCTAAAAAAAATCACACAACCTACGTCCGACACCAAAAATTCTACGTCCGACACCGTAGGAGATTTTTTTTGTGTCAAAACTATTGAACCAAAAAACTTGAACCTAGGCTCTTTTTAAAGCTAATAAGTTTCTTTACATCCATGATTTTTTCTGTTGTTTTATCTCTTTAAAATTCACAGATTTTTAAAGTCAAATAAGGAAAAAAGAAATATCGATTTTGTGCACTCTACGTCCGACACCGCAGAAAAATTTTTTTTTAGCCATTAAAGATTTTAAAATTTAAAAAATGTTACATATGAAAATGTTCTTAAAGAACTGTTCTTTCAAATAAAAATACTAAAGATTAAGGTTTTTTACAAAAAGTAATTTTAAAGCATTAAAATAGCAGAAAAATGTGTCTGAAATCTACGTCCGACACCGTGGAATTGCCCCTTAGTAGAATTTTCTAAAAATTAAATTTTAAAACATTCATGTTAATTGATTAAATTCATACGTCAAGTTTGTAATAATATTGGCTAAAGTACTTTATTTAAATTTTGTTGTCTTAAGTAGGCCGAGTCCTGTCTGTAGGATAACTGTAAACTGGACAGCTTTTCGTTTCTTGTGCTCTGCTTTCCTTTTGAAGGAAGAAAGTATGTTTCTTATTTTCATGAACATAATTTCAGTTTTCAAAAATAAACTGTTAAAAAAGATATTATGCACAGATTTTTTTAAGTGGTCTTTTTTTTTACATTGAGCTCTAAATTTAGCGTTTGCATAATTCTAATGAATAAAAAAAATAACTTTCAATATAAAAATGTTTAAATCTTGAATTTCACCATAAGGTAATGCCATACCTCCAGAGAGATTAAACATGGGAAAACTAACAAAACAATTGATGTGTAGTAAAATTTCATGTTTAAAACTGCAATGGTTTGAATATCACAATTTCACTTACTGTTTGGATGTTCGATGAGGTATGTGATATGTCACTAGCGTAGCTGTAGACTGATCAGGAGCATTATCCTTGGCTACAGAAGCTGTAAGGTTGGCCGACACTTTGGCGACCACAGGTGTCTGTTGCTTGACCGGTACCACCTTTTGTTGGACAGTCTTAGTTGCTGACGGAGTTTTGACTGCCGGAGATTTAACTGCGGCTGTTTTGACCGCTTGAGGTGTAGGAACTGGTGTTTTAGCGACGGCCACATTGCCTTTGGTTACTTGAGTCGGGGTTTTCGGGGTCACTAGAGTCTTAGTGACGGCTTGAGGTTTTGCCGCAACAGGGGGTTTAGCTTGCGTCGGTGTGCTTACTCTAGGTGTTAACGTCCCTTGTTTTACATTTAAATTCGTCACTTGTGTTTTCGGTGTAGTAACTATCTGCTTATACACAACAGCTGGCGTTTTCACATTGACACCTGGTGTTTTTGGACCCGTGGCCGCAGTTACAGTCTTTTGAGGAGTTCTGACAGGTGTTCGCTTTTCAACACTCTGTGTGCCTTTGTCACCGAGAGTTTGAATGCTCACATTCGGATAGATGGACCGGAATTGTTCTGTAAAGCCTTTGACGGACTTGTTACCTTGAGAATCCATGTCAGAGGTAACTTGTATAGAGTGATGCTCAGCTTCTGATCATTGTAACAACATGTAATCAATCTGAAACCAAAAACTAAAGTAAGTTCAATACATAAATTGACATAAATTGTTTAAAACGGTAAAACTCAGGTCTACACATTTAATACAATGAATCTAGCCATTTTAAAGTGAAAAAGTTAAAAGTCAAGTACCGGTAGCTTATTCTTAGCTCAGAGAAGATAGGCCTACAGAGAATATCAAAGCATTTGATATTATATCACATGAAAGGCTGTTACAGAAATTGCATTATCTTGGGATTCAAAAAACTCATTTGCAGTGGTTCACTAAGCAGAACAAAAATAAGTGTAGCCCTCATATTTTTATTGACAACAACACAATAAATCAAATTGATTGTAAAAATTTTTTAGGTATCCATATTGATGAATGTCTTAAGTGGGATCATCATGTAGGAAGCATTGTGCGTAAGGTAAATTCTGGAATCTATGCCTTGAAAAGAATGTTTTATTTAAGTGACCTAGCAACATTAAAAATAGTTTTTCATTCCCATGTCCAGTCACATATATCTAATGCAATAGTAGTGTATGTAGGCACTTCCCAGAAAAATTTAGATAAGATAATTGTTTTACAGAAAAAGACAATAAGAATAATGTTAAATCTAGATTATAATGAGTCTGTAAAGCAACATTCTGTCAATTTGAAACTATTAACTGTGTTTAGTTTGTACGTACTGGAATGTATCGTACATGTAAAAAATAACCAGGAAAAATTTAAAACTCATTGTGAAACCCATCAATACAACACTAGAAACAAAAATAATATAGTTCTACCTAAACACAACTTGTATAAAATAAGCCCTCATATGCCGGTATAAAGTTTTTAAATATAATATCAAATTAAATAAAATATATTAAGGATAAAAAAAAGTTAAGACAAAAACTTAAAGAATTTTTGATAGAAAACCCCATCTACTTAATAACTTAGATGAATTTTTTATGAATGTCATACAGCTACCGTATAGATATTTTTATTTTCTGTATTTTTTGTTTAGCCTAGGTAAAGTATTTGTTCATAGTAGGCCTAATTATAAGCTTGACACTATTTATTTATTGTACGTTTTGTACATAGGATGTATGTTAAGATAATTTGAATTTGACACATTCAATGGTACACTTAAATCGTGTCTAGCACCAGTTGCTTGGGTCTAATTCTAATCCTATTGGCCGTCCCCTTCCGCTCTAGTGTGGTACAACTGCTGTTGTAAACAATGGCCGTTTGGGCTCTTCCTGACTCGGATCTAGTATATTTCCGCCCCACCATTCCCGAGCTAAAAGCGCAAGGTTGTTCCATAGGCTAGGCATGTTTCCTCTGTATATCTAACTTCTCTGTGTTCGTACTAATACTAGCAGGCCTCAAATATTATGGGTTCGCTTAAATTGTTTGAGGAATAACCTAAGAAATAATTTTAAACACGCAAAGTTTTTAATAGGCCTAACCATTTTTTTCTTATTTTTTGTCCTAGGACGCTAGGCACGAGCCCAGGGTTGTTTTTTTTCACATTACTTCAGGCTAGACTTAGGGGGTTGTGGCATTATCGCTTCGATCAAATCCATTGGTGATTTGGCTGGATTTGAACCCGGGACCTCAGGGACCGAAGACCCGCGCTCTAACCACTACACCAACTCGCTCTCACCAATACGCCTAACCATAAGTGCATAAGTTATGTATTACATAAGCCTACCTTGTACCTGTCAACATAAACATGTATTATAATTAATTGATTACTGTACAACGCCAAAGCCCCGTTCACACGGGGCGAGTTTACAAGCTACACGCCGGCTTTTTTACACGCAGCTAGTAAAATAGCTCAGTGTGAACGACGTACTCGCTCAAAAGCTGCTTGTAAAAAAGCTCTGGAAAAATTTGACGCTGCCGCTACTTTTATTACAAGTGTTTAATAACATTCTGCAAAAGCCAGGAAAATATTGGCTTGTCTGCAGCTCAAGAGTTAACAAAGGTTGGTAAATTATGAGTACAGAGTGACTGAGACAATTGCTTCATTGCTACAAATAGTTGGTCCTTTAGAGAAAATCAAAGCCCATGCTGTTTGACTTAAATGTTTACCTAATAACCACATAATTTAATGCTGAACTGTTAATGGATTCTTCATCTTATCTAATGAATGTTAAGGAATTTTAAGAGCCACGACGGAACGTGATTTAAAGCTTTTAGGGTTGATTTATTTTAATTAAGAGAAAAAGCTTTTTAGTCTCTAAACCAACAATTATCAAAACCTGTCGAAAGCCGGTTTTAAGAATCCCAAAAATATTAACAAATAAGCATTGACAACTAATTTATTTTAAGGCCTAGTTAAGATGAAAACATTACTATTTTAGCCTTAATTACCTAGGCCTACCTTCTTTTCATTTTATAAAATTGTCAAATAGGTAGCTAGAAACTGGAGGAATTTGTCACAGTATTTTCAAGGCCTTGTCTAAACATTGATGGATTTGATTTTTAACATAGCAGTTTAGTTAAACCATTACATTTATATACAGATCACAAGATGGGAATTTATTTTAAAACACCTAATTGTTATGAAAAAATTACCTCAGATTACTAAAGAATAATCATAGAGAATGGGATAAGTAGTCGGTAATGCTCTCAGGGGTATGTAAGATTTATAATGTGTATGTTCAATGTATGTACTATTGAGTATAGAATGTAAAGTAGCCTGCAAGACAAAGGGACATAAGTACATAGGTTTAACATGTACTCGCGCCCCTTCATCTTGCAAGCGTCGGTATGTTCCACCTAAGACCTACAGCTGGCGTTCTCTATACAGCTGTGTAGCCATGGCGACCGAATGTACCTCCGCCCTTACAGTGAAAGCTTATCACAGCAGTCACCAAGATTACGAAGGCTCTTCCACTGAGTTGAGTCTGCACAACCAACCTTCCCACTCTCTTCTCATTGGGCTCGTATCATCATTGGTAATTCGTAAATTTATGATTCAATTGCACATGTGATCTGTTATGAATTCAAAAACTAGCCAATAGCTACTTTGGTAACTTTGGAAGCAGTGTTTCCCCAGTGTGATTTTTATTATGAAAACAGGAGTTTTGGACCATGAACAGGATTAAAACGGAATGCGGGGTAGAACAGAATTTCGTTCTGACCTCTAGTTTTCTATTTTTACAGATTTTTAAGATAAAAACTATCCCTAATTAATTTAATGACAGTTTACACTATAGCAATGTTTAAAGCGCCATTCCAAAATGTTGAGATGTTTAAATTAAATTAATGGGGAATAAAACGGAATTTCTCATTACCTACACTGAAAGAGGAATAAAAGAGCATTTTCTCAACCATAAAAGTGGGATTTTTGTTTTTAGTTGTATCAACAACCTATCTCCAGACTGTTTTTGCACTACAGTATTGAAATAGCCTAGTGTGGTAATACTGAACTTATAAGATACTACTTACAGTATGTTATTGAATTTGTTTACCTTACCTATATATCAAAATTAGGTTAATTTAAGCACTGCCTTTGGAACTTTTGGTGGAAATGACTATTTCACTCTGAAAATCGTGTTTGAACATCGCAAAAAGTGCTAGAAATCTACGATTTTTGGCGCTTGAAAACTTTCATTTCTCACTTTTTATGTGTTTTTCTCATTACCTATTTAGGCAATCCCAAACACTTTTTCCTTCAGACACTTTTCTGGCAAATGCCGTTTTTACCCAGAGTTTTTGGACTAATTTTCAGAAGTAGAGGCCACTAGCATTTTTTAGAACAATCTTTTTAAAGACAATCCAAAATAGGTATGTACAAAATGTAGGCGATTTATTTCCCTACGTGGAAATGTGATTGATTTGCATCAAAATTTGTTTGCTAGAATTACGGGTAAAAGTACGGAAATTGGGGAAAATCAACAAAATTGCACTGTACATTTGAAAAATAAAATAATAGGCCTACCAGTAATTTTTTATGACTTAAAAAACTAAATTTTACCTTTGCCAAAAATAAAAAATTAGTTTTAGAGTTAAGTTAGATCTAATTTTTGTACTGGTACTTTACTAGGCCTATAATATGATAAATGGTAGGTAGGCCTACCAAACATGTAGGCTATTTATAGGAAATATATTTCTGAACAATATGTATAGGCCTACCTATATATATATATACTGAAATATTTAAACAAAAAGAGGTTCCAGAAGCATTATTGTGGCGTGAGACACACATCGGAAACAAGCTAGGCTAGGATGAAGGCCTAGGCTAGGCCTAACCTGTAGGCCTAAACAATCATTATTTCAATAACACGGATTTGAACTAAATAATAATATTTACCCATTGCAATAACTTATGGAGAAATACTTCTACTAATTCATACACCACCTGAGAATACACTTCTTTTACACTAAAACAGTGACCTTAGATGAAAATTGACACAGGTAATAATGTACCGCACTGAAAACCATACTTTAATTCTGACGAGCACAACGCAAACAACTTGTTTTTCCAGTTACAACTGTGTACAATTGTGTCACCTGAATGTCAACTGAAAGACACCTAAACATAGAGAAAGAACATTTTCTCAGCTTCAAATAAGTTTGACTCACGTCACGCTATGTCAATTATCAATATTTTTATTAGTGATTTCTAGAAACCACCGTTGAAACGGCGCTTTGGGCAAAATGGCCAGTTGACAAAACAGCTGATTTAAAAAATGTATTTCCCAGACTTCCTAATGTTGTATTCTTCTGGTAAGTTCTCTTTAACTTACGAAAATAAGGATCAACTCATGTTCTTTCCAAGGTTACAAACCGCTTCCTGTTTGGGCCAAAATAACTTAAAGACTTCACGATTTTTTTCAAAAACACATAAACTTACCTATTTTAGAAGATTTTGACGATCGCGATGCAAGAATGTTTCGCGTGCTAAGAAATAACTTAAATTTTGATCAAATTATAATAATAACTTATTTAAGTTAACAGTTAAACCTAGGGCCTATAAGTTATTGATCTGTTAAGTACTGCTACTAAGTTCCTTTATATATGGAAATCAAAGTTTAGAATCTCATTATGCTTAGTGGCCCAGGATCACTTATAGAATAAAATGGTTTATATTACCTGTCCGTCAGTCCGTCCGTATTCATGACCACGCAACTTCCCGTGCCGCGTCGTAGTGTCCTGTACTGGCCAGTAGCAGTGTTTTTCCGTATTTTCGTGTTGTATGTGTGTGTTTTTGTGTTTATCGACGACCTCAATTAGAGTGACATGACATTTTTAACAGCCTGCGATGGGATTTTCATCCTGAAACCGGTCGCATAAGACGACAACAATAGGATCACTGACGGACAGGTAATATAAACCATTTTATTGTTTAGAATCTCCTCTTTTCTACGGTATATCAAAATGATTACGATTCTGGATCATTTTCGTTGCGTATAATACTTACTAAGCGTTTGAACAAAAACATTCTCCAAACCTCCGTTTAAATAGCGGTTGGACATCTGGCGCACACATGAAACCACCGTTTAATCAGGCAGTTCTAGGGTTATAAAAGGTCTGCAAAATCCCCAAAATGGGCTAAGCCATTCCCCATTTAACATTGGCCACAGCTACACTGCTAGGGTGAAGAAACTGCAGCTTACCCTATTCAAGTTTCCCTGTGGAACTGTACCCAATTGATAAGTTAGGCCTACTTTGTTACAGTCCTAACTTACCGTACCATTTATTGGCTTCCACAAACACTTTTTTTAGATTACCTTTACTAGCCTAACTTATGCAGTTAGGCTAATTAGCCTAACTTTACGAAGTGTGACAGATTTTGGTATGCACTTTCACATTACAGTCTAACCGAAATATCAAGTCAAAACCTTAACTAGGCCTACAGGCCAAATGTATAGGCCAACCACAACTTCAAGCTATTCAAAGGCCCAGAAACAATCGTGCTAGGGCCTTGAAGGGACAGGTAGGATATTAAATGAAGCGGCCTGGATCAACTGCTGACAAGTATTAAATTCACACTAATACGGCTGATATCCAAGAGAATTGCAGTAAAACGCTCCCAGAAACAAACCGATGGAATAAGTCCAAGTCTTTCTAAATGGTCGGCACACGAACTTTTCCAACTCGGTGTTTTGTGTTGTTCAACTCAATGTAGGCTAGTAAGTTTTGTCAAGTAGGAAATTAATTTATTAAAAGTATTTCTAAAATTAAAGAATGGACAAACCTTAATACAGGAGATGAAGCAGAGTTCAGATAAGTTGACTACTTGTGAGATTATTGTTAATTCTAATACTACCACCACAAGCAGAACGCCATTTTCAACAGTCGAGTCAAGTGCTCGGCTCGCAGAGCTAGACCCAGATCCAATCCAATCGTAACATCGCCATTCGCCGCACAGTTGTTCAGGATTCGGAAGAATTAATTTTCTGTATGGATTCTGATTGGTTCGTTGTATTTCACACGTTCAATGCCGTCTTGTATTGTTTGGCATCAAAGATCAGCCAATATATAGCGAAGGTGAAAGTATATATATACTTATACAGTACTATCGTTAGTTTATAGATCTACCATTGATTAAGAAATTAATATATGGTTCTACAATAATTTATGGCGCATACATTGTTTTGGTAATGGAAATTTCTATGATATAATATTTACTTTTAAACTTATTAACTGACATGGTTTTAACAGAGTTGATATTTTTGTTCATATACCAGTAAACTGACATAAATTTCATAAAGGACTACACACTTTAAAATTTTAGTAGGGAGCCTCAAAGAAAATTTAAGAAATTTGCCGAGATCGTGAGAGGGTATGGGCCATTCTCCAGGACCACGAAATATGCGCACTATCTCTCACGCGAAAGATATTCCATTCCATTATTATTTAGTCGTAAGTAAATATTATTTTAAACATAACTTAAAGGGAACTGTCCTGCTGTACAACCACCAGGATACGGGTTCCTATCACGGTCGCCTTTCCTATACTGTTAATGTTATTACTAGTGGCTTGTAGGGACATAAGTCCCTAAAAAGCTCAAATGTAAAACAACTTTTTGCAATACCGGTATTTAAACAAACACAGAATAACATTATCTATGTGTCAGAATAGGCATCCCTACACCATATCTTTTGTGTAAAAACCAGTTTGTTGTTCTTCTTTGTTTGCTTTTGTTGATGTCATTTTCAATAAATAATTTGAATCACTCCAGTGGTTTAACATGAAAAGGCAGCAAACATATCATTGTTTGTGAATAAATACTGGTTTACTAAGGTAGCTTTGGTCTTGTGGTTAATGAGGATAAATAAAAGCTTCCCTGTTTGGAATTTTAAAAATTCATTGGAGGTTCGCCTTCAGATCAATTGAAGACGCCTGCAAGTTCATCTGCAGTAGGCTTATTATACCTACGACGATCCATATTTATCCTGTCTACAAACCTAAGTTCTAATTCACTGTCACCTTGTACAACCATTTCTTCCGAAGCTCTTTTCTAAATTTGTGCAAATGGATTTTCTAATAGAATTTCAGCTAGTTTTGACAATATTTCAGGTTTTAAGTCACTATTTTCTCGACGCCTTTGACGAATTTCTGTTGCTGTTAATGTGTCAATAATGTACAATTGGCCATACACGGGGTCTTCATCATGTTGAGGCAGCAAATCTGAGATTGAACGATAAATCTGTCCTTGAATTTTGAAACAGTATGGTCCTTTTCCTGGAATATCTTTCTTACTGGCTGAAAAATAAGCAAAAGCCATCACACTGTTGCATTGTCGAATGAATTTATACAGTTGTGGGCTCCTTGAAACAAACTTTTAAGTTCTACATTAGTTTTTGACTGACTGAGGAAGGTTAATAAGTCCGTTATTGCAACATGTCATAAAATGATTATTCGTTAGTTCTTCTCTAAAATGAAGAGCACTACATTGAATGCACTCTTGGTCCAATAATCCTGCATCATGGATCTTTACATTGCTCTCGTCTACCATGGGTCTCCTAAAAAGGGGTTGTAACATATCTTGATTAAGTTCGTCATTATCTACTCTTGCTCTCCTATGCGCACTGTCATTCCTATGAACAGTTCCCCGCCTTTGTGGTATTCCCCTGTCGTTCATATTAATTACAGTACTTATAATGAAAAGAATATATATCCAGCAGCCTACATACCAAAACATCTTGAATCCCTGGTGATTTTATAAAAGTATGATCGAATATGATTACTCTACGTTGTATATTCACTGCACTAAAAAAATTTACTTACGAAGTAATGCAAATACACCATTTTAGAACCAATAACATTTATAGGTTATTTCAGTTGTATATATTTACACAACCTTAACCTTAAAATGTGTAGAAATATAAAGAAAACAACATAATTTAAAATAAACTTGAACATATGATTTAAAAATAAAAACAAAACAGAAGTTAGATTTAATTTCGACTCTTTGATTATTTATACAGAATATTTATTCTATGTCGTTTATTCCTTTGACACGACAATAACGTAAAAGCATGAAAAAATGAAACTTGAGTATATGATTTAAATATAAACAAAGAATGCAGACGTTTTTCCGACTAATATTCAATATTTCAGTTCTATTATAGTACACATTTCATAGTTGACTGGCTAAAAGTAAACCAAATGCGTGTATTGGTCACTAAATCTGTGGCACAGCTGTTTTAATTTCAAAAGATGTAAACAAATTAAACCCCATGTTGTTTTAATGGGAAATGTTTTATTCTGTTGCGAATTTATGGTAAACAAATAAGAAAAATGAATAGTTTTCCCTCAAAATTCACGTCAAGACCTTTAAAATAAGACTCCTCCCATCCTTCTACGGGGCCATCCAGTCACCCACAATTTCTTTACAAAAATTTGACTTACGGAATTATATATACAGGGTGAATCTCGTAAGGTGTCCAGTATTGATTTCAGACAAACCGTTGGTCCTAAGATGATGAAGTAAAATTATTTCCTACTAAACCAACCTCAAGGAATAACGTAAAATTATTTTTAACGATTTTTAAATACAGGGTGTACTAGAAACTGAGGGTCACTAGTCCGAATCTACGAAATATCAAATACAAACGTATATCATGTTATACATCAATTTAAAGCTCTTTTCAATCCAAACCATTTGGCAGAATCGGATTTTGATTATATTGATTCATTTCAAAATGGCGGCTGTTTTTGTGAAAAAATTAATATTTCTTTGAATACCCTGTATTTTTCTTCAAAATGCAGATATCTTGATTCTGATTCAAATATCGCATTCCTTATGAGCTAAGCTTTATTTTGATATGCAACACATCAATATTATGTCTAAAACAAAAAGTTTCAAAAATATCAGTTTTTGAAAATATGTACATAGCCAAAACTCAAAAATTTCAAATAGCACCATTAGTCAAATAGCATATCATTTTAAAGGTATTGCGATTCTAAGAAACTTTCAAATTTTAACCTTATGCGTATCTATTTTGGTTTTCGAGTTATCAACAAAAAACATGTTTCCCCACATTAAAACGCATGTTATTTGTTAAACATGGTGGTAAAGGCTGGACCACACTTATAGCCGTCTGGCTGACGCACAAATAACATGAGTTTTAATGTGGGAAAACATGTTTTTTGTTGATAATTCAAAAACCAAAATAGATACGCATAAGGTTAAAATTTGAAAGTTTCTTAGAATTCCAATACCTTTAAAATGATATGCTATTTGACTAATGGTGCTATTTGAAATTTTTGAGTTTTGGCTATGTACATATTTTCAAAAACTGATATTTTTGAAACTTTTTGTTTTAGAGATAATATTGATGTGTTGCATATCAAAATAAAGCTTAGCTCATAAGGAATGCGATATTTGAATCAGAATCAAGATATCTGCATTTTTAAGAAAAATACAGGGTATTCAAAAAAATATTAATTTTTTCACAAAAACAGCCGCCATTTTGAAATGAATCAATATAATCAAAATCCGATTCTGCCAAATGGTTTGGATTGAAAAGAGCTTTAATTTGATGTATAACATGATATACGTTTGTATTTGATATTTCGTAGATTCGGACTAGTGACCCTCAGTTTCTGGTACACCCTGTATTTAAAAATCGTTAAAAATATTTTTACGTTATTCCTTTGGGTTGGTTTAGTGGGAAATAATTTTACTTCATCATCGTAGGACCAACGGTTTGTCTAAAATCAATACTGGACACCTTACGAGATTCACCCTGTATAGATTGGTACTGTACCTAAGTACTGTATATCGGATTCGGGCCAGTTTGCCGTCGCCAGTTTTGTAATTTTTTATGTTTATGGATGGTCCATACAATTACTGTTTTAATATTCTTGGTTATTGGACACCGGAAAGTTGGGTTGTTGATGTCTGCTACGTGGGTACAGTTGGGAGATTCAAATACAAATATTTAAATATTTCAGACGAGCTAGCAAGATAAAGTCTGGACACCCCCAGTTAACTTTAAAAATTTCATATTTTAATACTGACCAAAAGGTGAATTCTCAATTTTTATAAAGGTATGCTGGGTTTAGTTTCCCTGCTAAAACCTGTTAAAAAGTTAATAAGTGATATTTCAAAATGACTGCAATTTTGATTAGGGGTGCGATATTGACCTCTAATTTGGGCCATTTAATTTGTCTTCAGAAACCCTTAAAAATGAGGGGTCACATGATAGGTGTTTACTTTTGAAAATTTGGGGCTGCCCCCATAATACCCCATTTTGGGGGCCGGGTAGAAGTTCTAGCCTTAATGAAAAAGTACATTTTTTATGTTGTAAATATTTGCTGAGTTTGGTTTTCCCACTGCCACAAGTTATAAAGTTAACTGGGGGTGACCAGACTTTATCTTGCTTGCTCATCTTAGATTAAAATTGCTGCCATTTTAATTAGGGGTGCGATATTGACCTCTGGTTTGCGCCATTCAATTTCTCTTGATAAACTCTTTAAAATGAGGGGTGTTGACATTTGAAAATTTGGGGCTGCCCCCAAAATACCCCATTTTGTGGGCTGGGGCAAAGTTGTAACTTTGATGAAAAAGTGCAATTTTTTATGTTGTAAATATGTGCCGAGTTTGGTTTTCCTAATGCAACGCTAAAAAGTTATGTGGGGGGTTCCAGACTTTTGCCTAACCCTGTATAGATACCTACAGTACTGTAGGTATATTTAGTCAATGATAAAGTGCATCCACGATTTAACTTAATTGACTCAAGAATCAATAGACCTTCCAGTGGTCTTCCCTTTTTGTTTAAACAAAGTGTAGTGCCAAACCTCCCTTTTGCCACTTAATTGCAAATCAACTTTCTACTATGGCAATAATCTTTCTCTTTCATAACATGTCCTGAATTAACATTGAACAACAGGAGCTGATGGAGTTATCCCCAAACAAGCACCACAGAAGGGGTTTTCTCTAAAAGTGTGGGGAAAACTACATGGATTATAGATAAACAAACAGAAAATAAGATGGTTTGATTCGAAAATAGAATTCTGAGAAAAATATTTCGACCTTGATACAGAGGGAGAAGGATGGAAAATTAGGCACAACCAAGAAATCAGAGAATTGTTTCATTCCCCACCCCAGACATAGTAAAAAGCAAAGGGTAAAAATACCAAGGTGGGCTGGACATGTATTTAGGACGGGATATTGCAAACTAAAATAAAAGAAGTATTTTAAGAAATTTAAGGAATTTAAATAAGTTTGGAGGCAAAACCCAGCTAGCGGGAAGAAGAGTCCAAGGAGACCCGAGAATCGCTGAAAGGACCAGATGGAGAAAGATTTGCGAAAATTTAGAGCAAGGAAGAAGATTCAGAGAACAGGGAGGGATGGAGGCAACTTAATTGTTGGCGAGGCCAAATATCACCTTTGGTATCCATGGCCATGGGAGTAAAGGGTATAAGTAAGTAAAAGTTTAGGGGCCTTTTTCTTTCGAAATATTGCACATTAATTGATTGCATTGTTGATGACAGTCAGCTATTTCAAACAAAACTTGAGTTATTTGCCCATTAGTACCTACCACACTGATATAGTCTATGTATTAGTTTATAGATGTAAAACGTTTTTTACTTCTTGTTTAATCATCTTGTATATTTTTGTCTGTGATCTCGATAACTTAAGTAATTTTGGTACAATTTTTATGGAAATGTGAAGAGCTGGACGAACTTGATTGAATTAGGGAACCAACAAGATTGGGTAATGAGAACAGAGTGTTATGGGCCGTTTTGAACTATTTATTTTTATTTTCCCAAAATACATGATATATTGCCCAATTTTGGTACAGTATATACGCTTTAGTCCCCACAGCCATTTTATTATTATTATTTAATTTTTATTTTGTAAAACAATTAATGTATTTAGTCTTGTGGCACTCACATCCCCAAATAGGAACGGCCCAAAATAGTATCTTAAAATATAAGGATAAATTAGTCCATTGTATTTAGTTAGCAGTTCCTCCAGATTTTTCATTGTTCCGAACAAAAATTCCACAACTAAGTTTTTTTTTAATGTGTTTGATATAGTCTTGAAAAATAAGTCTCTTGTCTAAGGTCCATCCAAGGAACATGACTTTTGTGAATTAATCATTTTTGCCTAGAAGGAGTACATATTCACTGTTTGATCGATTTTATAAACGGAAGTCAATAAGTTTTACTTTTTCTGTGTTGATTTTCAATAAACTGCCACTGCATAAAAATAGTGTTTACTATACCAGATATGGACTTGATTTGATGGGGAAAAGCAGTTGAAAGTTTAAGGCATTACTAACAGTTTTGATAAATGCAATTGCTACTGTCCTTATTATCTTATACAGAGGAACTAGAAACTAGAGGGAGGTTATAATTACAATATTTATAGTTTTATCAAAGTATTCTTTATTAGAAATTGTGTATAGCAATTACTGACAATAAAAGGACACCCCTCATCCACGATGCTTGCTGAGGTCAAGGCCACTGTGTTTGTGAAGAGGTTTCTTGATTTCATCATCCCAATCTTCACAGTTCTGCAAAAATATTTTTTAAACATTTTAACTGTGAAGAAACATATAAGGAAAAATATAAAGAACATAAACCTTTAGATGTAAGGACCAAGTAACCAGGGGGCTATGGGGGTAAATGATTTAATCATAAAAACGTAAAAGATGTTTTTGGACACATTTCTTAGACATTAAAATGGATTCACCAAAATCGGCTTTAAATAAAAGCAAGTTTTTTTGGGGGAGGACCCCCAAACCCCCCTCCTCGTGTGGAATGCCCTCATTGATAAGGTCCTTAGAACTGTCAACTGGTTTCAAACATATTCTAAATAATGAAATACGGATTAAACCCGTAAAGAACCCAATTTTTTTTATTTGATTATATTTTATCTAACTCAACAATCAAATCAATATCAATATCCTCGTATAAATTATGAGTAACACCATTAAACATTTTTATAAATTAGCTGTATTAAAATGAAACTTACTGGGGATATTTTATTCAATGCATTTTTGACTTTAAAAGAGACACACTTTCGACACTACTAGATTTTTTCCAAGAATGAATTTAACAGACAAATTATTTGTTCTACAATTTAATTAATACTGGATTGTATTGTATGTTGGATCATTTGGATACATAGTTTATATAAATAAAGTATACAATATTTACAAAGTTTATATACCTGCTGTCCCTTTTCTTCTAGGCACATGGCAAAGCGCTTGGAAATGGAACACTTTGTCTCAAAAGATTCTGAAAATAAAACAGAGAAACCTATTATATTAGTATCTGAACATGTACCACGATTTCTTACTGTACATTACAGAAAAGCTCCTGCAGAGGGGTCTATTCCTGCACATAATTACGTGCATTGATATTTTTATATTTCTATATTGTATTTCATGGATATTGGATAGTTTTTTAAAATTTATTTTCCACACTTTCTCACCATTTTATTTGATAAATTCTCATCTTGAGAAGGACTTAATCAGAAACTTACCAGAGTCGATGAACTCGAAGCACTCAGAGATTGCGTCTCTGATGAACTCTCTCAACTCTGGATCTCTTAGACGTCCTGTCATCGCACTGATCACTGCGGTCTTGTCAGGCTGACTGTTGTTGTCCAGCTGTTAGGAACAACAATCAACAATCAACGCTTAGTATCATCTGATGTATTTAGGTTACTTTAATGCATGGCTTTCTCTGTAACATTCCTTTATCAACCGTCATACTTAACTGATTTTTACGATGTATGTGCCATATTATGGTTTATGATCTAGCGGAGATACAAATTGTAACAAAAAAGTTCATTTCCTTTAGGGCTTCGCCACCCTTGCGTGTCATATTTGTTTCTAGAGTTTGCATTCAAAGATAGTGATGCTGATTAACTTTCTTTTTAGGGTTTAAGTGTTGATTGTTATTACACAGCTGATCCTTCATTTGAATCTTATTTAACTACAGACAGATTGTAAACAGAAACAAAACAAAACGGTTTATGAAAATGTATTTTAAATCATATACTTTATTGATAATTTAAACCTGAGGTAGGTAAATCGTTCTTTATGATGTGGATTTAAAATCAATAAATTTAATAAAACTAAAAGTTTTTAATTCCTATTCAACTAAAAACGGTATTACATTATTCATTTTGCCTCGGAACAATGTTTGAAACCTATTAAAATATGTGCGATTCGCGCACTGGCCCCATCTCTTCTAATTAGCCCATCTACCTATATGAACCATGTTGTAGCCAATTTTTCATTCAAATAGAATAGTTATCACAGAATGTGCTATTGTGAAGATTATGTTATCTCTTTTAAGTTTTTATTCTTTGACAATTATTTTGTGAACGAGTAAGTGGAGAAATACAAAGTAAGGAATAGTTCTAAACTAAATTATAAAACTCACCATATGCATTTGTTGAAAAATGCAGTGGATCACACACTGAAACATGATAACAAATATTTAAAACTCGGCATAAATCAAACTAACAAATGTGGAGCATCACAGAGAAGTAAGGTACAGAGGAAACAATGGTACACTTAAACGGTGTCTAGCACTAGTTGCTGGCATCTAGAGCAAAGTCCAACACCCCCCTCGCCATCATGTACTACAACGCTCACAGTGGAGGAAGACCCTGCACCCTGCAATGGGAATTTCTTCACAGCGCTCGCCACTCAGGCTTTTCATTACTAGTCACAAGTATATTTCCGGCACAGCGCAAGTTTCCTCTTTAGCTTACTTCTTTGTGTGACAGCTGCTACAATGGTGACTGTTTTATGGTAACTAAACCTACTAGCTCTATTTCTAGCAATAAATCAATACGGTAACAAATACGTTATTCCTGTGCATTTTACTATCAATCATCATGCTCGCCTTCAAATCTGTAAGTTGCTGGTTCGATCCCTAGCAAAGATGATTCTGAAGATGTCATTTTTCTCAGTGGGCTATAAATTAATGATCCAACAAGATAGATGGATAGTAAAAATAACATGGTTTGAACTGTTTCCAACAAAAAAGGCCACAAATAAAATTTTAACTTGAGGTTTTACTAACCGCATCTACTTCCTCGAGTGGAGATCCACGGTTGTTGTTGTTATTGTTGTTGTTGTTGTTATTCTTCCTCCGACCGTTGTTGGAGGACGGACTCATGGTTGTGTACGTGTAGTTGCCTCTGCGGCCTCGGTTGTTGTGAGGATTGCGGTTGTGATTTCCAGGATTGTACCCGGACTCCCTGGATGTTTCCTGCTCATCGTCATCCTGGTTCCTGCCTCCTCCTCTTTCCCTGTCTCTGTCATCGTTTGTAGGAAACCTCGGTATACCTGCAGTGATGAATTCTCATTTAGCAATCATGATTTAAGTTACTTACAAAATATAGAAAGAATTTTATAACTGACAATAGTACCTGGTAGACCTATATTAATAGAACAGCACTGACATTTTCATGTTACTCGGCCTAGCTAAGCAAAAATAAATTAAATATGAGTGTTGAATGGTTAAAAAGAAACGACGCTACTGACCCTACTTGGATTCCTAAGTAAGACAGCTGGCTCCAATTTAGAACTAAAAACCAGCTAATTTATCAAGTATTGATAAGTAAAATTCTCAAGATCACATTATTTATTTAGGATGAAAGTTGTTGGGCCAAGTTTTATTTGGAAATGGACATTTTATTCTTCAGCTAATGCCTACCAAGTCCCCATGGGGTTCGTCTCTGCCAGTTGTTGTTGTTGTTGTTGCCCTGGTGATGGTTTCGTCGGTGGATCTCCTGATCTCGCATGTTGTTGGGGTTCATACAAGCTCTCACAACATCATGGAAGCTCTCCTGAGATCTGTCGTCATTCTCAACTCGACACTTTAGTCCTACTGCCACCTGTAGACATTATGTTTGACAGTCAAACTTCACTCAGTAAAAATAAAATATATTACCTACGGTACTTGAAAGCTTAGCTCCAACATAATCTGACTGAAATATACTAAACAACGGGACTCTTGTGCGTATGGCATATATTAATAGTGTTCGAAACTCGACATTTCGGACTTCCGAGAATAATACAATAATTTACCTGATTTACAATATATTCAATATGTTGCTTCTAGATCTACACTATAAAGAGTTGTTTACTTACAGGCAGTCAATTAACTTAATTGGTATCAATATCAGGCTACCGAACTTTTAGATTATCAAAAAGTAGCGGATTTAAAATCTACTTTCATAAACTGTTTTTACTATTTACAATCTGACTGTTGTTAACATTCAACGGAAAGATATGCTGTTCACATTTAAATTCACTTCCAAGCCGTTATAATGAATGTTATCAAGTATCACTCTATGAGAGTGAATTCTAAAAATTAATATTTCTAGACACTTAAGGGGGCAAAGCCCTAAAGGAAATGATTAAACTTATAACCTGACCCTCCTTCTACCTGGAGACTGGCCAGTAAGCAGGGCATAAAATAACATGTTAACTGGGCGACAAAAGTGTCGCCCAGTGCTGAGATTTTGTCGCCCAGTGACTATGGGTGGTGCCGGCATATTTTTTTTAATTATTCACATTTTAAATGTATAGGAATTTAAAATAACATTATGTAAATATTTTAGAGTATTGAGCTATGTATGATTTTGGCCCAAGATACTATTTACAAGCAAATATAGCCTAATCTAAATATTCACTAAAAAATACGTAGAAATGTGTGATTTTCACTTAAATTTATGCAAAACCCCCCAGGCCCCCCGGTAAGTCCGGTGCCACTGTCGCCCAGTGAAAATCCCTTAAAATATGCTCTGCAGTAAGGCACTATCTTGTCACAGTTAGACAAAGGTAATCTTACTAATATTATAAATGTGAAAGTTTGTGTGTTTGTTTGTTTGTTTGTTTGTTTGAAGTTCAATCACGCCTTAACTACTGGACGGATTGGGCTGAAATTTGGCATGATGATAGCTCACATTTTCGATTAACATATAGGCATATTCTTATCTCAAAAATCCTTTCGGGCTTCGCCCCAGTGGCTCTGTAATTACCCATGTTAACCTTATGAGTATTCATATTTAAAGGGAATTAAATAATTTAGTCAGCTGTTTCAACCTAAAAAAATGGTTCTATGATATGCAAAAGCATTAAAAAGTTATAAGATTTACCAACAGGGTGCAGCACTATATTTTAAAGCATTTATGAAAACAGCTAATTTGAACTAAGCAGCATCAAAAAACTGCTATACACAATGAGAACTAACTTGAATAATTTTGATTTTTTGCGAATTTTTGATAATTTATTTTTATACATTGTTTAGGTAAAGGGTAGATGTGTAATACTATAGAATACTATAAATTTAAAGAAGCAAATTTTATCAAACTGTGTCCTCCCTCATTGCAATCGCAAGGCTTGAAAATAACTGCAATAAGCATTTTATACTTATATGCCGACCCCGTACGAAGGACGGGTACTCTGCTAGTAGATCATATAACTTAAGTAATACTGTATGTTTAAATTTGCAGATTCTTACCTGTAAAACAGAGATGGCAGAGAAAACTAAAATAATATGCATGCAGGTTGTGGCATCCATTTCACATTGTCTGCATTGATCTAAATGTAAGTTGATGCTTCGATATGTTTATATACTTTATCCTTCAGTTTGATTTGCTTTGTTGCATACAACTTTTGTTCGCCGGGACAACTTAATCGGCAATATCCATTTCAGGAAGTGATTAGTGTCAGTGCTACGTATTGTTGTGATGAAATGGAGTAAGGGTTTTGTTTGATTTGTCAGTTTCAACAATTGCAACAAACAGTAGTGAAAAATGATTCATATTTAGATTAAAATGGCTAAAATATATTCTTAATTGAATCATTAATTCTTTTTTTTTTTTGTCATAAGACGCCAGGCACGAGCCCGGGATTGTTTTCCACATTACTTCAGGCTAGACCTAGGGGTTGCGGCATCAGACAAAAATCCATTGGTGATTTGGCGGAATTTAAACCTGGGACCTCAGGAACCGAAGTCCTGCACGCTAACCACTAGACCAGCTCGCTCTTTCCCCCTTAATCATTAGGTCTTGAAAACAGATATAGTAAAAAAAAACCGTTATATTGAAAAGTATCCATCCAGATACTGTATTGAAAAATGGACCAGGTAAGCCTGGGCCCAGGGGTGCAAAAAGTTTTACGTTTGTTGGGAGTGCAAAAAGAGAAAAATTCCCCACAAGGAAGGAAGGAAGAGACCGCAGTTATCTTTCGGACCCATAGTGTGAGAAATGCAAATCGCGGCATTCTCTTCAAAATCTTATGAAGAGGATGAGGAGCTTTATTGAGAGAAACAAGAGTGAAAAAGGCTTATCAGCACACTGGAGTTGCTAAATCAAGTGACATCTATATAATTAATATGCTACATGAAACTTTGTCGGTTGAACTCCTCCGCCATTTCTTAACCGATTTTATCCATTGACGTCTCATTGGAAAGAGCGTGTCGCGTAGATTTGCAAACTGGCCTTACATTTTTGAAAAAGTCCCTTGGGCTCTGCCCCAGTGGCTTTGAAAGTTTCCGTGTTATCCTTATGGAGAACTTAATTGTTTACATTTTGATCAGCTGTATAATTTAATTGCTGTTATTTATTTTTCAATTCAATGAAACGCATTGAGTACATTTATTTACTATTTGAGTTTGTGTAAACATAACCCCCAAGACGGATCGTGTAAGCATGATTGTAACTTAAATTTGTGCATTTAACGTTGTTTTGTGTAGCTATAATTTGTTTATTTGTTGTTTTTTTCTTTTAAATGCCTCCGACGCGTCGACAACGAAACACAGACAGGAGGCGTAATCGTGATAACGACCGCAGCTACAGAACAGTGGCACGTAATATAGGCTTAACTCATCACAGTCGGCACCTGACCCTGGACAATCTCAACTATTAGGTTACAAATGCGCCCTAACACTACCCCAAAACGACTTTTCGTTCTCAATTGGCCCTCTATCAATGACATGTGTTGCCTGTACAGCGAGGCATTTTGAGAAAGAGAAAACCGGCCGGAATGCTTTAGGTTTATCAATAACGAAGATAAACATGATCTGAGTTACACACCGGTAATCTTTGGGTCGACTATTTTAAACTCATTGTAAATATGACTGTTATTCGTTTTTAAATAACTCCTGTAATACTTGCAATTGCTCGAATTCGAGCAACATGTACACTAGTTAATAAATAAACAAAACAACTGTGTCAACTTGTAATTTTATTGCACAACAATCGACTACCATATAAATAATTTATCATAAATATTTACAAAATACAAAACTTAGAATTACACTTAGCATAGAACATTACACAACAAATAAACACAATTTGTATTACACTTAAACATATAACAACATTGTCAACATTGTGTACGAAACATCACTGATTATTGTTATAATAATCATAGTTCTAAAGCAATTAATTTTATTGAAATTTTTCATCCCTTTACTTTGCTTTGTTACAACAGTTTCTATACTCTAAAGTATAAACATTGTTTTGAAAATCATACTGAGAGACAAGATGATGTTTTACACTAATATTGCACTTGGCCCTCCTTTGGTCATTATCACATTTTGTTGACCACAAATTAATCTGAGGACAAATATTTAACGTTCTTACACTAGACAGCTCAGTCAAAGACCAAATATATCAACATTAACTCTATTTACATGTTTTAAATACTTATGGTGGTTAGTTTCACATGTAAAAATTCTGTGCCTAAAAGAAGACAAATTTGTTTTACAAACACAAAATTGTTGTCTTCATGGTTCTGCCAATATAATGAAAAGCACACTATTTAATCAGTTTTAGTTTGAAAACATTACACTATTGTAGTTATTCTTTATTTTGAAGATGATTTGTATTTAAATAATATTGTAAAACATGATTTTCATTTTGGCAAGTCTATAAGATGCTTTATGGGCAATTAGTTATTGCATTATAATTTCTTTGTTTGCTATGAATTTTGACTTAAAGAAAGTTTCTTTTATACAATTTATTTTTTTATAATTATATTTTATTAATATGGTCAAACTTTACTGAATGTAAATTCAAACCAGTATTGAAGCGCATGATGGCTTGAAATAATATATGTGTCCAACCATAGTGTTCAAGAAGGATGAGCAATTCCCAAATATTACTCCTTCAGCAATAGCAAACCGTCTACACAGACTCAGCCTTAAACCCAGAGTGGGGGTCTGCCTCGTAGTTGACGATCTGTAGTTTGCCCTCCTTGTCGTAGTAGCCGTAGTGTCCCTTTACTCGCCCATGGTTGTCCTTCTCTTCAAACCGGAACTGTCGGTTGTGTCTGGAAGAATAAGAAGCTGTATGAGTCACAGAGTAAAATAGATCGAGTAATGAAGGTCAAAGTTTTAACAGATCGAAGAAAATAAAAGAGGTCAAAATAGATTAAAATAGGTAATCAAAGAGCTGCAAGTACAATATGCACGGTAGCCTTGAGTTAACACAGGGCATTAAGTTTGTGACGCATATATTGTTATTTATTTATTTATATGGATACTTGGGGCTGCTTATTATTTTTCATAGATTGTAGGTACCCACAGAGAAGTAAGTTACATAGGAGACTTGCTTATGGGAAACCGTGCACTTTCAGCTCTAGTATGTTATGTGGAAAATATAATTGTGACGAGCAAGGAAGATAGCCTGAGCCCCTGAGCGACTGTCATGAGCACTGTGAGGAAAATTGTATGGCACTCGCACAGGTCACAGGGTCTTCCTTCTCCACGAGTGTTGTAGTGCATGAGGGCAAGGGGGGCGGTGTTGGACTTTGCCCTAGACACCAGCAACTTGTGCTAGACACCACTTAAGTGCACCATTGAATGTCTACTGTGTACCTTACTTCTCTGTGGATACAAACTGTAACTTTTAAAATATTAATATTAAAAAAAAAATTCGCTAATAAGAGAAATTCAAGTGTTACAGAAGATTGTTAGCTGCTAGTTTGTTCAACCAAAAACATCAGTAGGTAAACATCAGTTAGGGTATGTATTTTTGTGGTTGTCCTGGGTCGCTAGGCACGAGCCCGGAATTATATTTCACATTACTTCAGGCTTGACCTAGGGGTTGCGGCATTATCACTTAGATCAAATCCATTGGCGATTTGGCGGGATTTGAACCTGGGACCCCAGGGACCGAAGTCCCGCGCTCTAGCTCTAACCACTATACCAGCTTGCTCATCAGGGAAATGTATAGAAGAAATATCTGTTGAAATTATTTTGTATTATTATTGGTAGTAGGATTTATCAGGATGCATAAATCATAATAAAAATAAATATAATAGAAGCCTATAGGTTGGAGTAATGTTACGATGGCGGCGAGATTGGTCTAATGGTAGGGACTTTGGTCCCTGAGGTCCTGGGTTCAAATCCTACCAATCAATACATAGGTGGGAAAAATAACAATTAAGTTACGATGGGGAGTGAGTTTGGTGTAGTGGTTGAGCACGGGACTTCAGTCCCTGAGGTCTTCGGTAAAACCCTAACAATCACCAATGGATTTTATCTAAATGATAATGCCGCAACCTGTAGGCCTAGCCTGAACTCTGAAGTAATGTGAAATACAATCCCAGACTAGAGTCTTGCATCCTGGAACAAAAAATTCCTATAGAAGTGGATAAACTGAGTTATTAAGTTGTAGGTTGTTTTCTCTTACCCTTTCCCTGTGTCGTACCCGAACTTGTACGAGTTTGGTCCCTTCTGACCATGCATCTGAAACTCCACCCTCTCGTTGCCATGACTACCAGCACCATGGGCTCCATGAGCTCCCAACCCGGTGAATCCCGTCTCTGAGGTGATCTGGAACCAACATAGCAGTATAAAAAATAAATTCATAAAATATAAATATCAGGACTTAAACAAAATATCCTTTTGTGATGTAAAGTTTATTCGTCTAACACAATGAAAGCTTTGAAAATTATCTTTCAATTGGTATAAATAAAGTTACCTATTCAATTTTTCAATAATTTGGAGTTAAAACACCCCTTCAGAACTTAAATATTAGTCTCTGCTACTACGGACACCAACCACCGAAAATATTGCTAGCTGGGTTTTATTTTACAAATAAATAAGAAAAATAGCTGTGTTTACCTCCAATCTATATATCTAATTCCGTAAGCCCAAAATTTTACAATGAAATTGTGAGCGAACGGGAGGCCGTAGAAAGCTGGGAGAGGTCTCATTTTAAAGGTCTGGGCATGAAATTTTGGGGAAAGTCATGAAGATTATTATTAAAAATTGTCCTTAGTTGTGTTATCATTAGAAAGTTTATATTATAAACACACCGCATGAAAAGTCCTTTGTAATTTTTATTTTTAACAGAGCAGACATCAAAATGAATTATGCAGGTATGTAATAACTATTATACAAATTATAATATACAAATATGTTAAACGATAATCAAACCCATGAGACTAATAATTTGTACAAAATAATTACTAGAATATATATATTAGGGGCTGTTGTCCCTACAAGCCACTAGTTTATGAAATAATTGCTCACAGAAAATGTTGCAAAGACCGAATAGGATGTTACTCAGTCACGGTCACAGTATTCATTTGACAAACCAAGACAAAAACATCTATATAGATAAAATTAGAGTTTTGTCTGTACATTGCTCAGAATCATACATTTTTAGGTTATTTTTACGTTTTATACATTAAAGAAGCCGAAACAAGTCTCATCTAAATTTCTGTCTGTCTGTCTGTCTGTCTGACACACTCAAGATGGCATTTTACGCAATCTTCTCCAGGAAAACGAGAGTACCTATCAAGACCCAAGTCATTTTAATGTATTCACTGGATTGGCGAGAGTGTCTTTAGCCATTAAAATATGGTCTCACTACTTTGTAATTAAAATTACGGCCGTTCAAAAATGCAGTTTTGTGCGATTTTTGTCAAGTTTTCTTCCAATTTGTATCACATAATCATCTATGAAACAACGAACAGCTGTTCGGATCAAGATTATTTTTTCTAGCTGTCACTGAAATGTTTACAAATGTTGTTTACAAACACCACAACCATTTCCGATCACGTTTTGAAGGCAAATCCCATCCAAGTGAGATTATAAACGTTTTTATTACATAAAGGATTTAATTAATCGCAAGTGGAATAATATAGTGTAACCGTAAATTAAATAACTAGGCATCATCCAGGCCAGGAACCAGAAATATGTGTATAAAATTGTTTTGGAGTTTTGATAACCAGAAAGAAGACATTGAATCAAGATTGAATCAGTGTTGTATACGGCTGGGAAACTTAAATTTACTAATGACCGTCGCCAATAGCTTAGAAACAATGTTCCACTCATTGACGGCTCTTCAATGGTGGTTGTGTAAAGTGTAAAGCAAAAAATTACAACTGCAGTGGGTGATTGTAACAGAGGTTTACGGATGATGCTGAACTCGATTTTCCAATGTGTCACTTTCTGTTCTTACCATTGACTATATAAAGTCAATAGTTCCTACTCACCGTGTGATGCAATCGCTGGACCATACAGCCAATAGGCCCATAGCCCTTCTCTTGGGTACGTGTGGTACGTATGCTTACCCAATCATTTATAACAACCCTTTCGACAACGATCCTTGATGCCAGTACTTTTCCATAGAATACACGGCCTACCTAGGTACTTAAGAAATAAAATTATAAACGTCCAAAAACCCAACGTTGTGTGATTTTTGTCACATTTCCTTATAATGTTAATATATATACCAGCAACCATTGTTTAGAGAATACGTAATCTATTAAATAACAGAAAGTTATGTTGTATAAGGTTTTTTTTCAAACTGACACCGATAAGTTTACATTAAGAGTTGTGTACAAATAAAGCAATTAATGGGAAATAACTTTGATTGCCGATAACTTTTTACGAGAAAATCCAAAACCAAGAGAACGTTGTTTACGTTGTTTGTGAACGTTGTTTATGTATCAATAGTTCGTGGCCTATTTTGGTAATTTTTATTACAAATTACCAATCTAAATCGTCTATAGTAGGCCTACTGTACTTCATTTCATTTAGCAAACCGATTCAGATAGCATTTCGATAGAATTTCGAGTCATCTCCGGTCCAAGCAAATATAAATTGTTATGATCAAATTTTATGGCATTAACAAAGATTTCAAGTACTAATTTTATATGTAGGCCTACCTTTTTATGCTTAAAGCGTAGCAGATTCCCTAATTAAGTTCGGTATTTTTGTGTGTATGTATGATGGTAACGCATTAATGTCCTTGTTTCTCAATGTTTCACGGAAAGGACAAGAGCGCATTGATAATGAAAATGTCAACCCGAATAAAGTGTTAAATTAAGAGGTTGAGGTAGTACCTTAAATACTTTTAACCATTATGTTATAGTCCTTTAAATTTTGAACAAAATTTTACAAATCCCATTTCCGTATATTTACTCTCACAGCTTACACATGATAAAGGTTGTTGACAAACTTATGGGAGAAAGTATGTGTCAGAATGCTGATAGCGTTTATTTAGTTTAATCATTGGATATAACATGTGGACCAACAAGATCCGGGTGACATTTAATTGCGAAGCATTAGTTTTGGCTTGAAACTGTCAGATACTGTATTTGCGAAGGAATAGTTTTGTCAGCATATCTGAAAGTATGCAAACCAACTGCTGTGCTTTATATAAGAAGGTTTTAACTGCGACTGTGATAAGATCCCCGTGCGTAGAACGGGCACACAGCTAGTACATAATAAAATTACAGTATTCCCTGACTTGATCAATAAGATCAAGACCAATAAACGTTTACATGTTTGATAAGTGAAAACTGTTGCTTGGATACTGTTGCGTCAAGTAGATGCAGGTTTCATCCAAGCTGGCTTTTTTATCAGTGTCTGATAACAGTTGAAATAAACCTAAATTTGCAAAAATATTATTACTAGTTGTGTGCCCGTTCTACGCACGGGGATAGTGTTTGTAGTCAGTTGAAGTCACTGGTTTAAAATACTACATCAACCTCGCCATTGAACACTTTATTATGGTTTACATTTTCATTAACAAAAATGTGCTCTTGTCTTGTTCGTGAAACACTGAGAAATAAAGAAATTAATGCGTCACCAACAGACATACACAAAAAAAACACAGAATTTAATTAAGCCAGGAATTTGCTACGGTTTAACCATAGCAAAGTACACATAAAATTAGTAAGCGCTGTCAAAAAAATATAGTGGAAACCTAATTTTTGTAAGCTATTGGCGACAATGATTAAAATCTCTAAAAATCTAAAAAGTGCAAGTTTCCCAGCCCTAAACCACACACTGATTCAAGGTCTTTTTCCCGGTTATCAAAACTCAAGAACAATTTGATAGGTACACAACGAATCTCCGGTTCCTGACCTGGATGATGCCTAGTTACATGTATTTAATTTCATTTACGGTTACACATGCACATGCGATTAAATAATTGCCCCGTTATGTAAGGAAAAACTTTTTAATCTCACTTGGTTTGGATTTTCTTTCAGACGGAAATGGTTGTGGTATTTGTAAACAACATAATGTAAACATATCAGTGACAGCTAGAAAAAATAACCTTGATCCAAACTAACAGCTGTACGTTATTTCATAGATGACGTATGTAATAAACATAGGAACATGTATTAAATAATAATAAACATGTAATAACATAAACATGTAAATAATAATAAACATGTAATAAACTTAGGAAACTGGGGGAAAAAAGCACAAAATTGGGTTTTTATGAAAGTCCGTCATTTGATTTACAAAGTAGTGAGGCCATATTTTAAGGGCCAAAGACACTCTCGCCAATCCCGTGAATACATTAAAATGATTTGAATCTTGATAGGTACTCTCGTTTTTCAGGAGAAGGCCGCGCAAAATGCGCAATGGATAGAAATTGAGATAAGACTTGTATAAAATATAAAAAAATAACCAAAAAATATATAATTCTGAGCAATGTACAAACAAAACTCTAATTTCATTTATAGATGCACATCTTTTGAATCATTCAAATAATCATTGCAAATCTATATCGTTAATAAACCATAAATACATGTACTTGCCATGATAAACATTTTTATTCACTTTCTATAAATATACCCCACACATCCTTGCTTTAAATAAACAATCAACTACGGTTGCAGTGAACAATGAACATAGCAGGATGGTACCTAGTGGGCTAGTAAATTTGGGACACGAATAAATTTCAGGTTATGTTAAGTGTATATCGTTTTATCTAGTCATGATGCTTTGAAATTGGTGAAATAGCACTAAAAAAATAGCAAACATCAAAATACTCATTACAAAAACCGACCAGAAACATATTCTTAACCTTTCTTCAACCTATCCATAGGTAAGATCAAATCTGTTAAGGAATATGTTTAATCAACGACAAAAATATAGCCAGAAATGCCACTATTGACGTCACTTTACTACTGATGGGCTGGCGGTATTCTGATGAACATTAGCAGCCCCTACGTTGTACACTCTAACATATATAAATCTGCTTGTAGGCTAGTTGTCAAATACGCCTACCTGTTCGTCCATTTGCGCTGCCGCAGCTGCCAATTCCGCAGGAGGTTTCCTGGACGGTTTCCTCTGGTGAGGTCGTCGTCTCATCACGTGCCTCTTCGTCGTCCTATCAGGCGGCGGCGCACCCGAGTCTCTGTGCTTCTTAGGCCTGTAGCGGCCTTCCTTCTTGGAGAAGTCAGTGGGAACCGGAGATTTCAATTTGGACGGCCTATGGGGTTTCCTAGTTTTCGAAAGCTTCAGAGCTTTCTCGTAAACCGACGGTAGTTTCGGAGGCACCAGATAATCAACTAGACCATCGTTTTCTTTCAGTTTTTCCAAATTGTCCTCAATTGGTACTGCCAATTGCGGGACACTCTCTATATACCTGCCTTCTGACGTGAAGGGGTTCGAAGGGTTTGAGTTTCCAAATTGGAAATCATCCGACGTTTTCTCCGACTGTACTTCATATTGGGATTGTTCGACGTCAGGTTCTGCTTGGATTTGTGGCTTCCTAATTCTGCCTCGGTTTGATTTCTGTGGATATTCTTCTCCCGTTGTTGCATATTCTGTTTTGTGGTTTGGCTTCGGTGTAATGAATATAGATCCGTCACTATCAGGATTTCTCATGTCCAGGTGAGTGTTTATTCTGTGCCTTCCATTTCCTTTCCTCCCGGAAGGACTATCTGTCGGATGTCTCTTCACAGCTACTCTGCTCTCCTCTATCTCCCTGTTTATCGTGAAGATGTCCGGAGAGTCGAACTCCGCCAGTGACGGTAGATGGTCATGGCCATCTGCTTGTCGATGGGGACGGCTTACGTTTGTACCGGAACCGGAAACACCACCGTCTCTCCCTTGCTTCTTGGGGTCAAAGAATGCTCGCAGGTTCGAGAAGGGGAAAACTTGTGCGGAACAGAAAGTGATCACTGAGGTCAAGAGTATTGACTGGATCTGAAACGAAAACAAACCTTATTAGTGATACTGTAAAAAGTTTGAAATCGTTATCACTGGATAATATTTTAATTTTGTAAATTCAAGCACATACAGTACAAAGTTGGCTTAGTAACTTTAAAAGTTCGAAAAAATCCCAATTAAGTTCAGAAGTATATATCAATAAGCAAAGTTAATAAGGTTTCCTTAAATTAAAAGCATTCACTATAACATGTTGTGCCAAATAAATAAATCTTCATTAAACATGATCGTAATATTAATTCAATTTTGAAAACCCCCGGTGGTGTTTAAAACGCATGGACTTAGTGAATTTGTTTACATTATATCCACACTTTTGTACATTGATTGTATTTAGGGTGTTGTAGCGTTGATTATGTATGATTAATGGTTGTAGTCATAAAGTATTATCTTAAATTCTGGCGTAAAGTATCTACTAGGCTACTACGGCAGAATGTAGTGGTCTGGTTACAACTTTTAACCTAAGTTGGCCACTTTTTGGAATACATACTTTCCAGCTCAGCTTAAACCTTATTTTCAGAGTCCACTAATACCATTGACTATATATACACTGTGTATATATAGTCAATATAGTGTATATCTAGTCAATACTAACACGTTTACAACAGCTTCGTATATTTTTCCACGGCTGTGGATGATGTTTCGTTGAAGCAGTCCTTATTTGAGCACACCTATGAATTAAATATGCAATAATGATTTGTAACACCATATTTGTGATTTACGCATAATACATGTTGAGTTTTCCGCAGCGAGTAGATACGTCATCCGGCGGAAACAGCGGAAACTAGACAGATCGCGTGCGCTTGTGGCCACTGGGCGGAAAATCGCGCAAATCAGAGAAAGTGATGCTCCTAGCGACCACAGCGGTAGGATAATGAAGTGACTTGATACCCAGAGTAGCCTCTTGATAACCAATTATGTTACGTGATGCCCAAATAAGTGTCTCCCTCCTCAATTACATTTTTATGCGTACATGCATCTTCCTACCCGATGAAATCGTTTGCTATTCTGAAGTCAATTAATGCCTAGATGAGCCTTTCCATGCCAACGAGATCGCTTGATATTTACTGATGTCACTAGAAAAATATACTTTGATACTTTGCCAATGAAATGGCGACCATACAAAGTAGGTATTTTAAGCCAAGTATGATTGGAGATGAGTGTAGTCTTGTTAGTGACTAAGGCCGACATATTCCTTAGACACAGCTGTTAATTTAGCTATTGCATGTCAATGAAGATACAACACAACCAATAGAGTTGCCGAGGAACCTAATGAAATCATCGTGTTATAAATTACACAATCACAGACACAGAAGGACTTCCTCTTTTGGAAGGTCTTGGTCAAATCTTGCAAATCATACCCAACCCATCTTAATTGGTTTTTAGACATGTGATAGTAGCATTGTTATTTTCTAAGTAGTTAAGAGCTCTCGTTGAGCTGTATGATCACCTATAAAGTATAAAAAAGATAGAGATCTTAATCGAGAAGGATCTTCCCTGTGTGGGATACAATCTCCTTCCAAACTAAAATTATTCTATAATTTAATCACAGCATTGCTAGCCAAAACATTCGGTAGATTTGATTTATATGTTCCTCCTGTCTTACATTTCCACTAGTACACACTCCCTAAAATAGAGAAGAGTGGAGAAGCATCGTTGGCGAGGCCAAAAACCTTCTGAGGTTTCAATGGCCAAGGGGGTAAGGTAAGGTAAGGTAATACCTTACCTACACCTAATACCTTACCTTACACGTCCTAAAGGACGTGTGCATTGTCCAACCGTGGACCCACTCGTGCATAACTACGCCAAGTCATATTTAAACCGGTTAAACGGGTGACAATGGAGGTGAAGAAAAACACAATGAAGCATTATAACACTTCATGGCATGGATGTGAGCATGCCATATTGGGCAATTGTGGTGCAATTCCGATAGGTCCTTCCACGGTTACCAAGGCGTAACATGGGCCGTGGCCTACGATGCTAAATTGTGGAAAATTGAAAACTTGTATAGTAATGTCTGGCGTCAAATTAAATAAACACCAATAGATTGTAAAAGTGTAAAGTTTGGATTCAGGATCACGAATCACAATATTTGAGAATGTGTTCATCCAAAAAGTAGCCAAACCGTGGACAGGTTTATAAATATTACAAACAAACCAAAGAGATCGAATATATATTGTCATTCATTTTTACTTTCTCCCCCTATTAAAAGGAGAAAGTATCGTTTTCGTCAAAATTGTCGAATTTGAGTTTTGAATGGATCTATGTTGGCCCCCCCCTGAACCCAAAAAAGTGGTTTTCGAAGTGATGTCTGTGTGTGTGTCTGCATGAGTCGATGTGTATAGAGCTACAGACAACACCTGTAGTCCGATTTTGATGACATTTGGTATGTAGGTACTAATCCATGGTATCTTCAGAAGTTTTATAATTTTTTTTTTAATTTAGATTTTTTTAATGGGGATTCTCCCGTACAAACCCATAAAATAACGGAAAAATCAGACTTTCTCGAAAATAGCCCGAACGATTTAAAAGAAAGATTTAGTAGGTTATAGTCCTTTAGATTCTGAACAAAATGGTACAAATCCCATTTCCGTAAAAATTATGGCTCAAAAGTTATTGTAACCTATGTTATTTTCCCATAGAAATCCCATAAAATTACAAAGAAAATCGGATTTTGGAATAACCCCGGTTTTGATCAAAATTAATGTGTTATTGTCCTTGTAATTTTAAACAAAATAATGCAACCCCACATTACTGTAACAATTAGGTTAAAAAGTTATTGCAACTTTTGTGATTTTGTTCCTACAAAATTATCATAGTTACTCCCACCACCATAAAGGTGGTAGACAAGCTTATGGGAGAAAGTATGTGTTAGATTGCTGACACCGTTTATTTTATACCTATTCATCACTTTTACATTATTTATTTGTTTGTGTTGATAATATATTCAAACACAAAACTATGTGGCGATGTAAGACCGTATTTAGCGTTTGCCGGAAACTACAACGGTCGTGTGATTCTAGTTCCGCTTCTCTAGTCCATTGTTATTGTGTAAACATCGAATCTGGATAAAAAAAATTACACGTAACATATTTCCTTGTCACTTTACTTTATTATGTGCAAAAAATAACAGTGAATTTCATCGCTCGAATAAAAGAGTGGCTGTTTTCGACTATGATATATCTAGTTTATTCAATGAAATCGTAAAATGGAGTGCAGGGCCGATGAAACATTTTAGCCCGTTTAATGAACTATTTTCGTAACTGCGATAATAGTTTACAAAACGTAAATTTCATACATGTTTACCTTTGTAACCTTTATTACCTCAAAAAATGGGTTCCTTGTTGTTTGGATAGTATACGAATAGCTAGCGGTAAAGTGTAAAATGTGAGCAGCAAACAGCTGATCCTTCAGTTGAATGTAAAGCCAGCATTCTTCAAGAATAACTTTTTTTATAGGATCCGAACCACGAGGTACATGGTTCCGCTGTAGTATAAACACGATTGGCCGCGGAAAACGGAAATCCCGCTCGGTTTCTGACTAGACAAGAATCCACGAAAGGCAACGCCGTGATTTCTAATGTACAAGTTGCCAATTGTAATTGCTCTATAACAACCAGTCCTGACGACCGGTCAGGAAGGTTCTGGAGATGCCAGGAAGATTCCTGGAGAATTGCCAATACAGTAATACTTTTGGAGAAACGTTTGCTACCGCATTCTGTAGCAGTCAGGAAGACGAATGGATATTCTTCAAGAGAGGAATTGAAGATAAAGATCAAATGTAGGACTTTTTGACAGCTGGAAAGAAGAGACGAGTAATTTGTATTCTAAGGTGTAACCGTGTAAGTGTACTAACTACTAGCTATTAATTAGTTACGATTAATTAAAAAGAAAGGGCTCAATGTTTTCCGTCGAAAATAACCTCGGCTTGTAAGTGTTAGCAAAACGGGAGTGCCGATGGAGACCTGTGGGGGTGCGTGCGTTTGAAGGGACTTGACCTGGTCTCCATCGGCACACCCGTTTTGCTAGGACAGAATGATAAAAATAAATTAAATGTCTTATATTCTTCGTTATCAAAATCAATCATGTAAATGTTTTTGATAACGAAGATTTGAAAACACTTCTACATTGCAGACTCGTTTTAAACATAACTAATATGTGTAGCGGAAATTATAGGCCCAAAGTTTGTGAATATTGACTGATTGAGGCTTATTCTTAACTTTAATAGTGTAGCTTTTCAAGCACAGATTAACTTGAGATTAGGTTTTAAAAAAATATCTAAGTGTTGTTAGCCTCTTTTAAAATGTTTTGCCAGGCATATTACAATATAGACTGCAAATTTAAAATGTAATCTTCAGTTTTAGCAACATTTTCAGTCTTCTTTGGTGAGGTTAATTTTCGAACCTTTCCAGGCCAAGTTTAATTGTTCTAGCCGTAGGTCTCATGGTACGACCTAGACCCAGGAGCGATGTACTTTTTTAGTTTTCACATCCTCAGGGGTCAAAAACACTATCCGTTAAAATGCATGTAAACTCTTTTTGCTGTGCTATATGTACACAAATTGTACGTGGGTTTAGGGGAAAAATCTATCCCCTCCCCTTAATAGTTCAACAGCTGAGGTTTGCTAAAATGTCAATCAGCAACATATACATTAGCAAAACAGTAGTTGAGGAACTTCAACTTCTCCTCAAAACGTCTTATAGGCTAGGCTATAATATTCTGCCACTTTATACAACCATACAACCACACTATACACATTTTGTTTCCACAGGTGCGTTACATGGGAGTGTACTTTGACACTCGCCGTTTACGTCAATATTGCTCAAAAATTGTTATATTATATATAGAAATGAAGCGGAATTTAAAGCCCTACATGTCTGCTTAAAGGTAAAATCTGCATTTCCTCAATAATAATGGTGAAAACCCGAAAAAGTGAGAATATGTCTAAATTTTTTTACATATTTTAAAATTTATGTTGCTTTT